TCTCTCTCTCTCTCTCTCTCTCTCTCTCTCTTCTCGTGACTCCACATCGGTCTTCTTCGCCCTCTCTCGCATCCGATATTTTCAGAGGGAATTCAAGTCAACGACCGTCTCAATGTGCTGCCCGTGATGGCCGATTAACGCTTCCAACCTGGTACCGTATCACAATGTCGTGATATAGAAACGTCTGCGAGATGCTGCGACGTCGAGCCGCTCCGTCGCTTTCGTCGAGAGATTCAACGAAGGATAACGCTGTGCTCGAGAAACTGACGCGAGTCTTGCGTCTCACGTTGCGTCTTCTAGCCTATTATTATTCAAATGAACGCTCTTCTCTTTACCGACAACACCGTACCTTGAATTTGAAAATTTTTGTCAGGAAATGGGATGGCAGAAGTTCTCAGACGTACAATCGCATAAATCCAGACTTTTATACCTTGCCATCGCATTTTAATAATGAGATGTCCGCAGACATTTCAATTTTTAATTTGGAATATCCAAACGTGCATCGGGCTCTACGTGCGTCTCCTCTTATTATAGCTCTGTAATGCATCGCCGTCATTTGAGGATCTTCCTCTTAACTCGAAAATGTCACACAAGTGCGGATTTCGCTCGCACGGTACGAGAGTTAGCAGGTAGCGCGTCAGTGGGACGTAAACCTGCAAACAGTATTCTCTGCTGTGACACGTGTCGTATGATTAATGCCGTTCAATACACGCCGTTTATACGCGCTCTTCGGCGAAGAATACGCGGAAACGCACAGGCTTTGTAACAATCAGACTCCGGCGGCGCCGTCGTTCGCTTATACAAATGTACGCGGCACCGTGTAAACAGGAATCGAAATCGCGCATACGAGCGTGCTCACAGCGACATTTTCAAGTCGAAATCGACAAGTCGGCGACAAAATCGCGAGCGATCGGGCCGGATGGCACGTACGAAAAACGTAAACGGTGAAATTTGAGCGGGAATAAGCGAATTAATCCGATTGCAGTCGGGCATCTGATATCGAATGGCAGTCCTGCGTTCTCGATTATCCTCGGCTGGCGATCGGTAGATAAAGAATTTAATTTTTTTACTTATTGTTATTTTTTCGTGTGTCTTGAGAGCTTTACAATGTGACGCATGAGGTCACCGGACACCCCGCACTTTTAGATCTCTCATCGTGATCTGGTGCATACTTGAATCACGCCGGTATCGCACAAAGGGAGCCGAAGGGCGAGGGGGTGAGAGGAAACGGACCGATTGTGAGCTGGACGCGCGTTAGTCATTGATACATTTTAAAGCGAGCCTGTATCGGATGACTCATACGTAATAATCGTCATCGACAGCTGATCCAGATGCGTCGTACGTTCTGAAGCGTGCTCCCCCTCGATTAGACCTCCTCCTCCTCGTCGCACCCTTAAACGGCACAGGGGATGAAAAAGCGCACAATGGAAAAAATACAGCAACCCTCCCGGCTACTGAAAGCGATGACTAATTCATTAAGCCTCGGCCACGGCTTCATTTATTGACTCTGAATGTTCAAATGATCACTTACTATATATATATATATATATATATGTACGTATATAATTACATAAAATTGAATTTATATAAAGTATCGTTACTATATAAAAAAGCATTTGTCTAATAAATTTCTTCCTCTTCATTTTAAAAAGACCAACAGACTTGGAAGTTCTGAAACTCGTCAGAAGCAGACCCAAGTTACGCGCGCGTCCAACAAAAGTTTTGCTCTTAAAATATATAAGTTCTAAGTCGACAATATAGCTTACAAAGTTGTACCTTTGTGAGTGTACGACTAGAAAGACAGGCGCGAAATTGCCGAGGCATCAACTAGACAGATACTATAATAAATGTCACCTTGTATTGAGTCGAGCATTTTTAGAAATTGATAAAATAAAATTCAGATCGAGTTAGCAGCCATACTAAATTTTTAAGATCGATTAACGAAAATAACTCATTCGAAGTACAAAGTTGAGCGTTTTCACGTATAATCCCTAAGGCAAACTTTGAAGAGAACGTTGTTCCCTCGCCGCCGACGATTATCTCTCTGATCTTTATAGACTTTTCCGAAGCTGATTACCGTGGAAAAGCCGACGCACACTTCGAAGGGTTAAGGCCGAAGTAATAGCAAAATCTTGTAATCCACCCGCCTGACTCACGTCTAAATATCCGAAAGAGAGATAGAAAGAGAAAGAGAGAGACGTGACGAAGGCAGCGGCGGCGGCGGCGGCGACGACGCAGGGGATACGTTATGCAATCGTGATTTTGACATATGGCTGTTCGTGCGCTTAGCCAGCGTAAACATGCCGTAGGGTCGATATACACGGTGACTCATGCTTTCAACAACGTCGTAGTTGTCATTGTCGTCGTCGTCGTCGTCGTCGTCGTCGTCGTTGTCGTCGTCGTCCGAGAAAAATGCGATCAGACCGACAGGGAGCAGACGCGCGTTAGCCTCGCCAAAACGAGCCACGCGATCCGTCTCGTTGTTTATAGGCGGCCGCGAATCGTTACTAATTATATAATAACCAGCGGAGACCACCGACGTCAAGAGTGACGCCGAAGTTGCTAAATACTGAAGAAAAGAAAAGAAAAGAATGATGATGTCACAATAATATTGTCGCTGTTGCTCTCCTGCTGCTTACCAAAATTTATCGCGTATTTTTAAATTGGACGGCTCGATAATTCGCAACTGATTTCCCACCTCTCTAGAAACACGGATTAAGTACACATTGCACTCGTAATTTGATTTGCATCGAAATTAATGGTCATCATACAGATAAACGTAAATTTGCAAATTCCAGGATTCGAGGATTCGGAAGTGAAAATCGTCAGGTAGAAGATCTGAGGATACCGGGATCGAGAGACACTCAACAACCCAAACTTGTCCGCAGATCGAGTCAAAAGATCCCCCCTCCGCCCCAGCCGCTCGCGCTTTTGAAGCCCGCGTACTGCGATTTCTTTACCTCTCTTTTTTTCAGGTCGATCTCAAGAGTTTCGTCGCCGTACAGCACTGCGATATCGCTATCGCAATCGGTTGTTACGTCAGAGTCCGTCCGTAATCATGTAATAACCGCATTTAGCGAATCGTCGAACACGCAAATATCGGCCGGCATCGTTTCCTTCGGCCTGTGCGTCGATCAACGCGCAAATTCACAAATCCGCCGTAATGTCCCCGCTAATTCATCCGCTCTGCAGTAGCGTCGCGAAAACACGGCGAAAGCGCAGATCGCAGCGCGCAAAATCTGTCCGACTATTCGCGGCGTCATCTCCGACGTGAGTCACTCCTATGAATAGATCCCCACCTTTCGCCTCGTACACGCCGACGACACGAGTACGACGTCGTCGTCGTCGTCGTCGTCGTCGTCGCCGTCGTCGTCGTCGTCGTCGTCGTCGTCGTCGTCGTCGTCGTCGTCGTCGTCGTCGTCGTCGTCGTCGTCGTCGCCGTCGCCGTCGTCGTCGTCGCCGCCGCGCAATCTGCTCGAACGAACCTTCTTATACGAACTCGGTTTCTTTTCATCTCGATCCATCCCTCCTCCTTGCCTCTCACCTTCTAATCATTATTTCTTAAACTCCCTCACTCCCTTTTGACTAGAGGATTTCTCGCTATTAATTTTCTTTTGTGTCAACTGGAGACCGTAGCGGTTCGTCGACGGGGCAAAATAAATGGAGATCGAAAAACAATCTTCCCGAGAACTGTTATTGGCAATCGTGCCTTCGAAACAATAAACAAGCGAAATTTGAAAATAGCGCACCGTAAAGGAGAGAAATGGGTGAGAAGTGCGCGTGGATTAATAATGTATGATGAACGGTAAAAATAGAGGCAGAAAATGATCGGCGTAAAAGTTTCGACGCGCGATTGGCGGCCGGCAGAAATATCGCGCTCGCATCATCGTTATTTCCGAAAACCAGAGTCTCACTCCCACGTAGAGGACCGGATAGACGGCGACGACAAACAGCACGTCACGTTTCGCGGCCTTTTCGCTTTTGTAAACAAATTCCGGGCTGCAAAAAAAAAAGAAAAGAAATCGCAGGGGACAAACCGGGGAAGATTAATCACCGCTAGTTTGTACACGAGACCCGTAGCGACGATTTATTTTCAATTTGGTCCGACCGAAACTACGTTGTTATACTTATAAATTTCACAAATACGACGATATATATTCGGGGCTCGGAGAATACAAACACGAGAGAGTCGAGGAATCTAATGACCTGAGAAAACGAGCTTCGAGGCCGGCGAATGCGAGGAATTAGGAACGCCAGGGCTCTCAGAGATTCAAAGAGAGCAGGAGAGAGAGAGAGAGAGAGAGAATAAGATCCAACGAGCCTCGAAGAAACAGCTCCTTCAGAAAGTCAGCACATGTTTTATCTGTATTTCCAAATAAAACACAATTCGCAGTCGCACTATCTTTCGAACAAAAAATTTATCTAAGATACTGCTTATGTGGGCAATCCTGTATCTTCGGATACCGCTATCTTGCCACTATCAGTTGTTGCCACTATCGTGTGTTACCATATTCGATAACACAAGAAGGCACCTGGTGACTCAAACGCCGGAGTCTACGGAGCTCGAGTAGAAGAGAAGAGCTATAATTAAATTATAGCGAGTGTGTGCAGTAATATACTCAAGCACTGGTGAGTACCGTCATTACATTAATCCCAGCGTCAACATTATATTCAATTCGGAACTTTTGTGTTATGATATCGTGCTACATCAAACACATTGAAGACCACGCATGTGTAAAGAATTTGTAAAGTACCCGCGAGAAGTAGTAGCGTAGTTTGCTTTAATCCTTCTACAATAGAACTCAACGTATTTTGTAAAAATTTTTACGCTATCAAAATTTTACGGAAATTGTATCGGCAATAATGTGGCACTTCAAAATTCACTCACTCGTGACAAAAAAAATATATGTATATATACAACTCGCGTGCGCGCGCATGCGAGCGCTAAATAGAATACACTAACCAGACTTTAAAATGAAGAGAAATCAAATAGCACTCACCGATCAACAGGGCTGGTTCTTGATCGTCGTCCACAAGCGCGGCCAACACTAGGAACAACGGGTGCTGGGCGGGCAGATGATCCAGGTCGTCGGTGCAATCGTCGTACACCACAACCTCCCTGAATTGCCTCTTCCTGAGCAGCTCCTTGCCCTCGCGGGCGGTCGCGAGATCGGCCAGCGTGGCTTTACCCAGCTGCAGCCTGCGCCGGTTGAAGCGATCCGAGCAGTTGACATTGATGGCGCCGCGCACGTGATTGACGTTGTATAGTATAAACGGTCGGCAGTCGAGGATCACCGGAGCGGCGGTGGTGGGCCGCTCGACCGCGAGACGCTGGGCCAAATCACCGGAAGTGATAACACGTGTCTTGCTTAGCACCAGCTGACGATGGAGGGTACCGTTCTCCCCGCACGGACTGTTGGGCAAACTGACGGTCTCCAGTTTGCAGCGCTTCGTAGTGGCCGAGAGGAGATGGTGATGATGCTGATGGTGATGATGATGATGATGATGATGATGATGATGGTGATAGTGAAGGTGGTGATAACGACGATGAGCCTCGTCGTCTTCGTTCCCTACACCGTCCCCGTTCGTCTCCTCGTCGATAACGTCCGGCGTATCGGCAGGGTTACCGTTGCTAACGATAGACGCGAGCGGCGAGACAGTGGGCGAAGCAGGGAAGCTGCAGGGATTCGGTCCTGGCTCGCTTAAGCTGCGATTCAGCACGAGCTTGAGATTGGCCCGTGGCCGGCCAGCTGACACTGGCTCGCAGCATAGTAAAGTAGACATCGAGGAGGACGGCGAATTTCGGGAATCCTGAGGCCGATGTTCGTTCTGGTTGTGCGGTGGATGGTGATGATTGGAATTTACGTCGGTGATGCTCACGTCGTGGCACGGTCCTGGGCTCGGTGCTGAAATCATAACGATTGGACACATTAGCGATCTTGAGAGATCTCTCTCCTCCCTTTTTCTCTCTTTCGAGCCAATTTATAATTTGATAATAATGACGTCTTTTTTGCAGCGTGTTCTTTCAGCGCTGTCAGATATTCTTATGCATTATTCTGCTCTCTTAGCCGATTACAATTCTAATTTGGCAGTTGGACGACGACCAATGTCTTGCGCGTTACGAAAGATCTGTTGTAAGCGACGATGTACTAACTTAGAAATTACGTGATATACCCGGGATTCGCTACCCGTGCGCGGTTCATTTGTTTTTATAAATAACACAGCGTACTCTGTCCGTGTCAGTCCATCTATCCTCGGATCCTTGGAGTCTGTGATTTTCAGACCTCTGCCTTCCTGTGTTTCTCTACACTCAGACGGCTCTTCTTAAAATACCGAAAATACCTTGAACACATAAACTTTTTGAACTTGAGATATATAGGAGTTGCTGCGTCGCATATTGAAATTTAAAAAAGTTTAGTCCTTTGAACCATCAACTCGACGGACAACATTATATCTGCGAATTCCTAGAATCCAGACTTCTCGAAGCATATAGCTTCGATACTCTCGGAGCGATTTGAAGAGCCTCGCACGACATGTTTGCAAGCGTTAAATGCAAATATTTAACTCTCGTCTTCACGTTCATCATCATGTATGTAATTTTCACGTTAGGCAAATCAAACCGAGAATTCAACAAGCGTGTTTGACGCTAGATAAGTGATGTGCGACTCGATGCTTTTTGTATTCCACCATTTTGGGAGAACCGACTCGATCTTGGAAAGCTGTTTGAATCGGATCGAACTGAGTGATACTCTCTCGGTTGGAATCGACGGCCGATTAAACGGGAAACCATCGGTTACTCTTTCCCTCTCTCTTTCTTTCTCTCTCTCTCTCTCTCTCTCTCTCTCTCTTGCCCGACCGCTCTCCCACTTCTCTTCCGCCATCGAAGTTTCTCTCCGGCCCCGAGAAGTCTTCGAGTTCGTTCTTTCGAATGAGTAAACGCTGTGGAATTCGACGCTTCGAGCGGCAAGTGGGACCCCGCGACTAGCGATGGGCCCGATACCCTCGCAACACCTATCGATATTTCTCGTAAATACGCTTACTCGGCCGTTATCAAAGAGCGCGAGAAAGTTGTCGAGAAGTGCATTTCGTGAACATTGAACGGCGGAAATATTAATTTCAACGAGAGCAACAAGTGTGGAGATCGCTCAAAGATTCTAAATATCACGACATTTATTTTTAGGCACACCGTGTATACGTGATTATTCGATAATGGTAGAAAGCAGTAGAAAAGCACTGCTTTCTGTTTGAAATGTTTCATCGTTGATATTCGCTCGGCCGGAGTAGCAACGGGTTTTATGTTTCGTATTAAGCTCTCCATTAGCTGTGCTAATATTACATCAAGCTGTAAAAGTGCGAGCGCTTTCAGTATTGATATTTTGTTTTACAGTCCAAGCTGAGAATGTGCTTCGTGCGGAGGATGTTTATTCGAAACCTTCGCTTTCGCGGCGTTAAGTGGCAGCAGTGATTGACAAATCACGAAGAATAACGGCACGCTTTCGACGCGGAAGAGTCAGCTCCGTTGTCGACGTTTGTCGAAGAATTTATCATCGCCAGTTAGCCGGGTGATAATCCGTACCGCAGCGTAAATGAAGTAATTCATCGTCGCACTGACTAAAATATCGATAAAGATATTTGTTTGGGACTATCGCTACTCGCAACCTGACCGGGGCAGCCTGCGGACAGGTGTAGCGCCTGCCATGCCATGTACACCTGCCATCGTGTACGGGATACGTCGCCCTGCGTTCTCCCATTCACTCGAAAAGAACGATAATTTCTCCGAATTAATCTGTCGAGGTCTTTCACGCACTCATCTCGCCTCTTAATCTTCAAACGTAATTTTATGACTCCGATTATTCTTCATGATGTAGCAACGACGGTAAATTACATAATGTGATGGACTATCGCGAAACGCACGAATTTAAGGAGGTGCAACAATACGAAGAGACCTATATAGATATTTCGGAGTCTTCGGCTTTGTGCAGTACAAGAAAAATGATCTTGTCTTGTCGCGTAAACAATCACAGACCCTTGAGAGTTTAATACTTATAATCTCGTCTTTTTTTATGATATCCCAAAATATGCGTTGACGAAATTTATTAAAAATAAAAATCCCCACACAGAGAGAGCCAACGCAAAGGGTTACAAATTTTTTTTTTATTTATATATTTCTACCTACGATGTGCGAGGAATACGGATCATGTAATAGACTACGGTCATACTACTTAATTCCTAATAATAAAGGAAGAAGTTTCAATTTGATGAAAAGATTCGTTTATTCCCTTTATTGACGTGTTCATGAAGCTCAAGATCCAGATGTATAAAAACATAGTGAGAAGCCAATGTAAGTTCAGTCATAATTTTCCACTTGTGCGTGCCCAAGGATCTAAAATTGGAGGATACAAGTATCTGTGCCCTGATTCCGAGCGACCGATCCGTGAGATCTGTGGAAGTCCGAGGATACGTACGCTTCATTTGAAGTACGAAAGCACGAGGACCTTGCACGAAACCGTGTGCGATCCAGATATCACACAACACCATTTTTGACTTACGCGTTCGAAGCCCGAAAGATTCGAAGGCACAAACGGGATCTCGCGTGTCGAATTACGAAATCCCGGCATCACGAGTCCAGGAAACCGGACATTCGAGGGTACACGCGATGTCCCACTAGGACACCTGGCACCCATACGTTCATCCGTCGAGGGAGAGGGGAGACTGTGGAAACTCGAGGAGTCGAGAGGTCCCGATTACACACCTTGCATCTACATGTCCGGGAGGCGAGAAGCTCGGGGTGTTTGGAAATCCAACGACAATCCGAGCGTCCCAGTTCTCGGCTTGCACATCCGCGCGAGAGAGCAGACAGGATCCGAGGTATCCAAACTGTGCGTACACACACTTTCGTTGTATCGAGACACAAAATCGACCTGACGGGATCCGATCTCCGCTGGGAGATCGACGCACCGAGGGACGAGGAGGAAGAACAACAAGAAGAAGAGGAAAGAGCGGGTCAGGCCGCTGAGATGACGTCACGGGTCTCAGGAGAGCGGGGTCGCGCGAGTCCTGGGGACCCCGCGATGCTCGCGTTGGGCCAACATGCTGCCCACGGGAACGGCGACGGAGTGCGCGAGGTGTACGAACACAGGCGGCACGATCAGCGAATCGAGCGCGATCGACGGATCCACTGCCAACGGCCGGCGAGCGAAGACTGAGGGAACCCACTGCTGAGCGGCGCGGCGACGACGACGATGATGACGACGAATTCGCCGGCGACGAGGAGAGTGGAGAGTGGAGAACGCTGCCGCGACCGCCGCCGCTGCTGCTGCTGCTGGCGCGGCGGAGGACGTCCGCCGCGGGGGTGAAGGGGGTCGCGCAGGAGCGTAATTTAACCCCTCATACCAAAGCTTAGCGCACGCTGGAATGCACGTTGTTGCTTCCACTCGCTTTTTAAATAAATCCTTGAGCGACGACGCTTCCTCATTTCTTCCTCAAGAGTCCCTATAACTTTCAACGACATTTCTTACTTCAGTTCCCGTCTTCATGGAGAAAGGAAATTATGTACGCTGCGTAATCGATTCTCAACATTTGTCATCTTACAAATTTAACGTTCCGATATCCTTAATAAACTCGCAAATAATTTGTACAAATAAATCGCGCGCGCACGAGCAGACCTGGCTGACGTTTCGAAACATTCGAACATTCGGAACACTCGTCGAGTGCACTTTTCGAACGTAGCGCGTTCGACGGATTGAGATTCTCGATTTATCGGATTTTCCCTCGGCGCCTACATCCCCTCACGCCGCACGCAACATCGACTATCTGTCGGTGATCCCGAGACGAAAAAAAGAAATAGAGAGGAAAAAGAAGAAGTTCTGCGCCATCGTGCGTGCAACGCGCGCGTGATGACTCATCGCGACGGCCGCGAGCACACTTTTGCGCTCTATGTGCCCGCGCGCGCTTGTATTGTGTACACTTGTACATTCGTACCCGGTGTCTCGAGATACACATTGCGCCGCGACACTGCCGTACCGCGAAGAGAGTTCCTCGCCGCGATCGATGTCTCGCGGTCTCGGTACTTTGAATATTAATAGCACCGCCGAGATCGCGTGAGAACTATAGCAATGAGACGTAAAGGGACTTCCGTATGATCGATAATATCATCGGTATATCTCTCGACATATTAATATCGATATCGCCGGCTGTTCTTTATCACGCACGGTGTTCCGTCGACCTTTGTCGGCTTTCTCTCTCTCTCTCTCTCTCTCTCTCTCTCTCTCTCTCTCTCTCTCTCTCTCTCTCTCTCTCTCTCCCTCTCCCTCTCTCTCTCTCTCTCCCTCCTTCCTCCCGTTTGATTCTTCCCTTTTCTCTCGGTTCTCTGAAGAAGCGCCTTTAGAAAAGCACTGTCTCCCTTTTATCGCGATTTCATGCGATCGTCCGTCGCGTCGGCAGTGCTAAGGAAAGGGCGGATTAATTATCTGTCAATTATTTCGGATAATCAACCGCGCGTAGCACCTATGACGTTAATCAACCGCTTTATTTCGGTACGTGCGATAATTTCGTCACACGAGACAACGTTTTTCACATGTTGTGTGCTCAAGCTGATAAAAGAACTCGGGAGCACGATTAACACATGCGTGTTGTTTCCTCAGGTGAGCGCGCGTGGTGAATTTTATTTTTTTCTAACAGTCATTTCGATTATTTTTGCTTCGATGACGAGTCGCGTGAGCGCGACAGAATGCAAAACTCGAGACGATGCCTTTACCTCTACAGAGGTAAAGGCATCAATCCACGGAGAAGATGGATTCGAGCTCTCTTTTTATAGCAAATTATAATCGATGCACTTTTAAATTCTTCTATTAATCTCGGAAGGGGAGATAAGATTGTCCGCGTTATGATGGCAGTGACGAGCACGCTCGTGTACGATCGATGTTTTTGAAAATTTAGTCGTCTATTCTTCGACATTTACGCGATATTCGCCAGCAAAAAGCTTAATAACCAAATAAACAAGATGAAAAAGCCTTTATTAGCTCGTGTCGCAACCTTCGCAATCTCGTTATTTACGTATTCTCTAGAATGAACGGGGTAACTCTAAAAAATTCAATATCTCGCAAACGCAATGATTCGTGGAGTGAGTTAGATAGGAAAACATCATTAGTTCAATTATTAGAACAGTCATCATTGGATAATTGCAAAGCTCCGAGAGACGCGAATTTCTGAGGATACAGGGGTAGCAAGCGTCGTTTCGAATTCAAATTTCGCAAATTCAATAATTCCAAACTGCAAGTCATGACATTCCCGAGACTTCACAAAGCCAGATTGATTATTAAAAATGTCCAATTGCCAACGATCTGAGACACTCGACAATCTCAAATGTGGAGGCTCAACAAGCCAAGAAGATCAGGAGACGGCGGAAAATTCGTAGGTCCGAGAACAATGAAAAGGACCAAAGAAGAACCAAAAATGACAGTCCGTATCGGCAACCTCGGGAAAGCCTCGTGCAAGTGTGCGAGCACCACGGCACCGTTCGCGTGTGTTCACGCGTGGTCATCTACTCCGTGTACCAAAGATAGAGTCTGACATCATACACACGGGCATCAGTCGGGTCGAACGAGCGATAAACATATTCGCGCGCACGGTGTCCTCGTACGCGGAAGGTTCCAGTTTACCGCTCACAACTGTCCCGATCGATCGATGCACCCACCGATGCCGCAGGCGTGCGAATTCTTCGTCTACTTTCTCCTATTTCTCTTGTGTATACGCGCGCGAACGGTATCCTTCATAATTCGCCGTGCCTTCGCTCGCTCACACGGTGATGCGAAGGTTTTCTCGGTCGCGAGCTGCCTGTGCGGAGGTAACATCAACGGCTTGCGATATTTTCCTGTTTGTTTACATACGTATACATTCATGTATCTTTTTTTAAACGTCGTGTCGTCGTGCGTACGTGCGTGAGCGACTGGGCGATTACGCACATTCGCACGATCGTGCATCTTGTAGATAATGCACTCAAGGCGATCCAAAGATCTACAGACAAGAAAAACTCAAAGATACAAAAACACCGATATGAAAATTATGCTCAAGGCCTCCGACCATTAGTTTCAAGGACTGAGAATACGAAATCCAAGAGCAGAAAGCGCGAAATGAATGTTAATTAATGTCGCTATCCGAGACGCGTGTGCGACGATGTGTGACGACGATTAAGAATCACCGATAATTATATCAGCTGTCTCAAATTGCGACGTCAGTAGCGAGGAAGCTAATCAGACAATATCTCATTGCTGTCGTCGTTCAGTCGGCTTTCCTTCGAGCCATATTGCGAACTTCATGATAATACATGAAGTATATACATACATAAGAATACATGATAATTCTGATTGAATTCCTCGACAAATTGTGTGGGTAATTCCTCTCGATGCTTCTTTCAATTTTACACATTTCTCTTAGACCGTTCGATTTTTTGGCATAGGTATTTTATAAACGTGCGACTTTTGGCCAAAAAATTTCTTCGTTCAGAAGTGCGGTTCGTTTAAACAATGCAACGACAAGGAAAAAGTAAGCCACATCGATTTCTCTCGACTTTTCTGAGACGCTGAGTTTCGGCGAGGATTTGCTGTTTGCTCAGAATAACGGCGATTTACACGAGCCCGGACATGGCAGCTTATAGTAACACGTAACACTCGCTGCTGCTATTGATAACATGTCTTTGTACATACTATCGGTAGACGTCACAAAACCTGATAAAATATGCTCCGTTCAAGTACGATGTATAAGATATACGTGCTATATAGAATGACTCGCAATTAGCGATAAGATGATAGCTTCGAAATGATGTTCGCTTGCGCGCGCAAGAATATGCTCTCCTAAATCTTCGATAAAATTTTTGCTGCAACTATTTCAAGTTAATTAAATATCATCTCTCTGGTTCGTGAAATTCAAAAATAGAACGTCATAAAAAAGAGGTACAGATACTTCAAGATATTATAATATAATATCTTATATTCCGGAAAGAATCTACGATTGCTGATATTTCGAAGTATCAAAAATCGATAACAAAAATTAACTAACACCAGTAAAGTAAAAAGCAGAAAGTCCAAAAATACCAGCGCCTTGAAAGATCGAAGGGATCCGGAGATTGATAATTATAAATTAATAACTTATCAATACTTTTGTGTCATGCATGTGAGTGTGTGCGCGATAAATTTAATTTAAAAGATTGACTCACCATCGATCGGTCGGAAACGGAATCTCTTGAGCCTCGGCAATGTCGCAGGGGAACAAACTCTCGTCAGGGCTGGCATCTCGCTGGTACGTTCACTGCTCGACAGTCGGCCGGAAATTCCGTTCGAGGACGATTTCAGCTCCGGAACGGCCGCGCGTTTCGGTGATCTCTCGGTGATGCCAGTGGCCTCTGCGGAAAACGAAGGTGAAATATCCTTTGTTTAAGTTGACTGCGTGCAATCACCTGATGTGGACGAACATGATGCGTCATCCTTGGGTGTCATTGTGTGAGTGTGCGTATGTATGTGTGTGTGTATCATTGCTCCAGTATGCGGATTGCAAAACTTTGCACAAAATCACGCCACAGCAGCATTTTTTAAATAGCTGCCGATGTCATTGCACAGCGACACATACATTTACTTCGACCCGACAAATGTGCTGGATTCGCACATTTTCTCCACATCAAGTTACGATATTAAATACTTTCTAACCGTCGAATGCGTTATATCTCAACGTAAAGAAAATAAAAACATTACCTTGGCATTATTGATATTTTAACAGGCAAAGAAAGAACATTACCTTGACTAAGTTTAGCGAAGAGAATATTGTTAAATATTGCAACATTGCAACGAAAATTTTTTCTATGTTTTAATGTATTATTAATATCTTAAGGGAAAAACAATTCGCATGTGATACCATGAAACACGCAAATTTGCAAGATACTTGTTAATTCATAGAAAATATAAATATTTCATTTGATACTTTGTCATTTTAGATGCACAACATACCATGTGATTTTATCCTCTGTTGATTTTTTTATTTTTATATGTTGTGAATCACCTATTTTTCTTCATATATATTTAACCGCTAAATGTCAAGCTGTCGATATAAAAGCTGTTGTCACAGACCCGATTGCGACTCTGAGTCATATAATTCGCAATCAATCGCGGAACAGGATGTAAATATATATTTTCGAAATACTATAACTTCATCTTTTCAAGCGCTATCTCTTATTTTTATATTCAACTGTGAAAAATATTTGAAACAACCATTTTCATAGAAAAGTATTCAAATATTAATGATAAATAGTGATAAAGATAAACTTTCCTTTGCAAACATGAGAGAGATGAAACAACTTGTCCGAAATAAACTTTAATTTTACAATTAAAATCTTCAAATATTAACTTTATGATTTTAATGCATTTTCTTTAAATTTAAGCCTTGTTTGTAAAAAATTATTCTATAGTTTTTATCCAATCGAAATATTCTTTTTCTGATATTACTGTTTTTCCTGATGTCACTAATAATAGAGGTCGCGTATCATATACTTTTGATTACAATATACTCCTAACCTAGTTTCAAACAGATCAGGGGAATTTGACGTTCGATAGGTATCAAAATGTCACTTACCCGGTGACAGCGGTCTCTTGACGGGCGACGCTCTCGCGGCACGATGGCTCACTGTTGACTGTGTCGCGGCATCGTGGCCAGCCGCCGATATCTTGGCGCTCATCCTCGCCACGAGGCCAGCCAGTTCGTTCCGGCGATCTTGACTCACGTACCAGGAAGCTCAATCCGGAGGACGTAGGAGCATACTGACGCACGCAGTCACGAGGTGACCCTCTATGCTTCCAGGTGACGACCGCGATTGCTCACGCTGACCTGAAAGCACGTCCAATACCCGTTAGAGAAGCGTGACACAGACATGTGATTTGTTAACGACACGTGACAGGTAAAGAAGCACAGCCGAGAAGGGAAAAGAATCATTGTCCTCGAGGATCTTTCGCACATCAAAAAGAAATGAGGAATGAAAAATAAGACTCGTTAAAGGTCGACTTTTGTCTCAAAATCAGCAACTCACACGTTTTTATCTTATGAATATAAGATTTACTCGCTTCTATCTCCATCTCGCAACTAATAAAAAAAGAATTCTTACTTTAGGAACTTTCCTTTCTTCCAGACGTTCACACTTTATCAATTGTGAACAACTGCCGAAAGAAAGGAAAGAGAATAAAGGAGACAGATGAAGAGCGTTGACTTCGAAGAGGAGCCTTGAAGAAGGAACAGGAACCTGGGGAGCCAAGGCGATCCACAATTTCTCGCTTGTTCGTCTTGACAATTCGGTCCGATTTAAAGCTGGGACAGGGAGAAAGGGAACGAAATCGATCCTATCAGTTTGCAGCACTCCCTCTCGATAGAATGTCAGCAGAAAGTGTCTGTCGGTTTCCTACCAAGTTTACATTTATATTATTACATGTAGAGTGTCTTGATGATAAAATTCATAAATAAATAAAAATTTACTTGACAATTATTATTAAGCTATAGCTGTCGGCTTCGTTATGGCTATTCTAACTTTTCATTTTTCCCAACCGTTCTATAACACATAAGGTTATCTTACGAAAGCGATTGCTTCGTACACGAAGATGACGACAGGTTGTCCTTTTGCGAAGAATTCGAACTAGTGTACTCTGGTGCAGTAAATTCGAGGAAACATGATATACTTGTCTCACTCTAACTTATTCAGGAGATTCTTCGAAGAAGACTACATGCATATTTAATTGTCTCGTACTTTGTCGAGAACCAACAAGAAAGTATCGTGCGTCATTTCAACTGCTGAAAACACGCACCTTGAATGCGACGTTCCGATAATAGCTGACGCTCGATATTCGGCGGGAAGGGGTTATCAGTGAGCGCATGCTGCGAAGGAGTTGCGAGCATTCCCCACGTACCGCATGCGTGTATTTACATAGCGTTGCGCCCCGAGGTAAAAATGCAAGGCTGCGGCAAGGACTTGCGCCATTATCGCTGCACAACCGCAGACGACCGAAAGAAAGACCGACTTCATCTCGCGGACCGAGCGACAAGACCGACATGGCAGAAAAGCGCGAACGGCAAAGCGAAAGCAGCAACTCAATCGGCCAATCACAGTCGAGAATTTCAAACCGATAGCTGCTAACCGATAATTCTCGATATCACGATTGGCCGATCGTATTCTCGCCTAACTTCAGCGTTCAATTCTTTTCGCTTGCGCAAGCTCCGTTTTATATCAAATGCCAATCCTCCTCTCGTTTCTCGCCGTAAATCGACTCGACGAACGCAAGATAATTACGTTCAATCAGTACTCTCGCACGACACTTGAAATTCCTGAAGATCGAGAGTGCAGCTAGTTGAGCGTGCGCGACGAAACAAAACAATGCACATTATGAGATAAAAATGGCGTACATTTTTACGATATCTCGCATTCCTCGTGGAATCCTCCTTTTCCTTCTCCTCCTGTCGAAGTCTACATCTTCGTCCTGTCTCCCTGTGTATCTGCGCTCGTACACAAAGATCTCGCACCGACGTGCTTCCTCAGCACTCGAACTAGTGACGTCGCGACGCGTACGTCTACGTGCATGACCCCGTCAACGCTGTCACCGAGGACACGACTGTGCCGAAAGTGTTGCCCGCAACGCGGCACTCCTCGCGTGCATACGGTGTCCTAGGTAACAAACCGTCGTAGTCGTCGTCGTCGTCACCGTCGGTTGTGCAGCCGCAGGTTCGAGGAACATGCGCGCACGGGCGCGCGCCGATCACGTGTATAAGCGCGAGTATCGAATCGATTTCTTCACCTGCCTCGCAGCAGAGTTTCTCAATATCCCGCACATTTCTCAATAGCCGCACAGATCTCAATCGCGCACGAAGCTCGGAGCCGAGAGAGCGTTGCGTGCGTAACGCACCTCGCTCGAAACGCACTCTGCACCGAAGACGCGGTACCGTTCCCGGGGCGGAGGGAGGGATGGGGAAGGGTTGTTCGCGCGAGGGGTTGCGTCGCGGTATGCCTGGCCGTGATTCAAGCCCGACGTGAGTATCACTGATCAAGTATGACGTTCCAATCTGCTTCCGTGTTTAGCGAAGCGCGTTTATTCCACGGCATTACTTCACCCCCTCGCGAGTACATCGTATTTAGATTGTATCGATTCGGCGGTCGCGCGTCACAGCTTGACCCACTTTTGCAACGTCGAATGTTTTCTTATATGCGCCGAGGGAGGAGGGAGGCACTTACCCCCTCGCGTTCGCCACGCTGTGACGAAAGGAGGTGCGCGCGCGCGCGCTCGTGCTCGTGCTCTCGTTATTCGCGTTTCTTCCGCGCTATTCTTACGTCACGATGATTTCGGCAAAATCCGAGATAAAGATGACGCCACGCATTCCACGTGTGATTTCGCATGAACTGCGTCTCGTCTGCTGAACGATCGATTAAACACCGTAATGAAAGATACCGTTTTCGCAATTATCTCGCGTGCGAACTGAAACATGAAGGATATAAAACAACGGTGTACTCAAAAAATGTAACAGCGGGCGACACAAACCGCTGGCGGGAAGATCGTAGCGCTGTTTTTTAATGAATTTCCACAATGCGCCTGGGTCCGCTGAATTTCAAAATCATTTGAAGAGCATTAAAAAAAAAAAGGTTCGAATGGTTTTGGAAGCTAATGTCCAATAGAAATATTTGTCTTTTAACAGCTTTCGGTTAATGGCGCATAAACAAAACATGCTTAAAGTAACATCAAATACATCGGTAAATCTAATAAAATTAACCAACAATACGCAAAAACATCAAAGAAAACGCAATTAAGAATATCTAGATCGTATTCGACGGCCTACTTATAAAAAAGATTTATATGCACATGAAAATCTCCATGCATTAAACTCTCTTAAGGAAACAAAGAAAAAAAAAAGAACTCTCTTTCGAGCGCATCAACCGGATCCAAGAAATTCGCCCGATTACCTGATGTAAACTCTTAATCTCGCGCTACGACAAACATTGAAACGTGCGTCGCGCATAAAAAACCAACATACACCGTGAAATAAAACACTTGTCACTGATAGATAAAACTGGAAGGAAACAATGCGATAAAAACAAATTAAAACATATATCGCAATAATACCGTAGATGTGTCCGTGCGTATAATAAACGCATTAAGAAACGAAGCCGATCAACATTCTGATAAGATCAATGCATCTATAACTGCGGTACGTTCAACGTCTTGCACGATTCCGTGGCTTCCTTGCAGATCTTGTTATGCCACGACAGCGTGATGTATATTCTTATGCGCAGGTACAATTTAAGCAGAAGGCCGACCGGGAATTCCGGACAGGGTGGCTTATACTTGACTTGCTGCGCGAGTTGCAGTATACGTGCGCCGAACTTCTCCTCGACGGCGAGGTTCTCGAAGTTCTTCAGGAACACGTCCTCGAGACCGGAAATATAAGCGCTGAAGGAGTTGGTTGTGTCCCTAGGCGAATCTCTCGCCTCCCTAACGTAGGCAACGCACACGTCGCAATTGTGCGCGCGCGAGCACTCGTCGAGCAGGTACTCGCACACGCGCTTAAACACGACTTTCTCAGGCGATTGCGGATCGATGTCGCGATAATTGGTCGTGGCGACGTGCAAAGTTATCTGCACGGCAGGCGCTGGGCCGGCCTGTTGTTGGCTGGATGAAAACGACGACAACGTGGATGCCGACGAAGCCGCTATCCGCTTGAGCATCCTGCGCGCTTTACCGGCGGAATCCTCGTTGCACGAATGCTCGAGCAGGTGTTTGCTGACGAGGTTCTTGAACGCGCGAGTAAACAGAATGGGCGTGGGCAAGGCACGATTTCCACTTTGTCGTCTAATGGAACGGAAAATACGTTCCACGCAGTCCTGATTCAGCCGTCTCGTGCGGAGAAAGGGAAGCTGCTGCTCCCGCAGAACGCTCCACAGTTGCACAACGGCGTTAATCGTGATTTGCCAACGGTCGAAGCAACCGATCGACTTCACACACGCGCAGCCATTCTCGTCTGTTACCCGAATCGACTTGAGGAAATCGAGCATTCGTTGCAGGAAGCCCATTTCGTGCGAGCTGCCCGTGAATGCCTGACTGAAATCCTTGCCGTTGGACTTGGTAGGTGCGGAGGAGTTGAGAATGTCGAACACCTGATCGAAATTGCGCATAAATTCCACCGTGCCGACTCCTTTCAGCGGGAAGCCGCCGGAAGCGATGTATGTACTTAATCCTGCAGCTAATGTGCTGCTGAACACTTGAGCAGCGTATTTGGTCTCAATCTTTTGGTGCTTGTTGGGCTCGAGGTGAGCCACGGATAGTTTAGACACCAGTGGTAGCTGCATCTGGCTATCGCTTCTGAAGAACAACTCGATGTCCTCCCACGACGCTCTCTTCTCCCGAAAGTGAAGTTCATACTTCATAAGAATGTTCCTCGTTGTTCTCATCAAACGACCGACGTCGAATACGTAGAATACCCTCTCGCTGTCTACCAGGAAGGACGGATGCTCCGCGAAGATTCCCAGTTGCCGCGAGAGACGCAGGAAAATCGGCGCGGTATCGGTGACCAGGGCATGTACTGTCACACCGATAGACCTCAATTTTGTTATCGCGAGGAATATCAGGTTCTTTATGGCACTGATAGTGCAGGCGCCATCGTGGAAATAGTAAGCGATCGGTTGCTCCCAATCGCCAGCCAGGCTACGCGCTATCATTACTAGAGCCTTCTTCGCGAGTGTGTGTCTTTCCCTCTTGCCGATGTCGTCGAAGCCAATGATCCTGTCGCGTGACAGATTGTAGAAGAGATGCGGCCGCAACCGTATTTCGTCCACACACAAGCAGCAGCGTCTTTCTACTGCCGGCAACGACTTCATCTTCAGATGTAGTGCATTCAACACGTTATCGTTCATACCACCTGGCACGTCCCAATTTCGGACGTAACGCCACAACTGGCGCACAGTGGGTAGCAGACACAAAGGTCGATAGAAGCGATACGCTTCCGGTGCCATGAGGAACAACTCGAGTGCGAATTTCTTACCCTCGAAGCTATGCCGCATAGCCTTGTCTCTCTCTCGAGCGTTCACGCACGCGGAGACCAATAGAGCGGAAGTACGCGGCAATAAATCCATGCATATTGCTTTAAATTTACTCGCGTTCACATGATACTCTTCGTTCTCTGTGTGATATTCTTCTTTCTTTCGCTTCGTGATTGGGGTGTCAATATAAATTTCAGGTTCCTCTATTCGTCTCTTGCTCGTTAAAAAATCAGTCGACGACGTCTGGGTCGAAATTTGCCCTTGTGTTCTCGTTGTTGCTCTGCAACGTATGATGCTGAGTGATTGGACTGACGAAGTTTATTTATCTATTTGCTTCAAATCATCTACTGCAATGATTTCTCTTACCTAATGTTATTTCCTGTCGTCGCCAGAACCGATGTTGCTCCCAGCAATGTCGTTGACGACGAAGGCTCCGTAATCGTAGATCTTAAAGAATGGTTATACTTTTTGACAATCGCAGACTATAAGAGTTGATTCTTTCGAATAGAGACTCACCCATTGATGCTTTCTTCCTTTAAAGTTGTCAGAAATGATGTTGATACTGCTGAATCTGAACACATGTCTATGATAGTATGCTCTTCTGCTGTGGAGTTGCTAGAGATATTTCTGCCAACAAGAAAATACGCATTCTCAATATTTCATATAAATTTCTTGTAAATAAATATTTCGAGTAATATTGTTTATATTAATTTCACTGTTAAAATAGATACAATTTATAAACAATAGAAACATATAAATCTCAACAGATAAAAATTATGTGAAATAAATTGATGTCCTTTAATAATAAGTGTATATTAATTAAAAATACTATCATGATTTTAACTCACTCATTATTGTTTTCTGATTTTATTCCTATCAATGTGGTCTGGGCAGTTGACATATCTCTGACAAAATTTAGTTATTTAATAATTATAATTGATAGGAAAAGTATAGAAATCAATATAAGCTAAATATTAAAAATTACCTTTTCTCATAAACATGTTTAATAGATGCTTTTGGGAAAAGTGCTTGTAGTGACGAAATTATAGGTGTATCTCTATTAAGAAATTAAGGTTATTTAGTTAATGCCCAAACAAGCAATAAAATAATATGTGCAAAAGCTCACTTTTCATCAGATGTTTTTTCATCAGAAATTTCCACTGCTGATACATCTTTGGACAAGCTTTTGGAAAAATCATATTATTTAGTAACTGTTACTGTTCAAAAATAGAAACAAAACAGGAAGGCAAAAAGTGTCAAATGAAAATCTTGCAAACTCACCTGTTCCTGCTCTCTGGTTTTAAAAATATAGTTACAAATGAAATTGGTTGTACCAAATTTGTAGATGTACTACTGTCAAAAAATGTTTATCTTTATAAGTTTATTAACGTTTAATTCTAATAAAGTTTTGTTTGGACATTACTCAATTATATAGCAATTGAATAAATTTGAAAACATTTACTTACTTCCCTGCTGGTATTGGTTTCAAAAATATTGATGGAACAGCTTCTTTATTTAAATAAATTTTGCCTTCTATGTTTCTAAACATTTCTACCCGGAAATGTAAATGACATAGTCTATAATAACGATTAGCACACTCTGGACCCATCATAACCAAATCCATTCTGTTGCAAGCTTTAATCCATTCCATCCACCTAAATATTATAAAATACAAATTGAATTAAAATTGTATAAAGTGTCAAAGATAAATATAAGTAATATAAATACAAGCACAAAATTGATTTTGTAAATAAAAAATTTGTTAATTACTTATCAACGTATCAATTTTAAATGAAAAGGTAATATGCATACCTTCTCCTTTCTTTAGGAAATCTAAAGTAATGTCGTTTTGTTATTTTTATATTCATCATACAACCTGGTGCACAACACCATCGAGTAGTTTCATTAACAAAACTCTCATTCATTTTGCGAAAAATTTTACCAGCTATAATAAAATAGTATATTGTTTTAAAGATTTAATATTATACACATAACAACTGATATTACTATTGAAATATATAGATATAGCAAAACTTTAAAATATGAAGTTTCTTACAGCAAGTAAATATCCAATTAAAGCATAAAGATTTACAATATTTTATTTTGCTAACAACCTGAACAATAATGTAACATATAACATGCAACAAATCGTTTAGAATATTACATAATACTTACTATTAAATTATATCCTAAATTGAATTACAATTCTTAATGTATGAGTCTTTTTGTAAATTTATATCTGTGCAGAACATATAAGTTCATACAAAATGTTTAATATGTCACTCTTTAAATCTTTTAAAGAGCACACACACTTCCTTTAATACGTGGGTACACTTTATATTCGCATATATTTTTTTCTGCATGCGACTTTTCTAAGATAAACGAAAAACGGTAAAACAATATGCCAATTTGAACCACCATAAGAGCAAACAGAACCGTGATCTACTACGCATGTCCAATATCAGATTGGCCAATAATGGGAAAAACATGTGACTAATTACTTTCTACGTCAAATACGCGGTAATTTTTAAATTGGTCAAACCAAGTCAAACCGAGTATTGCAACGAAAAGTTTCTAAATTTTCAGACTTCGAGAAGAAAAAATATATATCATGAAAAATTCTAAGTCTGTTACAAATAATATGTTATTAGAATTAAGAACGCAACATTGTGGGAAATACTATTTATATAAATTTACATTTATATAAATAATTTGATCATACCTAATAATTTAATTTTTTTTCAATGTATATAAAAAAGAAATATTTTAGTTGTACATTTTTGTGTTATTTAAATTAAATACAATTTTTTACGAAAACTTATAAATACGATTGTACATACGTATATACATAATTTACGCAAATAAATATTAAATTTAATATGTATATATATATATATATATACACACATATACAATATATATATATATATATGTACGTTTTTTCACAATTATCAATAACAATATAAAATAATTATTTACATGAAATCTGTGTTGGATATAGTTCTATTCAAAAATATGCCAAACTTCAATACTGAATCAACAGCAGGCTCAAGTACTATTTCATCGTCAGCGGCCCAACAAGAAGCATCCGCGGCTAAAAAGAAGAAAACTATATTATAGCATAAGAAATACACTTATGTTCTTTCAAAACATGATAAATTTGGGATATCAATAAAATAAATTAAAATTACACAAATTCCCTTAACTTAAAAACAAAGAAGAAAGCAGATTATTCATATAATATAGAGAACAATCAATATTGAATATTGATTATCAAAAAACAAGAAGTCAAAAATTAATAATAGTAATGATAGTTACGTACTTAAATTACTAATTTTAAGCGTTGATGGCTGGGAGAATAAGGTAACACGAGGTTTTTTCAAGAGTTTGCTCTCTAAACAGCCCAACTTGATTAGTATCTGCAAAAAAGATATCATTTCTTTTTCCTTAAAACAAATATCTGATGTCATACAATAATGTTAGAAAAAGCGTAAAACAGGTTATGCACTACTCTCTTCTCATGACAATACCATAAGTAATATAAGAATACAAATATAAGTAATATAATACAAATTTGAAAAATTATACATATTTTAACTGTATGTAGGATAACGAACCTCGACTAATTCGCGCGTATGAAAAGGCTGTAGAGCAGGTATAAATCGATTTTGAATCTTCGTCAAGGTGAGTCCGGGATGAAGCAAAGAATAACCAAGAACCGACCCCAGCATTTGATCCAGTACTTTGCGATTCAAAACGCCGTCAATGCGAATCCATGGTCTTATCACAACTTTAATCTCCTCGGTCGTCCTTAAAGACAAGTTTATCATTATTGTATTTTGCAACATCATAAGATTTCTTCAACACTTTTTCAGATACATACAAGTCTGGCTGCTGCACGGGTTTGTCCTTTTGTGAAGATGAACATGTTCTTTGTCTTTGCGGTCTTTTTCTTGCGGATGTATCACATTCCTTATTAGTTTCATTATCTTCAGTCTCCAAATTTTTCTGGTCATTTAAATCATCATCGGCTTTCTTTTCATCTTCCTTGACTTTTTCACCAACTTCTTGACCGTTTGATTGATAGTCCATTGATGACGTTGATGGTGTCGCACTAGCCATTTTAACTGCAATATTTACCCAAATAAATAACAATTTCAAAAAAATACATATAAAACAACATACTACAGTTAGATGCGACTTGATTTATAATTTAATAAATTCAAAGTGGTTATATTACGTTTCTTATTTGTGTTCTCATGTTTTGCATCAGTCTCAACATTTGTAATGGCTGTCTTCCCCAGCGGCATCGTAGCGTATACGCTGTCCTTAAAAGGCCCCATAGCTTCTTGTTCCAGCCGGTATATCTTGCACGAGTGGATCAGCCACGAGTCCACGTAATGGTGATGAATATAGCGCGGACAAGTTACACCAGAGCGTAAAAATATACGATTTTCTACCAAATGTGAGACAATGGTGTACAAGTCTGTGCCTTGATCGCTAAAAAACTTGTCCTAAAATACATGAATTTATAACAAGTAATTAGGTGAGTGAAACATCTTTCAGAAGAAGATTGCGCGTTATAAATGACATAATGCAATTTTTACAAATATTTCTATTAGAGAGAGATGATAAGAGAGAAAGAAATAATCGATCAAAAGAAAATAAATTACTATTAGATCCTGCGGACACACGCCGAGTTCTTTCTTCTCCCGGACAAAATTGCATATTGCATCGACGTGTCTCCAATTTATCGTTGTTCCCTTCTTCGTTATCATATAATCCTTGTGATCTTTATATGACGTTTCATGTAAGGATCGTACAAGGAATAGTCTGTCATTGATAGTCCCTGGGAAAATTGCGAAATGGCTTATCTCATCGAGCACTTTGTTTATCTTCTCGATCTTCAATGACACCAGCTCACTAGCCAACTGACTTTTGCAAGTCTCTTGGTCATTCGGCACTGACGTTGCTACTGATGATGGCAACTCCAAACTGTAGAACATTTTGAAGGCGTTGACTACAAAGTATTCATGAGCGTGATGGCTGTCGGCTACTGAGAGATCATCCAACTCCTCTTTCATTCCCAGAATGGTTAATCTAGTGTACTTCTTCTGAATGTCGTTGGTCTCCTCGATTTTCCAGTAAGATCTCAAATAATTTATTTCCAACGGCATGTTTTTGATGATCTCACTGACGCGTCGGGGAATCGCAGTCAGGTCCGTTGAACTACTCGGTTGGCTCGAAGAAGCTGAAAATTAAAATAATACAAACGAAATTAAGTATAAGATTTTACAGAAATAAGCACTTCTTTTCAGTAAGGAAAAGTAATAATGTCACAAGAGACATCGATTAATCAGAGCTCGTTTATAAAAGCAAATAAGTGTCAAACCAAGAAACGTCCGAAATTTATAAAAGAAATGTCTTCAATACATTTAAGAACATACACGTAAAAACATACCACTCTTCGTTTGTTTCTCTGGCAATTCTTTCACCTGCGAAGATTTGCTAATGATTTTCATCTTCTCAATGTTTTTAAGATCCTCATATAAATTTGACTCTTCGAGTTCTTCTACATCCGGCAAATCCATCGAATCGTCGGAATTTAACCGTAGTCTCTTTAACGGTTTCTCGCAGTCGACAGAGTCCTCTTCTGCATCAATAGGTCTCTTTTTTGATGTACACTCGACTCGATTCTTTTCTGTAGACACCTGAACACTGGAATGATCTTTCGAAGTGGTCTCTTGAAGTTTAACACTCCTGTTCGTTGTAACACTCGATTTCTTCTCCGTTATAACTTCATTTGGCTGATTCTTCGAAGATTTGTTAATCCGTTTGCTTTTATCGCCTTCTTCGTTTGTACGACTAATCTTCGCAGCCGGTTCCCCGAAATTGTCGCTCTTATCGACAGGCCTCTTCCTCGTTGCGGGGTTTTCCACGTTTTCATTCATTTCTATTTCATCGAGTTCGAGAGATCTGGCATTTTGTGCGTCGACATTCTCAAACTTGAAACGATAAAGTCTTGTCATGATGTCTTGGTATCTTTGTGCAACCCTGAAATAAGTCTCATTCTTATCCTGATATCGGGAGTCCAACATTATTACTTGCTCCGGCATCTCGATATCAAAGTCAATCTGATTGCGCACTAAAAGGTCATGTATAGCCATGACTATGCCGCTGGACACTGGCTGAATTTCAATGCCGTTGAATATATTTTCCTGCTGCGCAAGAGCGACGTTTCTCTGCTCTGAATAATATTGCAGCAACTTCGTAAAAGTATCGAAGGCTCCCTTGAATACATCCTGAGGCCACTTGGTCTGGAACTTGTATTCGTAATTGGCGCTCAGCTTGTATAGCGAGCTGCACATCGGCAAGTAGTTGCCACCCTTCTTCATGGCGGACAGATGATTTTTCTTCATGGTCACCATCTGATCTGATCTGATCTTGACCATCGCTTGCCGCAAAACTGGCTCCGAATAATACTGGTACACCTTTAATGAAGACACCGTTTGTTGATTAGACATACATATTGCAAATATAATTCAAAGATAAAAGAAGATAGAATTCAAAGTACAATTGACAGAGAGATTAGCTTGCGTCGCAAGTTTCTTTTTAAAAACGGACATTTCATCAAAAAATCTACACACACTAACTAGATAAACGAATTCTAGAGTATCTGCTTCACAAGTGAGATATTCCTAAAACACACGCATGTACGTACCTTATAGAGCTCATAGGCCCAGGAACGTTTGCTCCTCGCGCAGTATATGGAACTGTGTATAAGGGAATTGATAGTCGCCGAATTGATATCGTTCGCGTTGCGCACGTCTTTCCTGAAGCCTTGATTTTGATACGGCTTCGCCGGATAGATCGTCTTGAACAAGAAATTAAACTCCTGCACGGTCTTCGGCATCGCCGTATGCTTATTAGGCTTCATGTCTGCAATGATGTAGAACTTCTTCATGATGAGGGCGACGAGTTCTTTAAACACCTCTGTCACTCGCTTCTCGTACTCGCCCGAGTTCTTGTATTCTTTCTTCAATCTGTCCATGATGCCATTGTAACGTTGGTCGATAACCGGATCCTGCTTGATCTCCTCAACGCCCAATGCGATACTGTTTATCGTGCATTTCTGTCGCAGCATATACATCAGCCGACGTTGACAAGCACGCGAGGTTTTATTGTTCGACGTGTAGGAGTATGTGCGTAACACGTCCCTCACCGCTATGAAGTTAACCACCTGCTTGCGCGGATTGGGCGAGAGATACGTCATCGCAACCTTGCACACCAGCAAAATATTCACCTCATACGGCGCCCAGTCCGCCCGCAGCTTGTGCATCTTTTGCATCGCCCGATAATCATCCTCATCGTACTTCAGACGTGGCCGACTGCTCTTCTTGCGCGGCATCACCCGCCGCACGAACGACTTCTGTTTGCTGGTCTGGTGCGACGGCAAGGCCTCGTTCTTGCGACTGGTATCGGTCAGCTTGGCAGCCTGATCGAATTTCTGCTTCTGCAACTCGACGCCGTTGATCTCCGGTGCTGGCGGTCCGGAGACCTTTTTTAGGCCGACGTACTCCGTATACTTAACTGGTTTCATTTGAATTTTCGACAGATGCAGATCTCGCTGACCCGTACCAGATTTCCCATATTTCCTGGAGGCTTCGAAGTCTCTGGAGGTCTTCGTCTGGTTCATAGAATAGTTAGTCGCCCAATTCCAGTTGCGTTTCAGGTGCGCGAAGAAAGCAGAGTCGATACCAGCTGCTCCTTTACGATCTCCGGGGACAACACCGGTGTCCATGCTCGCAGCTTTCTTTGGATTGCGCGCTACAATCGCTTCTACCAGGATGCTCTTCTTATCCAGGTCCTCGACTAGGATATCCTTACCGTGCACAACTAGCCTACCTCCTAGTGGAGTGTTGATACAGATATTCCACATGTCGTACCAGTATTTCTCTACAGATTTCATGCTGTCGAAGAAGTACTTGGTCACCGGGTACTTCTTATCCTCGATGTTGTGATAGCTTGGCGCCGAGGACATTGTGTCCATGAGTTCCGTGCGTCGGTTCACGTAGATGAATACCTGATCTTTGTCCTTCAGCCGTTGTGGGCCAAATTGCACCAGACCGATGTAGCCCAACTTGGACACGATACTGTGGATGTTGTATATGTATTTCCGCGCGTATAGGAGAGCGTCTCGAATGTCAGCCTAAAAGAAGTTCGGAATTAACACTTTCAGTTGAAATCGAAGACTTGAAACTACGATCGGATGCTTCTCTTGAAATTTTATTTGATTTTTATTAAAAAAATGAAATCATCTCAAACTCACCGGGAGATTCTTCACGAGGTAATGCTTCCTGATCGGATGACTCAAGTAACGCTCCAATTCTGGTATCACATACTTGATGTTAAATACCTTGACAAAGATCGACAGTGGCAGGCCCATAAGAACATCACACATGAGCGCCCAACCTTCGGGCCAACCACCATGCTTGGGCAAAGGTGGGATAAACATCTCCCAACTCACTTTAGTGTTGTAAATGGTGCTGAACTCCTTGGCAAGATTGTCATCGATTTCGTAACCGTTCGTTCGCAGAATCTCTATTTGCTTCTCCTGAGACACTTTCGGCACGTCGTTGTAAGCGTAGACTAAGTAGAAAAGCAAAACGTGTATCGTCTGCATCTTGATAAACTTGGGGCTGAGACCGTAGCGTTTGCCGGCTGTGGGATCGTATTCGTAGTTCACAGTCGTCTTGCCGAGCTCCTGCGATCGGTCCTTAGAGTCCGACTTGTCTGTCTTGTCCTGCTTATCCGAGGATCCCGCTTTCTTCGCCGACACTTTCGGCTTCTGGGATCCCATCAAGCAAAATTTCAGCTTTGCTTGTTCGACGGCCGATTTGATCACGGTGTGATCGGTGTCGATGTTCGGGTCGCAGATGAAGGTCAGATTCTTCTCACGATTGTTCGCACTCAGAGTCAGCTTGATGTTCTTCACCAGGTTGTCCTTGGCGAGCTTCTGCAGCAATCTAATGAGAGACTTCTTATCGATCTTCACATCGTAACCTTCCTTGTCTTCCTCCTCGTAGATCATCTTCATGAGTTTCGTCATATCGTCGATCACTTGATGCTCCTTTACCGCTTCGATAATCATGTTGGCTCGACGTAGTAATCTGAACATAATAATAATAATAAATGTTTGTGATGATGAATACGATGAAAAAATCTAAGAGACCTATATTTTCAAATTATGTAGTAAAACTGCTAAATATTCAAATATTTTACATAAAATCAAAATAAATATAAACCCGAGAAAGGAAAATAAAGAGTCTACTATATATACTATATAACATTACAATTCCAATTGATATTTATAGATTCAGAAGTGGTTGTTTATTTCTCTCTAACAATAATAACAAATCAATGTTCTCAATTTGATCGGTGATCGATTAACTGTGTAAAATCCGCATGACATGCTCATACAAACCTATATGTAATATTGGACGTATTTTTCCTGTTGCTATTCTGCACGGCTTCCATAAAGCCGAAGACTTCGTTGACTCCATTTCCACTGCGAACAGGTCTTTGCATTATCAGATTCGTTTTGATGTTATTGTACAATGACGTGACTTTAGCGTTGTTCGCGATTTGTTGCATGGATATAGGTGGACTGGACTTCTCCTCCTTTGTGGCAGCCTTGGAAGTTACTTTTAATATGAAGGACTTCGACGACGTACATTTGTATCTCGATCGGGATTTCAGCAATCGATACCTACGAAGGATACTGTTGGCGACGTGAAACTTATTTCTCAAACCTGCACTGTCTTCGACACAATTTTCATGTGTGTCTGTATCGTCAACCGATGCATCAACGTTACTCGAATTGTCCCGATTATCAGAATGAATATTTTGATTGTTCTCCTGCTTCACTTGAATTTTCTCGCTCTCTTGATGAACATTCACTTTGACCTTCTGGTTCACTTCGGTCTCGCTGGTTATCCTCTTGGTAAGCTCCTTGATTTTGTACATCTCTTTATTAAACTGCTTACTCATCGTACTCCTCTTCTCGTATTTTTTCGACACATACTTCGTAATTCTTTGCCGGCCCATGTCGTTCATATATGTCGCGATAATGCCTATCTTTACCAAGTTCCTCAGAAATGCCCTAGACTGCAACTTAGTGAGGCCCATCTGCCTTCCCAGTTGAACTAGATAAATCATAAAAATCAAGTTACTGCTTATTATTTAGTATTTATAACTGTTAAAAAACGCATATTCCAAAATATCTTGTATCACAAGATAAATTTCTGACGATAAAAAGTTGTAAAACAATTTAGCTGTATTATAAAAATCGTAGATATAGCTTACAAACCTTGAGATATCCCTTCTAATTTGCTCGCCTCGACGATAGCGTTTGCTTGTTTCAGATAGGGAACTTTATATTTATGATTTGAAACATCCAGCTCGATAGCATCCTCATCATCATCCTTCTCCTCCTTATTCCACAAGTCAGCAATGTCCACATCAGGGTAAAGTACTTGCACTACTCTGATCTTCTTCTCCTTTGTAGGATCCTGCTTCTGCCGCCACTCACTGGGCTCTGCGTTGGGATATAAAGTTCTATATGGTACACAGATATCTGTCTTTACGATCTTTTGAAAGAAGGAAGTCTTAAACAGTTTCTTGATCGAATTCTCGATCCCAAGCTTCTTTTTAATCTCATCGTACTCGGCCACGCCATTCTTCTTGGATCGCAGGATTTCCAGCACTTGTTCTGCCAAGTAAGTTACCTTTGGTTTTCGTTCTACATAAAAACGCGGCAGATGTAATAGACTACCGTTGCCGTAGTGGCCGGAGCTTTTCTGATGATGAACTTGCTTTGTAATCAGCTTATGCTGAAGTAAGAATTTTCGGTGGTAGAACAAGCTCTTTGGATCCTCATTGAGTGCAGACAAACTAAGCTTTCCTTGAGTAACCTCGCCATGATAACGAGATCTGCCTACTCTCTCCAGAAAGCAATAGTGCATGATCGTCAGCTCCAATGTTGGGCTTACATTGGAATCCATTAAAGCTCGTGTTCTGACTGACTGAGATGCTACAATTACAAGACTTAACCCATATTTTTCTGTTACTTCATCCAAACTTGCTTTCTTTACACTGTCGCTGATGTTTTTTCTAGAATGATATGTGGAACAAGAACCTCTCACACCTGTTTTAGAATCTTTAATTGGGTAGTGAGGATAAATATCTGATGGGACATTTGGCTGAAATTGAAAGCATAAATGTAAGAAGAAATCCTTTAAAAAGCTTGATAAAAATTGATTCAACCAAATTTAAACTTTTATATAAATACGACAAGCATATTTATTTTTCCAGGCAATTAAAAGTATTGAGTAACTCATAAATATAATTTAGGTATGCAAAAAACAAGATATAACTTATTTCCTAAAGAATAATATTAATATACATATAAAGAATAACAAATGCTGTGTATATTATCTCATAGTGATAATTATTTTATAGTTTAAGCTATACTATGTATAATGTATAAATATAATTTTAAAATAATTAATATATGGATAATATATAGATAAATCTCTATATACCAATATAGATAATATACTTACTGGCTCAAGTATAATGCCAAGATCAGGATGCACATACTCATAACGGTCAAATATAACAAGTGGTTCTCTTGGAGTATTTAATTCATAAAATGAAAACTCTTTCAATCTTTTACATATTGTCCATACTTGATTCATAAAAGGCTTAGGAAGTGGCAATGGATCATGAAATCTGTTTGCTAGTCGTATCCATAATGCTAAAAAAGAAACAATACATGAAAAAAAAATTCATTCATTGAAACAACTTAAAATATAGTAAAGCTTCATTTCATGTATTTATATATTTCAATATTTATATATATCTCTCAGATTATTCTTCTTCAAACATTCTTTAATATCTTTTTTATAAGAAATGACAACTTTGCCCCTCTCATATAAAATGCCTCGTATTAAGACTATTAACTTTTATGATAAAAAGTAATTGAATAATAATTAAAATAATTATTTTACCTTGTAAAGTAATACCGTCTAGTCCTTCTAAAGCAACCTCGTCCACGATCGATTCGACTAAATTAAACGATGGATAAAGAGCCATGTTTAACTTGCGTGTTAGATTAAAAATGTCTCAAATATAAACACTCTGAACACTTATGTAATTAATAATCGCACAATCTTATTAAAAATTGCAGTATTGAAGAAGATACATTGTCAAGTAAACACGAGTAAAATGCTATACGTGTATATATATACATTGTAGCCCTCACCAACTCAGCTTGGCCCACAGCGAGAATGTGTTAGAATGAACATAGTATAAGCAGAGAGAAGAATGAGAGCGGCCACCGGCCGTATTTCGGGGGTACGGCTAGGCGCATTTTAAATACGCCATCTGACCAAAATGCGCCTAAACTACGTCCGCTAGGCGCACTTTCGCGGTGATAAAAGTAAAATGCGCCTAGGTTCGTGTCCGTACTACTTCCATGCAATGGATAGTAGGTTAGAAAAAGACAGACGACAGACAATCGTTCTGTCTTTGTCTCACTACTGAGCGGCGCGCGGCAGTAAGCACGAGGCGAGGTAGCAGCTATCTTATCGCTAAGCGAACATCTCTCCGCTTTTCTTTCATCTTTCACGCTCCAGAGATATCAAAAGACGCGGTCTCGTGTCAAGGGAACGTGCGAAGCGAGGAATTATTTTTCACGCACGCGAGGTAGCACATGGGAGACTAGACGAACGTCGACATATTATCTGTTTCTTTCCCGCTCGTCTAGCTTATTGACTGCGTGAGCCGCGAGATTTTTCTCGCTATTCCTATACCTCGCTCTTTTTCTCTCTCGCTCGTTCTTTCTCTCTCTCGCGCACTTGCTCGCTCTTCCTCTCTTCTCGTGTTCTTACGGCTTGATTAAATATATTAATTACATGACAATATATATATAAATAAATGACACATATATAGTGTATATGTATATAAAGAATATTTAGTATTAATGCCCAAATAAAGAAGAGAGAATTATAATGAGAGACGAAAAGTTAATAGAAATCCACTCTTAGCCAATATATACATCTTTTAAAAATGATTTGTTATTAAAGTATATGACAAAATAATTTATTTATGCTAATAAATTTAAATTAAAAATTAAATGAAATGTTATTTGTTTTGTAAAAGATATTCCATTGTTACATTTTTCTTTTCGTAGCAAAAATAAATTTAGTCTAGTAAAAAAAGAAATTAGTTTTATTATCATATTTCAATTACGACTTTATTATTTAATTTTACGAATAGATAATAGATAAGAATAGATAACGTGCATATTGTTGCTCAACGGAAACCGCGAGAAAATGGTGATCTCCGTCAAAAAATAAATGCAAACTTTTTAATAATATAATAATTTTTTTACGTAAGTGTTTGTTTTTATAGTATAACCTGTTGAATTTTATTAATTATTAATTCAGCATGTTATAGTATAAAAAATATATTTTAATATAAAAATTAATGTAATATTAATTGTTTGCATTTGCAAGAAATATGGATAGAACAGGATAGGTTGCAATGATACATAGGAAGAAAAAGATAGATGGATAAATAGATAGATAGATAGATGTAAAATGTAACAATGGAATATCTTTTACAAAACAAATAACATTTCATTTAATTTTTAATTTAAATTTATTAGCATAAATAAATTATTCTGTCATATACTTTAATAATAAATCATTTTTAAAAGATGTATATATTGGCTAAGAGTGGATTTCTATTAACTTGTCGTCTCTCATTATAATTCTCTCTTCTTTATTTGTGCATTAATACTAAATATTCTTTATATACATATACACTATATATGTGTCATTTATTTATATATATATTGTCATGTAATTAATATATTTAATCAAGCCGTAAGAACACGAGAAGAGAGGAAGAGCGAGCAAGTGCGCGAGAGAGAGAAAGAACGAGCGAGAGAGAGAAAGAGCGAGGAATAGGAGTAGCGAGAAAAATCTCGCGGCTCACGCAGTCAATAAGCTAGACGAGCGGGAAAGAAACAGATAATATGTCGACGCTCGTCTAGTCTCCCATGTGCTACCTCGCGTGCGTGAAAAATAATTCCTCGCTTCGCACGTTCCCTTGACACGAGACCGCGTCTTTTGATGTCTCTGGAGCGTGAAAGATGAAAGAAAAGCGGAGAGATGTTCGCTTAGCGATAAGATAGCTGCTACCTCGTCTCGTGCTTACTGCCGCGCGCCGCTCAGTAGTGAGACAAAGACAGAACGATTGTCTGTCGTCTGTCTTTTTCTAACCTACTATCCATTGCATGGAAGTAGTACGGACACGAACCTAGGCGCATTTTACTTTTATCACCGCGAAAGTGCACCTAGCGGACATAGTTTATGCGCATTTTGGTCAGATGGCGTATTTAAAATGTGCCTAGCCGTATCCCCGAAATACGGCCGGTGGCCGCTCTCATTCTTCTCTCTGGTATAGGTCTGTTTTTTATCACTGAACCAGTGTATGTGTACATTCAAGGAACATAAAAAGAAATATTTACATGAGATTTACATGAGATATACATAAGATATACATGAGATTTACATGAGATATACATCTAGGAGCTAGTGAAAGGGAGAGAAGAGAATAAGTGCAAGTTAGTGCAGCTAGTTTAGCAATAGAAAACAAACCTTAAGCCAGCGGCACACGGTGCTTGTTTTCGTGCTGGATTGCTTGCTGGATGAAAATATTGCGTTGTGATTGGTACATTTCCGAAGATGGATGGAAATGCACCAATCAGAACGCAGTATTTTCATCCAGCAAGCAATCCAGCACGAAAACAAGCACCGTGTGCCGCTGGCTTTATGTTTGGGCTGCGTTCCGATATTCACTGCCAGTACTGAAAATACATAGTTTATGTCACATATATTATAGATTTTCAGTGCTGGTAGTGAATTTCGGAACGCAGCCTATACTATAGGCATGAAGCAAGAAAAACGCAAGAAGCGATGTATCCAATCAATTTTGCTTTTTTTTTTCAAAAGAACTGCTCATAGATGGCACTGTTACCCTTTCAAAATTCAAAGCTTTATGAAACCGCCTTTCGACGGAGCCACATATGCGGACGTATTTGAATAATGCAGTTGCACCTTCGGTCACTGCATTTTCGATGCATGATGTAATGCGAACATAACCAAAAAAAAGTTTTGCGAAAAATATTTACTGTTTATACGGAGCGCGATGTAACGACACGCCGTTTAAGTGCATCCGATGATTTGGCGGATCGTGAACAACTGAAATGGAAAATCACGCCGTGTCGCAGGTAATTCGCGTACACCGGCGCGTTTACAGAAGCCCGTGATTCCGTTACTAAATATAGGATTTATTTTTAGGTTGGAGCTAGCCGCACTTCGAATCGGGAATCTGTTCCAAAACTAGATTTCTAGGAGGTTCGTAATAGGGATAAAGTACCGGTTATTTCTAGATGACACACTATTCCGCAATTATTACGCATGGTTTGACTGCTATATTCGATCGTACAAATAGCACAGACATAATAAATCTACATTTGTTGATAGATAATTTTCGTAGTCTACGACAGTCGTCAATTTTCTGATGTATCAGGATTTTGAGCGATTTTCTTTTTTGTTTTTCTGCTTGTTATATTCATATGTAGAAGCTAAGATAACAACTCAAACATCCATAAGTGATTGTGTGATATATCTTACCTGTTGCTTTCTTTTAATTACAGGGATAAAAATGGCGACTGATGTAATAATCAGGGGCAAGGACAGGCTGCAAGAGATCAGTATGAAACTGGAGCATAGTCACTTGGCATATCTGCAAACAGATGACAGTCCTTTGAAATTACAGCAACGTCACAAATTAGAAGGTACTATGTTAACATGACTTATCATTGAATATTATATTGAGCTTTATATACTTGGAATGTCGTGATATAACTGATACAAGTGGGATTTCAGGCTTCATAAAAGAGTATCTCTGTCTGGTACCCAACGAGAACAAATATGTGTTTCAAGAAACAGCAGATATTTTACATAGATCAGCAGCTACAGTAACAGATTTCAGTGGGTATAGAGCAGCAACTGCCTGGAGTGCAATTTCATTGTATGCAGCTAATCTCTTGGCTCAACCTTGGCGAAAAGAATACAGGATAGTGAGGGTAATTAGTTGAAAAATATTCCATCATTATTTTTATATCATGAATCACACATTTAGCAGATTCAAGCTTTCTTCAACTTATTTCTTCTATTTCAGACATACAGTGGCTATTACAAGCATGAAGTAGAGGCGAATTTAATAGGTGCAGAGTTAATGTTCGAGCAGATGGGCTATAAACATACCGGCCTGGGTGTGCTGACTCTGGAGGGACCGATCGATCCGGATAAAGTCTCCAACGTCAGCAGGGACGCTATCGTGGCTTTCGTAGAGTGTCAGGTAACGCGAGTACAATATGAAACAAACCAAAGGAATAGATTCTACTTTATACGCGCGCTAAGTTATATCTCACCAACGTGAAGAATTGCAACACAACTTCCAGATCCTAAAGCAGATCTGGGAGAGCGTGTCGCAGAACTACACCATCTCCTGGCTGGAGGTGTTGGAGTTCCGCGAGAGCAACGTCGGCACACCGGAACAGGCAATCCGCGCGCTCAACTACCGTTTCCTCGAGAAGCTGCACCAGAACCGCGCGGCTAAGGGCAACAGTTACAAGGATTACTACGCTCAACAACAGCAACAGCAGCAGACCAGTGTGGACGCCGTGCCGCTCACTGTACCGTACCAGATCATGCCGCCAAGTTACAACGCGATGACGATGCCACCTGCTTGCCAGACGGACTTCCGACGTATCGAGGACGTGAGTAACATAGTGCCGGTCAACTACCGCTACTATCAGCCGTTCGACCGCACCTTCGTCAACTGCTGCAACACTTACGGCTGCCTGCCGCATGGGAACAAGTTCTACAGCAGCGGCGGCGTGCCAACAGATCCTTATTGCGCCACGTTGCCGGCTTACCCACAGATTCGAGTACCGACCGGCAGATTGATAGAGCTCGACGCTGTGCCGACGTCCACGATGAGCCACTACAGCGACAAAGCTCCTCGCAAGTCACACAGGATATCGGATCTGGACGAGGTGGACTTCTACAAGCGGCCGCAACCTTTGAGCGACGTTGATCATTACAGCGAGTACGGCGGCAAGACGGCGGCCGACAGGAAGGCCGCCAGCAGATCCAACTCCAACGTCAGCAGAACGCGTAGCGACGGCTACGACACGTGGGACTTCGTGTACAAGAATCTCGAGAGCCAAGGTTACTCGAAGGATATTGGCGAGCGGGAGGACGTGTTGCAGCACAGGAAGGAGTTGGATCCGCGCGCACAGTCCAAGCACAGAGCGCTCAGGACGCAGACGGAGAACGAGAGCAAGTACAGCGCTTACAGGTTCGAGAAGAGAAGGAGCGGCAAGAGCGAGCCGAACGACGTCGACTCCAGCGAGACGAACGGTAGGAATCACCAGGATATCATGCCGTTCAAGAAGAAGTCCTCGTCCTTCGACCTGTCGGACTCGAGCCGGTACAACAACAGCGGCGCCGCTATTACGATAGATGCGTTTAACCGGGACAAGAGGCACAATAGTCAGACCTTGCCGATGCCGCGTATGCACAAATCCTCTGATCAGATAGCGAAGATCGAGGACTCGATGAGGAACATCGACATCGCACGGCTCAGCAAGGACGAGGTCGGCAAAGAAGAGGAGCAGCATGTGGACGAGGGCGAGGGCGGGAACAGGTGGAACTGCGGCACGTGCACATATCTCAACACACCCGGCAGGGACATCTGCGAGATGTGCGGCAAGTCGAGATACAAGGGCAACGAGGACAAGCCGCTCGCCAGTGGCGGCAAGGAGTGCCCCAAGTGCACGCTGGTGAACGAGAAGGACGTTTCTATCTGTGATGCCTGCCATACCAGCCTGAAGGATTCTCCGACCTACATATAGACGAATCGAGTTCCTCGGGGCCTATCGCCGAGAAAAGAGAAAGAAGAAGAAGAGATTACTCGAATCTTGAAGAGTTCCACAATCGGTGGAAGCGAAGGCGGGCGGTCGTGCGATCGTGTAGTGTGATAATTGCCGCCTGATGACGAAACACGGGCGGAGTCTCATCGATTGCAAGCTTCCCTTCTTCCTTTCGACCTCGGCAGAGGACGATCAGCTCGTCGCTTTAGCCAGGATGTTGCGCTATGATCCAGTATAGCGTGCAAGATACGTTGTGCGGATACATGGAGATACGTACAACACGAGTCTTGTTTTCAACGACCTAACATGTACACGGGAAGGCAAATACAGGGAAAAGGAAAAGAGAACTTAGAAGTATAATATATTGATAGCATACGAATCTTGATTATATAGAGAAGAGAGGGTACAAAGTTATTTATTTAAAATTTATCTTGCGCAGTGTACGTAATGTATAACAATTCCTCTTTAGTATCATTTTAGTATTATTATGATATCGGGGCCTATCGGATGAGCATCGAGTAGGCATCAGGAACATACGCATCATTATTGACGCTTTTGTAGCTCTTGACAACTTGCTATTAGGGAAATTTAATCAAACGTTGCTAATCCCATGCAAGACTTCCTGTCGGCTGATCGAAAATCGCGGAACTGATTCACGAAGACTGGTGGAGAAATAACGAGAATTAGTTCATGTGTCATCTGTTTTAATTATACGAACGGCTGTTTTAATTATACGTTCTGTCGTATAAAAAAACGTCGCATTTGTTTTCCAAATTAGGACATCATAATAGAAAGTGAGACGGTACAATAAATTGCCGCTATTGTAAGAAAGAATCACAGCGAATATAAAGTATTGTTAATGTGATTAATAGATTTTGTAATGTGTAAGCACACCACTACGTAATGTTTCATGGAATTGTCCCAAAAATTTGGATCGGCAGCCGCTTCTCGGTTTGCGTATAATAGTCTACGCTATGTTAGTAACTTGAAGGAGTGTTTTGCGTTCCCCCGAAAGTATAAATTTAGGCGTTTATTGTGAAATATAAAGAGAACGTTAAACTCAACTTTAGCAGATTATAAAACTATCGTGCATTCGGTTGCGGATTGTTAGAATTGTCGTAATAATATTTGCATATTGTGCCACGCACATGTAGGGAATGATAATAAAAATTTTGATATGATTGGCGGCATAGTTTCTATGGCAATTGACCAAAATTTACTGACGATACGGCATCCACATGAAATCATGCATTCTGCAATTGTTTAGAAATAACTTTCTTATTTATTTAAGAGCAGTTATTGAGTATATACCCCATTGTTATTTATTCATACATTCCTTATTCACATCGATTCGTTGAAGCGTTAAATCTATTCTGTTCACCGAATATCTTCCATCTCCTACGTATCAGCAACATCTCTATATTTCATTTGTTACATTTAAGTTTGGTTTGGATCATTGAATGTATGTAACTTGCAGTGTCTTAACTTTATACGTATGTAAGATATGCGCAGGATGCTTGAATTTCCGCAAGTTTGTCGAAGTTGCACAAAATGTATATGCAGCTAAGTAAGCTTAGTCGAAAGTGCTTCTCTGTCCGGAGACATTGGACTTTTGCTCAATAGAAGAAAATCTGTAACGAATGCTTGAGCTAATGTACTTCAACTTATGTTCAATCCCCAAGCATTCTTATTAACCGCATAGTCTGTAAAGGGAAATGTTTTTTCTTTACCGTACCGTATTAGCCTAATTTACATAATTTAACGCGCCAAGATTAATAGAGAGAAGATGACTCATGGCCATATCGCTTATTACATAGGCGATGCACTGATAAGAGATAACAAGAGGTATTAATAGAACAATTGGCATTTTAAAGAAGAAAATTTAATACAACTATATATATATATATATTTTTTTTTTCTAAATAAGGATATCCGTTTGTATTTCAGGTATATACTCTATCGCAATACAACTAATTTTTAATACCGTTTATAAAAGTCTGATATTACAAACGTAGTAGAATCAATATTTTTTCATCGATAAAGTATAAGAGTACGGTAAAAACAAGGTAGACAATGTAAAAGCATGCATAAATGGTTATATTGTAACATCTTGCGGAGTTTATGTAAATTGTATAATAATCTGTTGTATAATAAAATTTAATATAATACATATATATTGTATTCATGTAAAACTTTTATTAGACGTGTTGTCATATAGAAATCACATTTATACCAAACGCAAAGATATATTATTTTTAAAAATTTAGATTATATATTACTATAAATAAACGAATACGCAAAAAGAAAGGAATAATAAAATCGCATTAATAAAATAACACACCTTTGGCGAGTTTATCTTTTATCAAAATGAAATCTACGTAAGGTTGGTAGCAATTACTAGGAACTTATTTTCATAGCTTTTTCAATATATTTAGAAGCGGTTTGATGAAGTTTTCTGTCCAACTTGTCTGTAACATAAAAAATCATTTCGTGACGTAATCAATATCGATACATTACTCTTGTATGTATCAAATTATACATGTAATGTAATATTATATTGTATATTAATCTCGTAAGTTATTCGAACTTGCTAATATTCATGATTATACTTACAAATCTTGTGTTTTCCTTTTATGGGAAACGGTACCGGCAACATGCAACTATTCTCACATATAAAGACATATGGACTGTCGTTTTCGCCTTCCGGATACAATTTCCTATACTCTTCTTGCGGGAGAACATTTGTTACCGTTACGCAGCCCAACAAAAAGCCACTTGGATAACTCTCGGGAAACTTAATATGTTCTATAATTTGTAATAAATATATAATACACAATATTATGATATTAAAGACAATCTTTCGTGTATGTGTACGAACCATCTTTCAATATACGGTAGCTACACTCTATACTGGTTATTTCTTCAGCAATCGGTATTTTAACGGTCGATGCTATCCATAATCTTCCTCTATGTGAAGAGTACCATGTTCTACCTTCATGACTGATGATATAAAAATATTGTATCAGTTATTCTCTTGCCTTGTATCAAATTATCTCTTAGCATATGTTAAACTCACACTTTTATTCCAGCCACTAGCAACGATGCATAGGGCTGATGTAAACTTAAGCACAAACCCTGGTCGAATATTTCCAAATATTCCTTATCTTGAATCCTACTTACTAAATTTGTTGTCTGCTCCTCACGTCTTCGGCTTGTTCCGAATGTTCCTCTCTCGATAAACTTAAACACAACGATACATAGTACATAATGAAAAATGAATAATGAAAAATAAGATAAGAGAACATTAGGAAATATTTTAAGAGACTTTCGATCGAACCGTTGGACGTTCATATTCAATGGTTGGGCAGATGTTTATATTTTTTAAGAAATCTGAAATTCCATCATCCACAAACATTGCTGCAGCAGTTTCATCATCAGCCAAAGATTGACTGGCAATTTCATCTTCATCAGTCACCTCTCTTCCCATAAGATTTATAGCAATCCTCCTGTCCAAACGTGACATGTGTTTACGAGCAAGTGCTTCTGTCTCCTGTTTCTGTAATTTCTCGCGTTCCGAAGCAGAAAGCCAAGTACTGTGTGACTGATAATAATCCGATTGGTCGTCGATAACTTTGGTGCGACGAGCACTGCAAAAATAGATCAAGTAGATTTACAATTACTAATTGACATCTAAAAATAACATATGATCATATAATAATAATTGACATATATAAATAATCTTGATAAATATGTGTCAAGTACATACCTATTTCGGTCATACTCAAGAAGCTTGTCCCTCTGTTTCAGAGAATCTTCCAGACCTTTGTTCATTTTCTGATCCATCAATTTGTTGTACAAAGCATCAGCCTGCTTTGATTTACTCTGTAGAATGGTTTGTTGCTCAGGAGAGCATACAAGTTCATTGCAAAAGAAACAGGGCCCTGAACCTTCTTGTGCACAAACTATCTTACCACAACCGAGACAGTTGTTAACCAAAGAATGTCTCCTTGCCTCACAGTTACATCTATGTCTTCCTGAAAAATAAAAATAAATCACTTATGTAATTATATATATATACTTGTTTACATACAGATTCATCATATAAATACCTTTCAAAAGTATATCTCCTTGAGAATATAAATTAACAAATTTAGTCTTCTTTTTTTCTATCTTATCTGGTTTCTCCTGTGTCTGATAAAAAATAATGTTTAATTTTCAGAATCTTCTGACAGTTACTATATAATTGACTTGTTTAATAGTACTGAAATAATATGCAATATACCTGCACCTGGGTCTGCGACGGAGCCTGTACATTTTCTTTCCCCTTACCTTTGCCTTTTTTCTTTTCATTTTGTCTGTTTGGTATTGTATTATTATCATTTACTTTCTTATATCCAGCTTGGTTATTGTAAGATGCTGAAACAAATAATAGTGATTTCATAATTGTGTAACCAAAAAGCTATGTAAAAAAGTTCTTTGAGATTTATTTATCTACACACCACGTTGCTTTTTTAGTTCTGTTACAAATTGCCTGTGCTTTTGATTTTTATTATTCAGGAGAGTTGAGAAATAGTCCTCCAAATCTCTATCATTTTCTATCTGCATAATAAACCTAGAAAAACAAAATAATGACAGCAATATGTTAAATCAAAATAGAAATTTTTATCATTTTTTATACTCACGTAATCATATCATCCGGGATAGGAAAATCCAAAAGCTCGGACAATTTCTGATTAATCCAATCTTCCATGATCACTGAAATAATGATACATGAACGAGTGAAGACAGTTGATAAATGTAACGAACGATGTTTCGATCAAATGTTCGTACTCGCAGTTGTTTTCTTTTCAACTCACAAAATCTAAAAAAGAAATGAACAAAAACAAATGCCAATGGCTGCGTTCAGTAGAACAGAATGATCAGTGAGCGCTTAGTCTGTTATTAGGCCTGTTCGTTTTGTCTGTACTGCTGAACTGGTGCAACAAGTTGAAGTGAGAAAACCTACGTTTGTCTCATTTTAACTTAATGCACCAGTTCAGCAGTGTAGACAAAACGAACAGGCCTTCTTTCTGTTACGTCCTGGACAAGCATAGAACATGCAATGTCTAGATTTGTTTGGTTTCTTCGGATCAACGCCATTCTTGTCCAAATCTTTATTATTTGAATCTGTTGCCTTTGGAAGTGGGTTACTGTTAGGTTTAAAAATAATAATATTCTCGCTAGTGTTGAATTTAACTTCAAATATATTCCCCTTTATTTCAGATTTTATTCTCGGAACCGAAGATTTTGATGGATCTGTTTGGAAAACAGCCAGGTCGAGCGTGACTGGATTATAATAACCTTTTAACAGACGTCTAAATTGAATCCGCCGTTCAGCTCTCCTTGTTCTCGACATAAGAGGTTTTTTGGTAATACTTATTTTAATAATATCTATTATAGGGTAGGTGGAAGGGACGTGATTAAGTTTAAAGAATAAAAAGGCGAACGGTGCTCGTGGTTCAAGCACAATTAACATTCTTAAAGTAAGGAAGAGAAGAACGGTGCTCATGGTTCAAGCACTGTGTTCTGGAAAAAAGGAAGAATGGTGCTTGTGGTTCAAGCACAATACTCTTAAGGTAAAGAAATGAAGAACGGTGCTCGTAGTTCAAGCACTGCGTTCTGGAAAAAGAATGAAGATGATAATCAGTGAAGGAAGAGAGGTAAAGAAATCTGTACACACACACATATATATATTATAAAATGACTCTATATTGTTAAGTTTTAAAATTCATACACTAAATTTAATATAGTTAATAGCTGGCTTACTTATTCAAGTAATAGAAATAATTTTTTTATAGTATCATTATGAGGAAAAGAGGCTCGTTCGACCTTTAATGATTTGGATTTTACGTCTTAACAAATGTCTTAGCATTTGCAGACGGAATCCCAAGAACAATAATCTTTAATACTGACCTTTCTGATTCCAGGCTCAAGACCCTTTGGCAATCAGCTAACAAGAGGATCAGCGAAAGACTGTCTGATGGCTGATTGGAGGCTAACAAGAGACTGACGAGAGATTGACTGCGCGCGAAGCAGCGAAGAGTCCTTTTTATACCCAAGCTCAACACTATGGGTGTCAATTGAGCGTTTTTCCTAATTCACTGTTCATTATTTATGGGTTAAAAAATATAAAAATGTTATTATCTAGTAATTAAAACTATACCTAATATGTAGCGTTTGGTAATTCAGTTGTCTCGTTGTTGGCTGATTTATTAATAAAATTATGTTTTACTAAGAAATGGAAATGTTGTTATTGATTTCCTTTGGTATAATATAAGAATTTGGAAATTTTGAATATTAAAAAAACTATTTCATTCGGGCGTAGTAATTGTTAAAGTTAAATAATACGAATAGATCCTCTTACGATTCTAAAGCGCATATATATTAAGATAGACGGTTTGACAATAATATTTGAAGAATTATTTGCGAAATATGATGGCAATTATTTAATATTATTTAAAAAGAAAAATAAAAGAAAGAGAGGAAATTATTTTCCTCTTTGGGTCTTTGTTTCGGGTCTTTGTTTGGTTCGCAATACGTGGGACAGCTATCGCTAGATGATATCTATAACATAAACACATTCCAATATGTGCGCGGCTGTGCCCGAACGAAATCGTTCTTAGTCTCCGAGACAAATGAATCTATAAGCTAGCTCTAAATTTATTTCCTTGAATTTTCTTATTCTCTCCTTTCCTATTTTATATATTTACTATGTCGATGTCTGCTTCAGTCCTATGTTAATGTTAATTTTATTTCAAAGTATGCTATTTAGTATTATTTTTATTTAATCAAAGTTCTTCATTTCTATCTTGAGGAGGGAAATGAAGAAAACTAATTGGTTTATTCTCTTATGCGTTATGTATTATGTGTTATGCAAAAGCCTGGGGCCCTATTCTTAAACTACTTGCGTATACGTAAGTAGCAAGTTTCGACTAATCGCAATGGAAAATCCCTAGAACCGTATTCTTGACAGTCGCAAGTGAAACGTATACGCAAATTATCATTCGCAATGCAACGAATGGGTAATACCATCCGTTTCTCTCGAAACGTATGTGATACGTTATACAAAGTATAGAAAGTGGAATATAAGAGCACACATAGAAACATATTCTTATTAAGAAGAAGAATAATTCGACGCCAAGACGGCTAAAAGAGTGGAAAATAATAGCTGACTTTACATATCTGTAAGGGAAATAATAAATATGAAATTTAAGAGAAAATAGCATATAAATTTCATTGCATTTTAATTATAGAGTAAAACTGTGTGACAATAATGGATTTAGATGATATAATAGTAAACATACAAGTCATAAATGCGTTAGAACATACTGAAATAATGGAAGAACCAAGAAGATTTTTCCATATTAGTTCCATATTTTCCACTTTGTTCTGCTGAACGCAGCCAATTAAAGTTCGTCGTATCGTATTTTTGGTCGAGATTTACAGAAAGTACATATGTTTTCCAATATTGTCAAACGTAATTAAACGCAACGGAAAGCGTATATGTTTCTAGTTGCGAATACTACACAATTAAGTTCAAGAATATCGTGTCAGAAACGTATGCGCATTTTTACTATTCGCAATGTGCGTATATGTAAAGTTGCGTATAGATTCAAGCAGTGATGTCAGATGCAATATATTGCTACAACGCTACAACGCATGCGTGAGATGACGTAGCTCTATGCCAATGATGGCAATAAAGCGCATCGCAGAGTCCATGAAGGGGCCCGCGCTATCCGATCAGCTGTCTTCTAGACTCCAGTATAGTTTTCCCATGTTTCTTGCGCGAGTGCCTTATCTTAGATTATATTGTTCAGTGGATACTAAATATCAGTTACATTAACATTATAATTCCAGTGAATACTAAGTAACAATTACGTTACATTAATATTATAATTTTTCACTAAACTATGTAACTGTTACATAATATTTGTATTAGACTCATATTAGACTATAGATTGAGAATTACTATCGGACCAAATAAAATAACTACGATTTAGATTATCTAATTTACTCGATTGCAATTCTCAATACATAGTATAATACGAGCGCTATAATACCTTAAAAAAGATACGATACTGGGGTTTTTTACTCAAGCAGTGAGTACGTCATCTCACGCATGCGCTGTAGCATCGCAATATATTGTATCTGACATCACTGATAGAGCCCTTGTGCTCTTAAGCCAGCGGCACACGGTGCTTGTTTTCGTGCTGGATTGCTTGTTGGATGAAAATACTGCGTTCTGATTGGTGCATTTCCGAAGATGGATGGAAATGCACCAATCAGAGCATAGTATTTTCATCCAGCAAGCAATCCAGTACGAAAACAAGACCGTGTGCCGCTGGCTTTACCCTAAGCGTGAATCTTCCCTTGGCTGCGTTTCACTACCAATGCTGAAAATACATAGTTGTGTCACATATACTATAGATTTTCAGTGCTGGCAGTGAATATCGGAATGTAATTTCAGTCTCATTCTATTCCTCGGAGTGAAATTTGTAGGTAAAATTCAAGCCATTTGAAAGGAAAAGAAACAACGTTCCAATGTATAATAATAGTGCACAATGTGCATCTAAAAATAGTAGTTTTATTGTTAGCAGGCTGGTTTTTAGCGCATGTGTAAAACAATACGAAAATTCTAGGAGGTTATAGCAAATTCGTGATTATCGCACGTGGACGTGTAGATTCATTTAACCTCTTGTAGTTTAGCGCATACTTCTCATTTGTTACATTAACTCAAGTGAATTGATCCATTTGATCTAGTTGCCTTAATAATTATTGAATTAATATCACAAGATGGGCAAGCAGAAACGACAGCGGAAAAGGCCTCACAAGCAAGGTCCCAGTGGATTAATGTCTGTTAAGGATTTCGATAAAATTGAGGATAGTACAAGCATAGATAGAATAAGAGCTTTGCAGAATGCTTATGAAGATGTAAGCATTTCAATTTTTTATATTCTATAATCTGTGTCTATGTTTTAACCTCTTAATGATAACAGTATTGTTGAAGAAGACAGAAGACAGAGGATGTTAAATAATAGAAGATACAAACTGTTGTGTTAAAGATCACAGAGCACACAGGACAAAGCTAATATCTCAACTGTTTTTTTTCTAGGTACAATCGCACGATTCTGAAATAAAATTGTTAGCTTTGCAAATATTGGAGACAATGGCCTGGGATGTCTCTATGGCGGAGAATATTGCTAAGGATGGAATAGCGAAGATGGTTGGACCATTACTGCTTGATCATAATATTATGATACAAGCAGCTGCTATAAGTACTTTAAGGCAAATTGCTGATAAAGGTGGAGCAAAAGCACATGCTAGTTTAATGAACGATGATATTATGACTCCAGTGATTGCATTGTTAAAACAAGTAAGAAACTTTAATAATGGTTCCGATTTCTATATAATAATTGTTCAGATTTCAATGTATCTTAGTATTTAAGATTAATTGAAATGAATCGTCACGATAATATGTAATAACAATGCACTCAAATTTTTTGCTTACAGCACTATTCAAATTGGTCATTTAAAAGTGATTATAAATATGCATTAAATGAGAAGGAGATTTATATTCAGAGTGTTGCCTTATTATGGACATTATGCGAGAGTAATGATAATGCAATTAAATATGTCAATGATCAGAATCTGGTGCCACTTTTAACAAGATATTTAAATATGAATATCTATGATATACAGATTATTGTGATTACCATGCAATGTCTGATAACTGTGGTAGAAGATAATGCTGATGCTGTTACAGTGGTTAGAGCAAGTGAAGATGTTTTATACGATATAGCGATTAAAATGAGTACAGAGGATGCCAAATCTAACCCTGAAGTATGGTTTCTAAGAACCTCTTCAATTACATTATTAAGCAGTATATGTAGCTGGGATGACTTATGCAAGCCGACATATTTTAATATTTTTATCAAAACACTCGATGAAGTACTTAGCATTGATAGTAAACAACTGCTGTCTAGTTTAGTATCAATTGTACCGCACGAAAAAACCACTTCGAACGAAAAAAGGAAAAAGATAGCAGAAAATAAAATGTTGGTGAATACGCAGAACTTGGCCTTAGAGACTTTGGCGAACTTTTGCTCCGATAACGACGAGGATAATGGAAGCACAAATAGTGATGATTCCAAAATAATGGACATGGATTCTGAGGCAATGGATATCGACGATGAGCATCTAAAAAGTTCATTACCCATACAGTTTGTGGAAGCCGTGAACCATTGCAACTTGCTCGATAAAGTTTGGGAGAAAACCGTCGCGGTGGAGGCAGACAGCAAGGATATACTGAACCAAAACGAGGAAGGGAAGGATGTGCTGAAACAGTTTTACATTCTTCGATGCAGAGCGTACATGTGCTTGAATAATTTGCTACCTAATTTTGATATCGATGCTTTAGGAGGCGTAGATAAATTTTACAGGTAAAGATTGACATGATTAAATGTAATGTTGTTGTTTAGTACACACTTGTATAAACTGCTTTATACATGGTTTTCACTTGATCCTCTTGAACATTTTCGCAGCAAATGGTTAGAAGTATTGAAGATCGTGGTCGAAAATATCAATCTGTATACAGGGTATACAGAGCTCCTTGATGCAGCTGCTTGTGCTTTGAGGACTATTACCGAGCGATTAAACTGTGTACAGACCGATGTTTTTACACGGCTAAACGAAACCGATTTTCCGAAAATAATTGGCGATGAAATTCAGTTGCAATGTATCAATCCAAATACCCGCGTCAATATGATGAGGATTTTCGGCCTTTTGACGTTGAACATGACAAGGCATATGAATGCACAAAACTATACAATAGCAAAGGTGAGTGTTTACGTGTATTGTCGACTTTCTTCTCGATTTGCTTTCCTAATCATTGTTCGTTTGTAGAATTGTTCCGAGGTTATACTGAACACTTGCATGACAGAACCGAAAGCTTGGGTAATGGCGGAATCCATAGACGCGTTAATGGACATATTCGCAGAGGATGACACCGATCAATTAGCAGTTGATGTTAATTTGATACAAAAGTTAAAAATTTTATTCCCGATCTTCAGGAATAAGGTAAATAGGGATTATCTCTTATTCGGTAAAACTATACTCGACAAACTTGGTCGTCAATTTGATTGATTTTCATTTTATCATCACCTCGCAGGTGCAGCAGCAGAAGAACAAGTTGCGGGATAGGATGGCCGTGGTGTCGACCGTAAAAGCAAATATACAGAGATTTATAAAATATAAGGAGAAACAAGTGAAAAATCTTCTTTTACTTAAAAAAAGAAATACTATTAGGCATACTTGAATCGCGTCATCGAGGCTCACGTTTCGAATTTTCGAGGAAATCACGAATCGAGACATTGTATAGCAAATAACGTATGAAATTTTTCAAGGATGGAAGATGCAATAACGCTCGATTCCATTATGAACTTTCGTATTTCTATAGATTCGAGTCTAAAAAATAAATTTATTTCTCAAGCTGTTTAACCATCGTATTTTTTTTAATAGAACTCGTGTAGCAGGATCACTTTTCCTCATATATCACAGGACATCTCTACGATAGCTTCGACTTTATTTCTTGTATCAATAAATAATAACGAAAATTACATCTAAGCATTGCGGTGAAAGGTCCACGATGTTAGGAACAAAAGTCACCATGTGCGATCGTGCGGCGCGTCAAGAAGAAAATGCTAGAATTCCGTCGCGAATTCCATCGTCGGAGTGACATACGAGGCGTCATTAGTGCGAAACTGTTGCGATTTAGCGAGCAAACGTCACGCGTCGAGAGAAGGTAATACAGAGTACAGCGTGTATTATACATCATATAGGTAATTCGTCTATGCGACACCGTCGAATTCTCTGAGTCGCATCCGGGTTCAGCTAATAAACGCGGATATTATGCCTTCGATGCATGCGTAGAAGTCGAGACTGCACCAGGAGTTCCGTCGTGGACAGATCTTGTACAATGTTTGTTTCTCTTCTCAAAAAGATTTCCCTCTCTTGTCCTCCTGCGGGCTTCCGTTGTTTTCGTTCGAGCGTCTGGACTCTGACACGTCGTTCAGACTGAGCGCGCTGTGCCGCCTGGGCTTCGGGATTGGGTTCACCTCGTTCAGCAGCTCGGGCTTTTGCCTGATCGGCTCAGAGATGTGCAGCTCGATCACCTTGACCGGCTCCCGGGGTGCCGCAACCGGCTGCGGCGCGTCCGTCAATCTGACCACGTGAATGTCCTTCTGCTCGCGAGGTAGCTCCTTAAACTCTATTTTGACGCCGGATTGTTGCCCGTTCGATACCATGTTCTCGAAGAAGTGCCGTCGATTCGCCTGGATAGACAGTCTAGGACTCGTAAGCGCCTCATCCTCCGCTTGCTCCTGTTCCTTCCACGCGTTCTTGCTCTCCAGAGCCTTGATCTGCTTCTCGATCTTCTCGATCTCCTCTTTCACAGAGAAGCTGTCGCTGCGGGACAGCGTACCGGACGAACCTCCCCTCCTGAGGCAGACCTCCTCTTCACTTGTATCTTTGATGATCTCGATCTTCTCCTGCGACGTTCTTTGATACTCCACGTCGACAGAATCGTCTCTCTGCTCGGCGAGATCTTCTTCGGCCGCCGGCTCGTTCGTTTTCTCCTCCGCTTTCGTCTCGGGTTCTACTTCCTCGGGCGCTTTATCGGCGGCACTCTGTACAATTTTCTTTCCCGAGGAATCGTCTTTTTCTTTCACGTCGTCAGCGACGTCGTCGCTGTCCGCGATGCCGTCGGGCGATGTGCTCACGGTAATCTTTGGGCATAACTCCGTCTGCTCCTCTTCTTCTCGCAATGCGTTTTCTCGCGCTGGTTTATCTTCCTGCGGTTCGCAGTTCTTCTTCGTCAACTCGTCAAGATTTTCAGTCACTCTAGCGATATCGATAGGCTCGACTATTTGCAGTTGGACATTGGTGGCCTCGGCTACGGCTCGTACATCGTTCTCCTGTAAAAGTGTTACAATGACATAAAAAACATTCTTCATATATCATAATCACTGGCCGATCGATCTATACATACCTGAGGAGTTTCCAACTGCTCCCTCCGTTGCGGCGGTTGTGGCGCTCTTCGTTTCTTGCGTCCGTACGTGCTCGCCGTACTGGTAACGGATACGCAACTATTGATGGACAGATTGGATCTTCTCACGGCGTCTTGGCTGAATCTCTTGAAGACGTAATCCTCGGGAACGTTCTCATTTTCGTCCCTGAGAGTCACGTCGCCTGATCGACTAGCCTCCTCGTCCAAGTCCGACGTACCTCCGTTCAGCCTTTGCGACGATCGATTGCCGAACCTTCGCCTAAAAGCAAAAAAGATCAATAAGTCTCGAGGAAGATGACTCCAGCGTGGTTCTACAAAATACTTCGTCGCTGATTACACAGTGTTACTATCGTCTTGCAGACAAGACAAGCAGCGTGAGAACTTACAAGGGTGGTATTGGCGTTCCTTCCGCCTTGTCGCTAGGGCTTGAGACGTTTCCGTTCTCTTTGAGCTCTTTGTTCTCGAAATTCAACGGTGGTATCTTGTCCGTCGGTCTCGGGCTCACCTGTCCGAACCTGGAAAACAATCGTGGCATGTCTAATCGTCGAAGAAACTTCTTCGATTTAATTCGCAAAGCATTGTCGTCTCCATAAAGCACTTTGTCAATTCTCGCTTCCCTCTGAATATCAATTCTCTAATTCTAAAACTGTCAGTCTTGGTCTCTAGATCAAATTCCAGGTGCAGGCAAGGTGCTAATTAAATTACGGCGTAAGTCCTTGAATAGCGCCAAATATTTGTGCGTAATGACGAGGAAACTTCAGCAAGTCTCGGCTCTAGTCTTGGTGATTCTCACTTTCTGGCCGGTGGCTTCGGGGTGAGATCACCCATGATGGACGTCGTGGTGTCCTGAGGACTTCCATCGTAGATCCTAGCGGGATCGCCGTTCACAGTCAGACTCGAGTTGTATCTCGAGGCATTGTTGTCCAGCGTGTATTTCCTCCTCCTCGCCAAGGTGCCCAGCGCCTCGTCGAACTCTTGTTGGTCCTTGGACAGGCGTGCAGGTGCTATCGGTCTGTCACAAGGCTCTCTCTTGTACGTCGTCGAGACTGCGGCACGCGATAAGTGGCGATTTTATTTTACGCGCTGAAGTGCGACGTCGATTACGTAAACGCTGATACGACATTCTTTGTATTCACGATGCGCGTATAAAGCCGAGAAGTGTTTATTGCCGACACCTCTTAAATCTGCCTTTTCAAGAAATCCAAATCACGCTCTTTCGCAACGCGCGATCACCGTCTCTCATGAATACCGATTTACCGGAGAAATCACCTGACCGCTGCTCGCTGAAGGAACACGAGGAACGAAATCGCATCGTCAAACATGATGCAATTTAATTAAATGTACCAGACAGCTTCGCATTGATCGAGTTGAACCCGACTGACCGAATATAATTAATAAATACCTGTTGTGATCGTCGACCTCTTTTCGGCCGGTTCCACAGCTTCCTTGCGTTTTCCGAACAGTCCATTCCTAAGCACAAATATCGATATATTCAGTCGAATCGTGGAATTATCAGTTCGATATTATCAGCTGGGAGCGCAACGGAGCGCCGAGGGAACAACGCACGCTCTGAATTCGACATTAATGCGCGACCGTTATTATTTCGTTCGTCCAGGAACACTCTGATTCCATCGTTGAGCGACAAGTGACAATAATCGTGTCGCGAGTTTCGCGTCGGCTTCTTAACGGATCCACGCGGCACTTACGCGCACGCGAGGATGACGAGATTGCGAGTTCGCGGCGTTTGACACACTTGGGACACGCCGGGGAGGTCATAACGCGTGATCGTTCCCGTGCTTACGTCGTATTGCTATTTACGTCCGAAACGCCTCAGCACGATGATCAGGTCGCTCGAGAGCGAGAGAAAGAGAGAGGATTCAGGCCGAGGGGAATGAAAGCAAACGGCTTGTTTATTCGCGGGTTTAAAAATAATCGCGAAAGTCATCGCGAGAGACGTGTCGCGCGCGGTGCACACTGCGACGTCACGAACGAATTCTTATTTTATCCGTCGCTGTAGGCGCGCGCGCGTGGCAAGATCGAGTGTAGATCACACACGAGAGCGTGGTGATGATAGAGCGACAGGAAATGAGAAAAAAAAGAAACAGAAGCGACGAGAGAGAGAAGGCGAATTCTGAAACGCCACCGTGCGCGCTCGCGCGCGCGGAAACGGCGCAAAGCCGTCCTCTGCATTGACGATTGTTAAAAGCGTCGATTATAGTCATCCTCATTCCACTTAATATCACTTCCACCTCGCCGCGGCGAGCGCGGCCGATAATTCGAAGCGCTTCATTCGCGTCGTTACACGTGCGAGGCTCGCGGTTAATTCGGACTTTCGATTCGACGATCGCGCACGCAGCGCGGATCCTGCCGCGGAGCCTCTCGGATATTCCGATTGCCAATCAGACCAGAACATTCGTTGTTGTTTCTAATGAAAGTATTTTTAGTCACGTGAACGCCCCGCGAGCCGAGTCCGCACGAAAAGTGCGCGGCTCCTCGCAAAAATGTAGCACGGCTATCTTGCGCAGCTAATCGCGTCTTCTCCTCGCGTTTAACTCCTCCGCGAAGCTACTCGAGCAGTCGAGCTTGCTTCTCAGCCGGATTCTTTTTCCCCTCAGGGGCCGGTTCTTCCGATTAAGTTAACTGATAGTTAAATCATGCGTTTATCTTTGTTTTTCCTTCAGTTTAGACAAAGACAGACATATGATTTAACCATCAGCTGACTTACCAAGGAGTCGGAACAACCGGCCCTAGGTGAAGGATGTGTTCTCAGGATGTGTCCCGAGCGGGAAGGGAACAAGTGGTGAGCGAGGGAGCATCCTCGAGGACTCGCGTCCTGCTGATACCGAGACGTGGCTGATTCCTGCATGGAACTTGTTAAACTTAACAAACGCCGAGTGTTATTGTTATCTGGACATGCACGTCGCGTACGTACGACACTTGGACTTTAGCCAAATGCCGCTGCTAACTGATAATCTAAATCCCGAGCACGAAGGTTCAAGTTCAATGAACCCCCCGCTGAGAAGGTCGGATCATCAGCCGGCTCTCAATCGAGTATTTTCGCGTGTGTCTGCACACCATGTCATGCATGTACCGCGTGAAGCTCCCTCGCGACTTGCCACGTGTCGTTTGTTTATATATCTGCCCGCTCGTTTAACTTGATAACGATCGACGTATCAATTTCGGAGCGATGACGACGACTTCGCGCGCGCGGGCGGAAAGCCAAGTTCTTTTTCTCAGTTTAAGTTCCTTTTCTCGTAAGTTAAAGTTTTTATTTCTCTTAAGTTTAAGTTCCTTTTCTCTTTGGGGCTTCAAGATGTACGGGAATTTTAGACATTGCGTCATCTGGTGCTCAACGAATCGCGGAATTAATTCCGGAGAGACTCGGGGGACAAAAGTGACCGCAGCTCGGCGGAGATAGCGTGTGTCGTCGATTGAAGATTATGGATCTTATGGAAGAGATTAAGACTCGACGAATCCGAATGGTCGAGGCCTGATCTTCAATCTGGACTCTTCAGTGTACAATATTTACGACCTGATACCTGACTTTTGTAATCACGATCTCACGATGATACAGTCGTTCGCCGGGAGGCCAGCAAGAACTCACCAAGTAGACTTGATGGAGAAGCTGTGGGAGCGCTTCTTGCGGCTTCTGCCGAACGTCCAGAATTTGTGCTTGGACTCCTTGGGCGTCTTACCCCCCTCGCGGTACACCGGCGGCTGCGAGCTCGCGATGTCGTCGTTGAAGGGATTCAGGTGTTCCGGGTAATCGTAGATCGAGATGCTGGGCCGTCTGCTCCTCGTCGACATGATTCGCCGCGCGTGCTTCGATCCTTGCCACCGGCGGAATGACGAAATATTGCGGGGGACGCCTCGCTCACCTCGCTCTCGTCATAACTCAGCTTGCCTGCACACGCCGCCTGCGATCTGCAAGCTGAATCCCAGCACGGCCATCAGGCGCGATCGAAAGGCGAGGACGAAAGAACGACGTCCGCTCCGAGCTGAGCTCGAGTCGCGTCGCGACGCAGAGAGCGATCGCTCCGGCCGTGCACTTCGATCCCGCCAGCGCACGTGGTGACCTCCGCGTTAATCTGTCAACCTGCCTCGGGTGGAAAGCCCCATAGGCATGCATATCTCGCGCGTGGCGGCCGGCGCGTTGCAATTAACCCGGTTAACAGGACGACGTCTGATCGCCAGCGGGATTACGAGGCACAGCTGTGCCGACGCACAGTGGGAACAAATAGAAATTTACTGTTGAAAAATCGCTAGAGACCACAATTTTGTAGCAATCGGGATGCGTTTCTTTTTTTTAATTGAACGTTAATCAATGTAGAAAAAAAACTGTCGGGCCCGATTTTTGAAAACATTCTTTAAAATTTTGCAGTATTAACAAGAATTTGTAAGAAATCATCAAGTTTTGCGAGCCTCCGTTACAAATGGAAAAACTTTCCATCTTTTCGCTGCGCGGTACGGTGTAAGGTTTTCTAAGGTTTTCAGCATCGCTGATTACGAATGTGATATAAAAATCAGAATTTGGCAGTTAACAATTGTTAATCTCCTGTCAATATAAATGAAATCATTGTTTTAACATATTATATAAATGTGAAGTCTGATATGATAAAAATAACAAATTCAGCGGAAAAGAGTTGCAAAATAATCTGTTTGTAACAGAATTGTTCTCTCACGAAAACCAAATATGTAGCTTTGATCTGATGTTTTCAAATTATCAAGCAACAGGTTTTCAAAACAATCATTTTCTAAATACATTGTTTAAACATACATATACATTACATTGTTTAAAGTTTTGTTATGAACAAATTATTTTGCAACTTTTTTCCGCTAAATTTGTTATTTTTATCATACTTCATATCAGACTTCACATTTATGTTGAACGGTTTTGTATACTCTATTGCAACGTATATGCTGTGTTAAAACAATGATTTCGTTTATGTTGACAGGAGATTAGCAATGGTTAACTGCCAAATTCTGATTTTTATGTCACATTCGTAATCAGAGATGCTGAAAACCTTAGAAAACCTTACACTACACTTCGCAGCGAGAAGACGGAAAGTTTTTCCATTTGTAACAGAGGCTCGCAAAACTTGATAATTTCTTACAAATTCTTGTTAATGCTGCAAAATTTAAAAGAATGTTTCCAAAAATCGGTCTCAACAGTTTTCTCCACATTGATTAACGTTTAATTTAAAAAAAAAACGTATCCCGATATAAAATTGTGGTCTCTAGCGATTTTTCAACAGTAAATTTCTATTTGTTCCCACTGTGCCGACGTTTTCATAATGCGCGTTCGTGCGTAAGCGCATCTCTCGTTCTTTCTTTCTTCGGTTGCTTTCGCGGAGCTCGATCGATTAACCGTCCGCTTGCCGATCGCCGGCCGCACGTATCAGGGGCTAGCAGAAGCTCGTCGGGTCGTGGGGTCGCGCGTGGGCCTCGAGAGTCCTTTTACGGACTCCGGGTCAGACAGTGGCACCCGAAGGTGGCAGGAAGCGGCGGACAATGAGAGCAGACTTGCTTGGACTGAAGACACGACGACACGCACCGTTTCGTTATTATCGACGAGAGAGGCGCGGCTGACAAGCCGACGAGCTTCCGCACGAGTCTCTAATACTTGTCGTTTTCGTCGTCGTCGTTGTCGTCGAGACGCGCGCGACGCGACGTCACTCACGTCGTCACAGCAATCGTTATCCCGCTTCGTGGAAGTGTCGTGCGATCGTGATGTAAGTTGTTTTACTCTCCAACGAGATAAAATGCGGTCGTACAGTCCGAAAAAGAGGATTTCTTCTTTCACGCGCGTTCCGCAGCGCCGCTGCTCGATAAGAAGAACGAGCGAGGCGTTCGCTCGCTACTAAAGCGCATCGCGTTGTGCAAATAATGCCTAACAAACGCAATTAGCTCAATTAACTGAGCGTGCCCGCGCCCCGTGTTTCGTCAGCGCGTGGCTCGAAAATCGCGCGTGGTATCGCAAGAGGCCACGCATGCGGCTCTCGTGTATTCAGTTTCGCGGACGAACGACGCATACACGGCGATCGGGCGACGTATTGCGCGAAATGCGCGCTTGAAGGTTTTATGCTAATGGCTATCGAACGTGCGACACGCGCGCAAATCGCCCGCGAATGCAAATCACCGCCGGCGCCGCGGAAGTGGTGACGCGCAAAAACCGTAATAATGAATGCGCACTGGGGAGAAAGGGGAGTATTGTCTGCGACGTGGCAGCGATGAAAGAAAGGGAAGGTCTCTGAGAGAGAGAGAGAGAGAGAGAGAAAGAGAGAGAGAGAGAGAGAGGCTTAGATTCAAGTTAATAGTCGTTACTCGAAACTTGCTCGCCGACTCGATTGAAGTTGCACTTGATGATGCGTGACGTGATATTTTTGCGACTGTAATTCGACTGGAAAACTCGCATGTCCGGCTCCGAGGTCCACATTAACAGGCACTTTGCTCGCCTCGCTCAAGAAACTCAGAGCTGAACTTGCTGAAGTTAAACTTCGCGTCTTGCGCTTGAATCACGCGATACACGACATCCCACTTGCGGTCGCGATTCTACTGAAAAGAAAAGAAAAGAAACCTCTGACTCCAAACTTAGCCTTGAGTGTCTCACCTGAAGAAAGCTTCGAGTAACGACAATGTTAATACGAATCCAAATTGCAAATCCGGCTGGCTTGTCTGAGACAGGTGTCGAGCAACGGGACTGGGAACACGCGACTCCTCCGCTCGCCTCCGTCGCTCGTAAAAGCACTGTATACGCTCGAGAAGCTTGCATAAGCGTCGACCTGGCTAAAGGACACACGTGGGGACGAAAGGCGATAGGTCTGGGACGCTCCGTATATTTCCTCGCGCGGAGATTAGCGGTCGCCCGGGACGGGCGAAACGCGACAATCGATCGATCGATCGCGACGATTGTGACGCACAAGTTTCGCAACTCAGCGCTGTCGCGAGCAAAAAGATCTCTTTGTGTGTAACGTGTGTGTGTGTGTGTGTGTGTGTCGAGTTAACGCTCATCGTTTTCGCCGGGCTCTCACGTACATATGTGCTCGCGGTTTCACAACGAACACTGACACATATCACCTGGGAGAAGCGGCCGGAGCATATCGCGAGCGCAAGGAACATAATAGGAAGATACTAACGAGAGTTACCAGTCACTCGGACGTGACTGGGAAACGACTTGCGCGGCGGGCTTGCCCGCCGCGGGGAAAGATGCGCGATTCATCAACGCGAGCGTGCGAAATCCGATCGTCTCGGCTCGTAATTTCTCCGGAGCGGCGCGCGAAGCAAAGTCGCGTACGCGGATCCGGGGAGCGATTACGCAAAGGGAATTTAATCTAATCTCACCGCTGACGACGATTTCGCCGCGGCACAAGCGCGAGCGCCCGGCAGCACCTCGTTTAATCAGGTCTGCCGCGCGATGACGCGCGATCGATCGCCGATCTCTCGATAAAGCCGCTGCGGCATTTTTGCGCGAACGGCGAACCTCGAAGTTGCGCTCGTCCGACAGCTAAGCAAATAGATAAGCAAATGGCGATGCTCCGTATCACGGCGGGTGTAGGATAATTTTCCGCGTCGGCGACCCTCGCCGCGCCGGTTCGAAGCTCGCGCGATCGCGGACTCCCTAATTAACGATCGTTTAATCGCCAGCTGGTACAATCGACACGCGGAGTCTAAGTCTGGCCGGGTGATTCACGGCACAAGTCGCGCGCGACAATGCAGCTTGTCTTATTTTCATCGGCCACCGGAGACGTCATCGACGCGCCGGGATGCAGGAGTCGGCGACACGACGGACGAGCGGATGTCGCTCGCGCGAGAGTCTTCCTCAACCTTTACCGGGACCCGAAAGTTCAGTCGGAGAGCACTTCGCTCGGGAAGATTCGCGACTCGATTGCCGATTCGCGCGATCGGAAATTGCGTTTGCGTCTTGAAGTGACGTTCCCGACTTGTGTTCGCGCTGCGATGCTTTCGAACATTGCACCCACTTTGAAGATGACTCATTTCTCTTTCTCCATCCCCTCCTCTCTTTCTCTCTCTCTTTTTTTGCAGCGTAAGCGGGAAACATCGTCATGTATAGAGACAAAGTCGAAAGTCGACTCGAAGCGCGGGGTGTGAAGGGGGAAAAGGCTTTGTTAATAAAAGCAAGCAAGCTGATTATCGCGTCGCGTGCGTAAACGCGGCGCGATTTTCTGGCTCCCACCCAGACTCTCGCGGCCGCTCCACTTCACCGGTGATATTTTTGGACCCCGGGAGATTTAACGAAATTGTATCACCCGAAGACGTCGCGATGATTTTTCTCCAGAGGAGGTCTCGACGATCCTCCTCTTCCCCTTTTGTCTTGGGCGGCGGAAAAGCGACGCGTTAAGAACGCCTCTCCGTCCTGAACATCTCGGCGAGTAAACGACTGGAGAAACGAGTCTATCCAGCGGATTCCCGAGCTTTTCAGATAATAAAGCGGCAGCGATGTTCGGATCGGACGACAGTGCTTTCTCGGCGGGGAAAATCCGGAATATAAATTCCATCGAAGGAAGGAGAGAAACAGACAACGCGGTCGCGACTACTGAGGTGTCCCTCGTGTTTTTCTTCTTCCACGGATCGCGGATACGCAGAATCGGTATCGGCCTGCTCGAGGCGCGTTGGATTCTTCGACGTGTAACGTACAGATAACGTAATCTTATGGACGAGTTTCAATAAGAACCTGATTTTTAACCCTCCGTGTCTCACGTGAGTGGGAATTCGCTTGACGCGATAACACCGCGACTCCTCCCTCCCTCCCTCCCTCCGCGAATTCGCGGCACCGCGACATTGACGAGCGTTTCGTGCCTGGCGGTCATTAGAACCGACTATCGATTGGCACGGCTTGGCGCATTTCTAAAAATCGCAGCTGTCAAATTCGCGGGCCTCTTCGATCGCCTCGCGCGCGAGGAAGCGTCCGTCCAAAAATAGAATCTCCTCGCTTCTCGCAGGGCGCGGGAGGAGGCGGCGATCGTTGCGATCGGGAAAGTGGATTCGAGAGGATCATTTCGCCGGCGAACGGATTCCATCGCGTGCGCCACGGCCTATGCCTCGCGGTATGGATCATTAATAACTTTATTGTCGGACGAAACGGGCCAAGGATCTGCTCAAGCTCGCCGCCACCGCCGCCGCGAAAGCACGAGGAATCGCACGGCCGAGACACCGCGCGGCAATTCAGCGTCTCGTCGATATGGAAGAAATAGAAAAAGGAACGAAGGGATTCGCGTTCATGCCGCATTATCTCAGCGGCAATTTTTAGGTATGACGATAATGGCGAGCCGCGGGCGATTACACGTCGCGCCGGTGTCAGCGAGTGCACGAGCGCGACGTCGCGCGTTATCGCGAAGACTCGCGGATCGCGACCGCGCCAAGTGTATCCAATGAAAACGCCTCGCGGCTACATCCGGTACTCTCGTTTGTCCGTGTCTGCCCGGCACCGGAAGAGAAAGGAAAGGAAAAAAAGAAGCCCCATGGCGAAAGGTTCGCTGCGTCTCGAAAGAGCATCACCGCGCTTACGTAAGCGGACGCTCGCTCGTGACGCTTCGCGCAGCGAGCGTCTGCAAGACGGTGGTATAATGGCTTGCCGAGTAGAAAAGCGACGTGTGTCGTAGCAGAGACGGCGGAAATTTGCATTTGGACGTACGGCACCGGCGAATAGTGCGTCTCTCGCGCTACACTGACTTACGTAAGTGTGCGTTTGTGTGCGTGGCCGTTGCGTGTCAGACGCGCGCTCCGCCGGAGAACATCGCACGACGCGATGCTCGGCACGATGCACTTTCACGGAATTGATCGTGGCCGCACGGAAGCACAAGCGCGAATGAAAATTCGACTTGCGATGCGTGCGAGCGAACGACGCAAAAACACCACCCTATCACCGCGAGCCACGCCGGCCGACTGCGGCCCGTCGCGCTCAAGTTCGGCCGCGACCGCTGCCGCTCGGCCGTCTCCGCGCCTCGTGTGAGTTTCGCGCCGCGTCCCACGGCGAATGCGATTGGTCGGGAGCTCGACCGCGCGCGCGGGGCGTTTGAATTGCCGACCGACGGCGTTCGTACTCTCGCGAGAGAGATTTCTGACTTTCGCGGGGCGTCGTTAATCGGTGAAAATCGACCGGCGGAGCGCGATACGAGCGGGATTCTTCCGCCGGGCGGAATTGTGGGACGCCAGACGGATCTGTCGAACGAGTTTCGGCCGAGACTCTTAGTGAGCGGCACGCCTGATGAAAGTCTGCGGAGATATCGAGCCTCGTCGATGCCGAACGTTCTCGCTTTGTACATCGCAATGCTACCGACGCAATGACTAATGCCGGCTGAATGCAAGCCCGCGCATTTCTAGACGCAGGATGCATGTTTGTCGCGTTCGGGTAGGCGTCAGCGGAGGAACCGGCTTGGAAAGTTGCACAAGAAAGGACGCAGAAGTGCGCACCCGCGGAGCTGTGCGTTGCACGTCGAAGCGGCAAAGCGCAGAGTCCGCGGACTTCGCCGGGAAGTGCTTAGCCGGGAAGTGTCAACGGTCACGACATTATACTTAAGAATAAAATTCGGCGATAACGCGAACATCGACGCAGCGTTGTTTCGCTCGCGTGATGCAACGCGAGCATTGGTCGAATCGATAACGCAGAAATGCGGAACGGCAGAAACCGCGTCTTGTGTGGCGCGGTTATCGCGCGCAGTTTTAATAAAATAAAAACTCCGCCGTCTCAATAAACGCGATATGCGCCGTAAAGTATTTCGATCGATGACGACGACGACGACGTGACATCGCCGGGTGACGCGCTACAAATACGCGGCGATGATGATTTGCATGCCGACAGAGAAACGCGTCGTCGCATCGCGACTCGCGAATTTACAATTAATTAATCGCGGCTGTACCGAGATCGAAGGAGCTCGTCTCGTGCGCTCGATCTGACGGCTTAATTCGACAAAGTGCGCGAAATTATCGCGACTTACTCTGCGCCCCGTGCATATCTCGGCTGGATTGTATACCGATCGCATCGCGGAACTGATTAGATAGCCCCGTATCGCGCAACCTCATATTAAGTTTGTTTGCGATACTTGCCGCTGGACGAGCGAAGCTGGCGGAGCAAATAAAACCGCGACGACTTGGAAAGGCGCGAAGGACAGGCTATGTTCACGCGGCTCCCAAGTGATCTTCGAAATAAAATTCGCGAGAGTAAAAAGAAAGAAAAAAAGGCGCAGCGATGCGCGCGAAGCGAGTCCCGCGAGTATCAGCGCCTGCGTCGCGTCTGAGACAGCGAGGATCCGTGAATCTTTTGATATCATTAGACTTTATTACGCCATAATTCGAGCATTGTACGCGAGCATAATGGAGCCGGCTTTCAAGAGCACTGGCGCAATGAGCCGGCCTATTGAAAATAATTACGATGCGCGATTGATACGGAAAGTTCGTCGCACGGAATCCCTTTGTCCCTATCGTCAGCTGACCTAGAAGTGTGACCTTGCCGCCAAGACGCCGGAAGAATTCACACTTCCGGCGCGAACATCACGTCTCCGGGTTAAACGTGCCTCCGCGTCGGTGTCTGTGGCGTAATAACGTTAATTAAAGAAAGAAAGAGAGAGGAGGGGGGAGAGCTAATAACTCCCGGTGTTAAGAATTCCCTTCGAATTTACGCGCGATCATCCCTCCGTCGGAGTAAGTCCATGATTAGCCGTTTCCTTCTTGCTCGCACGGTACAAATTGCTGGAAATGAGATTTCCTCGTCGTACGCGCGCACTTTTCTCAATCGAATTATGAAGCGCCGCGAGATACTTTAATGGGAGCAGCTTTATGAGATGACCCATTTTCATCGGCTTGGCTCAAGTGCTCGATAGATCAACAACAGTTAGACTTCGTTAGAAAGCGCGGCCTCTGTTCTCGTTTGTACTAGAATTCGGTCAATCCTCTTCATTAATTTGGGAAACTAATCGATCAGGCGAGGAAACGTCCAATTACGTATAATTTGAGAAAAAAATATAAGAAACAAAAAATTCAACGAATGTGAAATGTCAATGCGAAGCTCGTTCGTTTGAACGACGTTTTGAGAGAACCTCGTGTGTTCAACGCTTCTCCGCGACTCGTTTGTTTTCCTCGCGAGAAGTGTATCACGCCTGCTAAAAAGCTGAGAGAGTGTCCTAAAAAGCAACAACAACGCGGCCGCGTCGGTCTCGAGAGTGATTCGATTAGCGACACGATACGCGGTCTGAACGAACGCGGGCATCATGTGAGCGCGCGCGAAATGGCAGGAGGTCGTTGCATTAAAATACATAAACGCGCGGGCGCGTGTATAATAAATTGCGAAGACCCGGCGCGAACAGCAGGCACCGCTCCGCTCCATATCGCGTCGCCGAGCCGCGCGCGTATGTTGCGCTAATTCTTATGTAATCGCGCGGGCAGAAATCTACCCGTAACATCGAGAGCGCACCGGGGAGCCGTGACTCTCCGTCGACGCGCACGGAGGCAAATGGCTCTATATGCAAATTTAAGTGCAGGAAGATCCATCCGTTCGTTAAACGCCGCGAAGGCCTCACCGTGTTAACCCACGCGAATTTTTGGAGCATCGCATTGCACGAGAGAGAGAGAGAGAGAGAGAGAGAGAGAGAGCGTAAACAGAGCTGCACTCTGGAGAACTTTGTTGTTTCGGAGGTGGAAGTTGTCGGTCAATTTCTTTTTCTTCTTCCTCTTCTCTTTTCTACTCGTTCGTTCCTCGACACTCAACTCGTAAAATTGCGCTCAGGAATCCTCGTGAATCCTCGCTGTAATTTTGTCATAGTCGCTTCAATCGATTGCTGTAAAATAATGCGAGAAGTTGGCGATAAAACAGAAGCTTTATAATTCAGAACGTTGAAAAGCCCGTTGCGAAAAGGTTAAATATGCAGGAGGTTCGTGACGAAGCGACTTTTTTGGAGGAACAACGCGAAAATGTAAATTTTTATGACGAAGGACAGCGGACAGATGAGTCGGTAGAGGAGATACAAGCGATTAAGGAAGTAAAAAAACCCGATGGGAGTGGGGGATATGAGGAAGCGGATAAAAATATCGCGGCATTCTTGCGTATGAAGAGTCTGAGTGAAGATCTCGTGAAAACGTTGATTAATGCCGATCTCACGGATGAGTACGTCAGGTTAGCTTCGCGTACGGTGAAATAAATCTTTTATATCTTTCATATAAGTGAAAATTGCAATCTGATAAAAATATTGTAAACTACCAATATCTGATCTCTTGGAAATAAATGCTTGGAAATAAATGGGAATAAATGCTACAATAAACAAAATAAACACTCGGGTTCACATTGCCATTCTTTCCCGTGTGTTCACTTAATTTTTTCCGCTTGCTCAGACTTTTGAGAGCTTTGGATTTCAATGACGATGACATCGGAAACTTACGAAACTTATGGCAAGCGAAGAATCAAATCAGCAAAAGCAACAGCTCTAGTACATTCGATGACTCATTACTGGATGTGTACTTATCGCAGAGCAGTCTCTATTTAAAAAATGTCCTCAGCAAACCTCTGATCGAAGCTCTTCGCGAAATCATAGCGACGAAGCCGGCCGATCCTGTGGAGTATCTGGGCCACTGGTTACTCCACTTCAGAGTCAGTTAATTCTGGAAAACAAAAATCTTTCATTATAACGTCAAATAGAGAATGTGCAAAACAGGAAAAGATTACATAAAATTTTCATGAAATCAGACGCGTATATTTTAATTTATACGAAATATTCTCTTTTTTATATATGGGAAATATAAATCTTAGGTTTGTGAAGAACGAAGTATGCGTAAAAAAGAGGAAGAATTGGAACTGTTGATCAATAGAGAAAAACTGAGAATGAAGGTATGAGCAAATTATGTTTCATTTGCTCTTATTGTCATGTACGTTGTATCATACGCGACTTTTAATTTCTTAAGAATATTTCCTTTCCTGCATAACAGAAAGATGAAGATAAAGAGCTCAGAGTTCCTATAGAACAAAAGGAAAAAGAGGAACCTGATGAGGACTGGAACCATCTCCACTATGGAGAATCACAAATTGATAATGTATCCAATTTATAGAATATAATAGATTGGAACAAGAGTGGAGACTGAATAAAACAAACAAACTTGAAATTAGGATTTTCTCATATGACAGTTTGATAAAGTTACCTCAAACTAAAATTAATAATAAGATAATGCCAATACAAACCAAATTTGAACGTCGGTGTGCCACGAAATATAACAAGTAGATATTCCGAGTTGGTTGGTTATGATCATTTTTCGTTACAAAGTTTCGCAGCAACCCTTAACGAATCTGCAACGAAAGTTGCGATGCAGATCAGTTTGAATTCAGTAATAAACATATGCGCATAAAGTTTATTAATTGCAACAAGCGATCGGACATACAGCATATAAACATAAAGCAATCGTAATTTTTATCTTACCGTTTCAACATTCGGTTAATCAGAGAAACCGCCATGTTGCAAAGTTCATGAAGCGTTATCTATCGGGAAACTTTTAACTTAAATTGGGACTAGCTAGCTGAACATGGCGTTATAGGGAATTCGTTGCTTGCATTCTCCATCTTGTTTGACGTAGGTTGCAATCTTGAAAAAAAGTAGTTTATCGGCAATGAGAGAGAGAGAGAGAACGTTTCTCTCTCTCCTGGTTCGCGAGTTTGTTAACCTCAAACCGAGGTATGTGTCATTGTTCGTGCGAGTGTGTGTTTAATATCGGTGCTCCAAATCTCAACGCGCTGTAGCTGACGGAGCAGTTGACTGCACCGGCGAGCGTTTCAAGAGAAGCGTGCGTTTGATTGGCCGAACGCGCGTTATGACGCATCTCGACGCGGGCAATGAGAACTAAACTTTGACATTAGAGTGTTGACGTCCGACGCGTGACATCATCTCGCGCGACTGCAACTCGATTGTATACCGTTTTGTATTTTCTTATGCGCTCGAGGAAGACCTAGGTGAGTGTCTGCAACATCATTACGGAGATTTCATTCGTGCAAGTCTGCCTCGCAACGATTGCGTCGATTTACTCCCATTTGCTCCATATACGAACGTTTAACACCTACTTGCGCGTAAATTTAGACGTTGCGTCATGGATACTAGTTGGAACCTGTCAATTCGACGTAGAATGCAAACAAACGATAATGACTCGATTCGCTGAAGTGACGAACCTAAAGCGTGTTGAAATTATTTTTTAGCAGCTTCGAAATGATAGCATCAGAAGTTGGCTCCACCAACACGGAGCCTGTGCACGTCAGGATCACAAATGAGAAAGCTCCGTTGATTCATGGTAGAAGCATGTTTCAACGATTAAGCAGTATCTTCAAGGTTGGGAGGATGCAACACCCGGAAGGAGACGGCTATGTCGAATTTGGCAATTTGGGTATCGACAGCACTCGTACATTGGGAACCTTTGCTGGTGTATTCAGCCCCGTCACATTGTCTATGTTCAGTGCCTTAGTTTTTATACGAATGGGTGAGCGACGATTCTCACGTGTAAAGTTCGCATTCCGGGATCTTTACCAGAAACACTAATCGTTAATTCCTCGCAGGATATATCGTGGGCAATGCAGGATTACTCGTCACCTTGATACAATTTATAATCGCATATGGTATTTTATTATTCACTGTCGCGTCTGTCTGCGCTATATCGACCAACGGTGCAGTGGAAGGCGGTGGTGCTTATTGTATCCTTTCTTTATCACAAACAGCAACAGCTGTATATTACTTCCATCAAATGAACACCATTCATTAACAAGCTATACCAGCTTGCCATTTCCAGATAGCTTATCAGCAGATTGATTTCTTTCTCATATTCTGCCTAGACTTGATACTGTGTTATGTTGGTGTGATAATCAGACAACTCTGCAAAAATTCACGGGAGTGTAAACCTTTCACACTGACAACTCAGAACGTGAGATTTATCATCTCATGCTCTGAATTGAAGCTCAGACATCTTGAGAGAAATACTTTCCGATTCACCAATATGTAGTTATGATCAGTCGCACGTTAGGGCCCGAATTTGGCGGCTCTATCGGCACTCTCTTTTTTATGGCCAATATAGTCTCCAGCGCGCTTTGTATCTCCGGCTGCGCCGAGGGTTTGGTCGAGAACTTCGGACCATCTGGTTACCTGAGCGGCCCGAGCGGACTGATACCAGATGGCCGATGGTGGAGATTTTTATATTGTTCCGTACTGAATACCGCCAATCTCCTGGTTTGCCTGATCGGAGCCGCAATGTTCGCGAAAACCAGCGTCGCGATCTTGGCGGTTGTCTGTATCTGTTTAATTAGCGTTTTTATCAGTTTTCTGGCGCAAGGCGCTATGGAGGTAAATAAAATGTTATAACACATATAATCTAAAATATGTTTTTTGTTGGCTCGATAGAACTGTAATTAATTGATAACTAATTATACTCTTTTATAATCAGATACCAATACCGGACGCAAACACGTTGGTGCAAAACGCAACGGATCACGTGAACGGAAGTTACACGGGCCTTTTGTCCGCTACTCTTTACAACAATCTCTATGCGAATTACAGCGCCGATTATTCGAGTGGCGGGACTTTGACGGATTTTGCGAGCGTTTTCGGTGTGCTCTTCAGCGGTGTAACCGGAATAATGGCGGGAGCGAATATGAGCGGTAAGTAAAGCGATTTTTTGTATTTGAATGAAATGGTGCGTACACGAAATTGCTTCCTTATGTCGTGTATCGTATACTCACTGTACAATAATTAACAGGTGAACTGAAGAATCCTGGCCGCAATATTCCACGTGGGACGTTATCGGCTGTATTATTTACATTCATATGCTACATTCTGCTGTCGGTGTTGACAGCCGCTACCACCAGTCGGTTTTTATTGCAAAATAACTTCATGTATATGATGCCAATTAATATCTGGCCACCGTTCGTCGCTGTCGGTATCCTCACGGCGACGTTCAGCGCCGGTTTGAGCAATCTGATAGGTTCCAGCAGAGTGTTGGAAGCATTGGCCAAGGACAACGTATTCGGTGAGTATCCCATGACGATAGAATTCTAACTTGTGATTGTTGATTCTAACTTGTTACTCAGCTGAAGTTATTCGATCAGTTTATATCGTTATATCGTTTTTTAATTGTTTAGTGTACAGTTTTATTTCTTTCCCGATGTCCATTAAATTTTTTTTTACTCCTGTTCCTCAATTTCTCAGGTTCGGGATTGAATTTTATAATACAAGGTACGTGGCGCGGGAATCCAATAGCAGCGGTGTTGACTTCGTGGGCTCTGGTTCAGACGATCTTACTCATCGGGTCGTTGAACACTATCGCTCAGATCAATTCTGTACTATTTTTGTTGAGCTATCTCGCGACCAATCTCGCATGTCTCGGACTGGAACTCGCTAGTGCGCCGAACTTCAGGTATTCCGTCAAAATTACTTCCATCGATTAATCAACGATTATAGCTTAAATATGTCGACGAATCTCATTCTTTTCTCTTCTAGGCCTACGTTCAATTACTTCACATGGCATACGGCGACCATAGGCCTCCTCGGGACGCTGATAATGATGTTCATAATCAACAGTATTTACGCTTCCAGCAGCATAATATTGTGCTTGATCCTGATCATCGTGCTGCATCTGTTTTCCCCAAGTAAGAACGCGCCGTGGGGCAGTATATCCCAAGCGTTGATATTTCACCAAGTCAGAAAGTACCTGCTGATGTTGGATTCGCGCAAGGACCACGTCAAATTCTGGCGCCCGCAAATGCTGCTGATGGTCGCGTCACCGCGCTCCGCTTGCCCTCTTATCGATTTTGTGAATGACCTGAAAAAAGGAGGACTCTACGTTATCGGACACGTCAAGGTCGGCGAATTCACAGGACAGAATAACGATCCTACGATGGAGGAGTATCCGCATTGGCTGAGTTTGGTCGATCACATGAAGGTCAAAGCCTTTGTCGAGCTAACTGTGACAAGAACGGTGCGCGAAGGTTTGCAGCATCTGATAAGACTGTCTGGGATGGGCGCGATGAAACCGAACACGATCGTCCTCGGTTTCTACGACGAGGAGTCGCCGCGAGATTTTTTCGCAGACTCTCAGTACGCGACGACGATATTCGAGAATAGCTCGACGCTTCCAAACAGCGCTATGTTCCCGCTGAGGCAAACGACGGACGAGAAATACCTGGATCCTGTACAATACGTCGGTATGTGCTCGGACGTTCTGAGGATGAAGAAGAATCTGTGTCTATGTAGAAACTTTCATCTGTTGAATAAAGCGCAATTGACAAAGTAAGTATAGGGTTTATCATCTGATGATATGTTTACGGTATAGGACTAATATTGTGCAACGACACACCTCCGCTTCTAGGAACTCGAACTTGAAGTACATCGACGTGTGGCCGGTGAATTTCTTCCAACCGACTGATCAGGATCCATTCGACACGACGTCGTTGTTCATGCTCCAACTCGCCTGCATCATCAACATGGTACCCAGCTGGAAGAACCTTCATCTCAGAGTGTTTCACTGCGAGACCTCGAACGGCAGCTTGGGCATCTCGGACACGCAAAGCTCGGTAAACGAATTCCCGAGAGTCTCAAACGAGCACAGAATACGAAAGTCGCTGAACTTGCTGCGAATCTCTGCGTCGATCAAGAAGATCCCGGAATGGGGAGAGCAGATTCGAGGGCTGAAGGGCAGGTCATTACTCGAGCCGAAAACGGAGAATCACTTTGACGGAAGTACCGAGTCTAATGACAACGCTTTGAGCAACATGTCACGGGCTTACATATTAGGGTGAGTATCTGCTCTGAAGCGACATTCTCTGTATTATGTTATCGATACTTATTTTAATAATTAAGAAAAAAATATCCATATATAGTTCTTCATAAAATTTCTAATTTATATTTTATATTCCAGTGTTAATCAACTAATAAGGCAACATTCCTCTCAGACTGCGACGACATTTATTTATTTGCCTGCACCACCAATCTCGACCACTTGGGACCAGGACGATATGTATCGACAGTATTTGCAGTCGTTGACTGAACTAACCGCAGATCTACCGCCGATAGTTCTCGTGCACGGTGTTAGCGCCGTTACGTCGACCACTTTATAACAAAGTGTACGGATAGAAACGAAAATGTTTAATATATTCTGAATCTGTAAAAAGAGAAGATATCAATCGAAAAGCTGATAAAGATAATTATATTATAGTTCCTCGGACATATGATACTAATTATAAGCAGAATTATTGTACTAAATGCACAAAGTCTGAGGATAAATGTAATTTATTATTAGTGATTCGATTAATTACTCATTAGTAATTCGATTAATTTCTCATTAGTAATTCGATTAATCATTTTGCATGGTACTATGTATAACATGTAACCAAGCAATAAGTATTGTTTTAGATCGGTAGGAAACTCTTATCACGTCCAACGGGAAGAAAATATTTAGTATGTATAAATGTTAAAGTTTATAATACTGTGATAACAAACGTATCATATAAGAGATTCTCCAAAAATGAATATTTTTTAAAGTGACGACTAGACGGTTCTAACATCATATAAGGATATTGTAACTAATATATACAAGATAAGGCATTTAATTTTATGACCTAAACTGTTTTTTGTACGTGCGAGTACCGTAAAGTACTTTGGACAAAAGTCTTGTAGTTTCAGGCTAGAAATAAGAGATTCACCAAGCTATAAGCCTTGTTTGAAACATTTAAGTCATAAAATTAAATGCTTATTATACACTTCATATAAAATACACTATTTCTGTATCGCTCTTTTATACTGCATTTCATGTCATTAACATTATTTAGTAATACATCAATTAAGAATCGATTAAACAAAGATTTATCGAAATTACTTGGCTTATTATATTGAGTATTAGTTGAAATTATTTGAAATTGTATTATTTGGAGATAAAATGGTTTTTTGACCGTGACGATTTTAATATTATGGTAGAGACAAAACAAAAACAACAAAAATATAAAACGCTGTCTAACCTGTTGTTTTTTCGAGTTACTTGAATAATATAAAATCTTTGTTAACTATAAACTGCAAGAAACTACTTCTTCCTCTTTCTCTCTCTCTCTCCCTCTCTCTCTCTCTCTCTCTCTCTCCTTCTCTCTCTCTCTCTCTCTTTGCCATAAAGTTGAAAAATAAATTCTAAAAGCTTAGAAATAAAGCAAGAATACAAATATTTTTGTTATCTTTGGTGGTATTAACAGTCGGTATTGTCGTCGTTTTTGAATTCCCTCTGAGCCCCTCAAGGCCCCTTTGCCAATACTTTTGTACGATGAAAATAATCGGTGTCAAAATGATCTAGGTGATCACCCATCTCTATATCATATAGTACTATATGTTCCTGGAAAAACATCACAGACATCAACGTGTGTGTCATCGGTATGGTCACGTTCGCGAGGCAATTAATTGTGCCGCTTTCATGGTCAGCCAGAACCAGTTTGATGACTATTCGACGATTAAATGCAACGATGGCCACTGACTGCGCGAAATCTTTGCTATACAAGGAATACGGTGATCCCATTGCCGTACTCCAAGTGACAACGCAAACCATCGATCAACTGGCGAGCGATGAAGTAAATATTATTAATTTATATTGATCCATAATAACTTACTACTATGACTCTGTAAATTGTAGCAAACCATTATCTGTCCTCTGACTTATGTCAATTATATGTTACATAACTAAACTCTTTGTTTCTTACATGAAGGTATCTGTAAAATGGTTACTATCGCCAGTAAATCCGGCTGACATAAACACGATACAGGGAAAATATCCTAGTAGACCAGCATTACCAGCTGTACCGGGAAATGAAGGGGTTGGGGAAATAGTAGCAGTAGGCTCCAATGTGCAGAATTTGTGTGTTGGAGATAAGGTGGTGCCAAATGGCCCTAATTTTGGAACATGGAGAACACAAGCTAACTATAATTTCAAAGATGTTTCAAAAGTACATTTATTATGTCTAAGTTATCTTTCAATATATTATAGTTGTTACATGTTATCTCTGATTTTTGTAGATTCCAAGCTATCTGAGCTTGGTTGAAGCAAGTATGTTGAACGTAAATCCATGTACAGCTTATAGAATGTTGAAAGATTTTGTTCCTCTAAAGCCTGGAGACTCTGTGATACAAAATGGTGGTAATTCTGCAGTTGGTCAACTGGTTATCCAATTGTGCAAATTGTGGAATTATAAGTCTGTCAATATTATTCGAAACAGGCCAGAGATAAAAGAATTGAAAGTACAGTATTGATTTTAATATGTTATCATGATGTGATACATATGATATATTGATTTAATATATGTATGTTTAATATCAATTATATAGGATCAATTGGCAGCCTTAGGTGCAGACGAAGTGCTGACTGAAGAAGAACTTCGAACAACCCAGTTGTTCAAAAGTGGAAAGTTACCAGCACCAAAGTTGGCTCTCAATTGTATTTCCGGGCAAAATGCGCTTGAGGTCTCGCGTCATCTCGCTCACAGTGGTGTCATGGTGACTTATGGTGGCATGTCCAGAGAACCACTGACAATCCCTGTGGCTTCTCTTATCTTTAAGGTGGTCAAAGTAGCTGATTGTAAATTTAGAAAACTATACATTAACAAAAGTCACTAATTAGCATTTCATACTTATAGAATCACTCTTTCAAAGGATTTTGGATGACAGCCTGGACAAAAGAAAATACGGAATCCAAAGAGAGGGTTAATATGTTTAATGATTTGGCACTTTACTATAAGGAGAAGAAATTGCAAACGCCACTTCATAAATTAGTACCTTTCAACGAGTACCAAGAAGCTATCGCTAGCGCGACCAAATTCGATGGCCGCACGGGTGTAAAGTACATTTTGGACATGACAAAATCTTAACATAGTCTCCCTGTGCACAAAGTTGCGTGTTAACTTTCTTATCCATTCTCTGAATATTACTTTATTTTTATAGATTAGTTGGGTTTAGAGGTATATCTGCATTTAATAGTTATCTCCAGTGATCTATAAGATATGCCTGCTGTTTTATATGATACTGAAATGAAGCACGCCTTGTAAGATAAAACTTTGTAATGGAAATGTAATATTTATTTATAGGGATATCACGATATCGGTGTACAAATATGCAGGAAAAATACAGGAAAAATAATTGCGATTCGTTGCGTCTCGATGTCAGGTCCTTCAAGTCCTTCATTACTCGACCTCGTCGAGAAGGTCGAGGAGATCCATGCTGCGCTTCAATCCCTCATGTTCGTCCTCAAATAAGTTCGCGTACACATCCAATTTAGCTTTGTAATCGTCGTTTACCTTCGGCTTTGAGTCACTTCGCTTCACTCTATTCCCTTGAGCATCGACATCGTTGTCTACGTTGTTAGCATTCTCCTCGTCCTCGTTCGACAATAAATTGAGGGTGAACGGTCTCTCGTAGCTGGTTTCTTCAGTGCCTAACTGAACGGCTAACATACTCAATTCCGCTTTCGCGCCGCAGTCTTTCAGGAACTGTTGACTGTCTCGCTGTGGATTCGTGTTGTCCGTCATACCATATGTCGGTAAGTATCTGCAAATAACGAGGTAGGCAATCGGTTTGGACCTGGTACAATCAAACGTGTCTTACATGTTCTTGCCCAACAATGTCTTTCTGTCACCGAAGGTGCCAAAGGACCCGCCGCAGCACGTTTCCGGGCTCACGTCCCTCAGCTTCATGATGGCCAGGCTGTTCCCGTGTTCCGTGTACTTCTCGTTGTATTTGTGCGGTGTCATATTGAAACTGGCGTCTTCGTTCTGCAGCCCACGACGCAGAAGGATCGACACTCGTATGTTGTACGGCTCCAGCTCCTTCAAGCAACTCTGTCGTGCGCTCCAAACATCATCGAAGGTCAGGCAGCCGTAAAACTGCACATCAGAATTGCATCCAACCACTATTTTGCTTGACATGCTGACTACGACACTGTCAAACCGACCACTGCGTGCACTGTACTCACATCAACGATCATCTGATGCACCAGGGTAACACATTTTTGCGCGTTCACGTCGCTCACCATGTCGCGCATCGCATCTATGTGATTTAACGTGATGAGAATGACTTCCCTGGGTCCAGTCGCTGCCGTCAATTGATACTTCACCATCATGATCATCAGGTCGAAGAGCTTGTTCATGCTGCTTTTGTCAAGCTTCATGATGGACGAGAGAGCGACGCACTCCAAGGTGGAGCGTAATTGCGGTATTCCGACCATCGGCGACTCCTCGAATATCGACGTTAGAATCTTGGGGTTGAGCAGAGCGGCGGTTACGTCGTCCAGCACTGTAATTGAGTCTTATCATTCTAGTGTAGACAAATGTCGACGTTATAAAGATTATTTTTATAAGATGTTTGTAAGAAACATCAACAAGAGTTTTAGAGAAACATTGGTGAGGAGGACGCCTGCGAAGACTACTCGAGCGCGACATGAGGTCTCACCCTGTATCGTTTTATCGACGTCGACCCGCTGCGCCTTCAGCCTTTGTCGCAAGACGTACAACATCTCGCCGCCCATGTTCAGGTACAGGATAGGTGTCGAGTGCAAGGACATTTTCGTCGGAGTGATCACTCGACAATTGTCAGTAATAGGTACATCAGATAGGTACACGTATGTCGCACTGAGCGAGGAAGTCGATGTGCGTCACCTTGACGACGTAAGTGTACATATTTCTAGTTGCCGCGATCAGTACTGAGTTTGCGCGAGGAAATTTGCATGCAAGCCCGTGGATATACGCCCGTCTCGTTCTGAAATACCACTGTGATACTTATAAAAATACCGTTATTGTTATGGAAATTGTATAACTTGATACAGATTCATTGGGGAATTGATTTCTCTTCGAAAGATATTGGAGAGAGTGTAATTAATGTAACAAATTTTTATACGCACGGATTTCTAAATTTTCGTGTATATGTAATACTATATGTTGCTTCTTGTCTTACACTTAAAAAATAATATTTTCGGATAAGAAAATTTTTTTATTTTAAATTTATTTTGAATCTTTCGGAATCTTATTCTAAATTTTAAACTTCTTGATTCGCCTCGTATCAAATGTTGGATTATTTTAGCGAAAGTATAATATGTGTTAAATTTATGTATTGTATATTTGAATTTAATTCGTTACAATTTATTAAATTAATCTTGCCGCCTGATTAGAGCATTCAAGTTCTACCAAATTACCAGTGAAGCATGAAATTTGCGAGAGAGAGAATAATCGACTGTGATCGGTCAATTTGTTTGCGATTAATATACCGGCCCATCTATACAGGTCATAACAAACGCAGTTTATAACAAAGGCTACGTTCCGATATTCATTAGCAGCACTGAAAATCTATAGTATACGTGACACAAACTATATATTTTCAGTACTGACAGTGAATTTCGGAACGCAGCCGCAGTCGCAAGCACAGAAACTGACCAATCATAGTCAATTTTTTCACATTCAACTGTCAATTTCTGCGTTCTGTGATCTGCGATTTTGCGTGTTGCGACGTATATAGACGGATGTAATTGAATATCGTGTATCACCCACTTATCAAAATACGTTTACAAATACTGACATCAGTGTGGAGATATATAATTTGTAAGTTACATATTTAATATTATATGTTTATTTATTATTATGTATTGTGTATTATGTCGTATGTATGTTTATTTATGTATTATTATTTACAATGTAGTAGAGGAAATCCTTAGAAATAGATAGAAAAGATACTTGTGTATGTATACAGATATTTCATTAAATATTAAATTCTAATCTATCTATTTAGGATATGTTGAACGATATGAATTTATAAATTCTAACATTCTACAGTGTGTTACGCTGTATAATTTACATTTATTCCTACCAAAAAAATGTTTCTTTTTCAATTTCTAGATCTACTTATGAGTATTGGCAATATATTTTAAAAGTGAAAAATGGCATACCTTATGGACAAATTAACAATTACACTTACAAAGGCAGAAAAATGGTTTGATGTTATGAATAATTTTCAGGAACTTAAAACTGATCAAGACCGTATAACATTTGTTCTTAATATATTGTGGGAGCATAATTTAATTCCTAATGAAATTAATAAGCTAAAAAATGCAGAAAAATCCGAGAAACTGCGAAAACAAGGAAATGCTATTTTTGTTGCTTCCAATTCTAAGCTCTTGTATTTTACAGTACAAGAGTTATATACAGAAAGTATATCCTTAGCACCTTATCCTTCCAGGCAGCTTGCTCTGGCTTATGCCAATAGATCGGCTGTTTTATTTGAATTAGACTTCTATTCTGATTGTGTTAAGGATATTGGTAGAGCATTGGCCTTAAATTATCCTGATGATAAGAGGGCAAAACTATATATACGTAAAATACAATGTCTAATTGCGTTAGAAGATTCGACCGTGAAAAATATGATCAAAAAAACAGAATATTGGATAAATAAAATGACATCAAATGTCAACAAGTTAAAATTACAAACTAAGCTAGATGGATTACGCCAGAAGATTGAGCAGAAAAATGATCAGTATAATCCCATAAAACCAAACAAAGTAGAAAATGAACTTCTTCCTGTTATCAAGTCCTATAGTAATGAAATTCCTTGTGCATCAGATGCTATAGCTTTAAAATATGATGAACACAATGGCAGACATGTTGTTGCCACTCGTAACATTAATGCAGGTGAAATAATTGCCATAGAAAAATCTTACCCGATATTAACACAAAGGAAACTAATGTCGCACTGTTCAAATTGCTTGAGAGAATGTTTGGCTACTATACCCTGCAAATACTGCACTTATGCCATGTATTGCTCAGAACAGTGCAGGAATATTGAATGGAAGAAATGTCATGATGTGGAATGTGCTATTTTTTCTATTATGGTTACTGAACAATTTTTCCCTAATGATTTTCTTAGCTTGAGGATTCTTGTGTGTGCTATAAAAGAAGCTGGTAATATACAAGAATTGAGAACTATGTTGAAGGACGCTGATAGATCTGATGGTATTTAAGATCCATTCCTTTCATCATTGTATGATAGCAGAATATATATAGTAGTACTATTTCAGATCCAAGAACAATGGGTTTTTCACCGGATGGGAAATTTCATAGTGAAAAATATATCAGTCTATATAGTTTGATGAGGAAAACTGAGGAAAGATCATTTATTAATCTTTTTATGGGATCTGTAGATGCTTGTTTTATTTTGTATCTTTTAGCACAGCATACTAATATTTTTGGTACTAAGTTACCAGGCAATTTCAAAGCTTTGGCAAAAAATGACAATGCTATCTTTTTAGGTGGTCTCATGCTGAGACATCATCAAATAATCTCAATTAATAATCATTTGGTATGTCATAGGCTAAATATTTTAATATGTACTATTTCATTGTATATAGTTTATTTATTTTCATGTTTTTTATAGATTTATTAATCGTGTTTTTTTGTTTCGTTATTTACTTATATCTTATGATCCTATATTGTCAGTTTGTTTAATATTTCTTTATAATTATTCATAACTTTCAGACCTATGAAGAGCAATATTTAAGTGAAGAAGTATGTGGTAATGCTATTTTGCCTTTTTGTAGTCTATTTAATCACAGTTGCAATCCAAATGTCTTCAGGGTTTCAAGATCTCAGCATACTGTTTTGTATACTTTGTATCCGATTCGAAAGGGCGAGCAGGTACTAAATTGTCGAGATCACTTATTACAGTAAAACTTACTTTTTTATGATGATTAACATCTAATTATTTTATTACAGCTTCTAGATAATTATGGATGTCACTTTACCATGCAACCGAAACTTGACAGACAAAATATGCTACTTCAACAGTACTACTTTACCTGTAAATGTGTACCTTGCCAAGAAAATTGGCCCCTCCTTCCTGATTTAAAATCTTTCGAAGTAAGTTACTACAAGTTATTAATACAAACAGTCAAGTGATTAAGTAAAACAGTCGCATTTCAATGATGAACAAACATTTTGTTTTACAGACTCTAGCTATATCAGCAAATGACAAGAAAATGATACGAAGTGTATTAAAGAAATTTTACACGTATCTTAATATGGTAGAGGAAGGTGATGTCCTGGATAAGCCTTATATCATTGAAGATTTGTTAACGATGATACGAGTGATGTATGATCGGGTACCGATTGCTTGCCAGGAGATGAGTAATGTGGTGAAAACTTTGAAACAAGTGTATGCCTTACTGTATGGTAATTCATTCATCTTGCCAACACAGAATCAGAACAAGTAAATGTATATTCCTTTACAGTAATATTCCTTGAATGATAAAATTTTTTTGTTTTGTTATAGTCTTGTTAATGATAAGCTTGCTAATTGGTTTTTGTAAAGAGTTTCAATTAATTAGCACATCTATGTGTAAAGATTTATTAACGCACTATGTGTAGAAAGTTTTAGTTAATTCGAAAGTTTGAAATTAATGTTTATTTGTTACTTTAACAAAAAGCTCCGAAGTCTTTGTTTCTTATTCTGCAGTGTTAACAAAATAACTGCTTATCTTAGCGGCTTTTGATAGTAGAGGTTTCAATATTTGTACTTGACTATAATATAATAAATATTTACTAAACTTTGTTCACTTTTCTCCTGCAAACACTCAACAATCCATCCTATAATTTTGCATGCTGACTCGTAAAAATCTCATCACATATAAATAAATTTTTTCGAAATCAAATTTATTCCTTGCAGAAGATGAATATCTCAAGTTACTGATATCTTTTAAATTATTAACATTAATAAAATTATTTAATAATAATTAAAATATAATTATATATTAACATTTACAACGCGTATGCATATGTATGTTCATAATTGAGTATGAAAATTATAAAATTGGATATAAAAATTATAAAAATGACCGCTCATTAGCGCCATTGTGTCATTGCTAGAAGTTGTCCGCGCGAATTGTGTTATTACTAGAAGTTGTCTCGAAATATTCCTTCCCGAATTACGAATAGCGCGTTGCGTGAAAGATGAGATAAAGAAGAGGCAAGACGGGGGATTCTTGCTTAGCGATAAGATCGCCACTGACTCGTCTCATGCCTATTCCTGATTCCTGCCGCACGGTCCACTCATCGATGGTAAGACAAAGACGAAAATTGTGTTTTCTTGGTTGTTGGGTGCTTGAATAAGTTTCCGTCGTTTTTTTGTGAAATAAAAAAGCTGTATTTCATGAGAAGCAGAAAGAATAATTTAAGAAAGAATAATCAAAGTAGTGCTCATCTAGTTATCTACATCTAGTTATCTCATCTGTTAGCTATAACTTTTTCCCACTTTTTACGTAATAAGTGGATTCCGCGATAGAACTCCAGTTTTGTTTCTAAGCGAGACAGCTTTAGGGTGCGGTCCATCAATCACCATCCGGTCCATCCATCCTACAAATGCTTCGAAGCGTTTTTACTTCTCTCTCTTTCTTCGTTTGCATCCGAGAAATAGAACGAGAAAGAGAAATGCTTCAAAGCATTTGTAGCGGTTCCCGGACTGCACTCCGAGTCGCAAGTCAAATGGTTGCAAGCAAATTGACCAATCACGTTCGAGTGTTCTTGTGATCGAATAATCGACTGTGATTGGTCAATTTGTTTGTGACTAATGCAACAGTCCATTTTCATAGGTTGCAATACGCAAAATGCAGTCACAGGATAATCGATCATTTTCTCTACATTAAACTATCAATTGACAATCGGTCAATTTCTGCGTCCGATCTGTTTTGCGTGTTGTGACGTGTGTAGACGGGACGTAATTGAATATTATGAATCACGCGTTTGTTAAAATATCTTTACTGATATTGACATCAGTGTGGAAATATGTAATTTGTAAGTTATATATTTAATATATATATTTAATATTGAATGTTTGTTTACAATGTAGTAAGGAATCCTTAGAAATAGATACTTGTATGTATAAGGATACTTATATTATCTATATATAAAGGTATTTTATTAAATATTAAATTCTAATCTATTTAGAATCGTTTAGTATCATTTAACGATACGAATTTATAAATTCTAAAATTCTAATATTCATAACAATGTGTTACGCTTTATAATTTACATTTATTCCTACTAAAAAAAAATTTCTCTTTTCATTTCTAGATCTACTTATGAGTATTGGCAATATATTTTAAAAGGGAAAAATGGCATACTTTATGGACAAAGTAACAAGTACACTTACAGAGTTAGGAAAAAACTTTGATATTGTGAATAACTTTCAGAAACTTAAAACTGATCAAGACCGTATAATATTTGCTCTTAACATATTATGGGAACATAATTTGATTCTTAATCAAACTAATAATCTAAAAAATGCAAAAAAATCTGAAGAACTGCGAGAACAAGGAAATGCTATTTTTGTTACTTGTGGTTCTAAAATCTCATTGTATTATAAAGCACGAAAGTTATATACAGAAAGTATATCTTTAGCACCTTATCCCTCCAAGCAGCTTGCTCTTGCTTATGCCAATAGATCGGCTGTTTTACTTAATTTAGATTACCATTCTGAATGTGTTGAGGATATTGATAGAGCATTGGCCTTAAATTATCCTGATGATCAGAAGGCAAAACTGTATATACGTAAAATGCAATGTTCAATTGTGCTGGGAAATTCGATTGCGAAAAATATGATCAAAGAAACAGAGTATTGGATAAGTAAAATGACATCAAGTGTCAACAAGTTAAAATTACAAACTAAGCTAGATGAATTACGCCAGAAGGTTGAGCAGAAAAATGATCAGTATAATCCTATAAAACCAAACGAAGTAGGAAATGAACCTCTTCCTGTTATCAAGTCCTATAGTAACGAAATTCCTTGTGCATCCGATGCTATATCTTTAAAATATGATGAACACAATGGCAGACATATTGTTGCCACTCGTAATATTGACGCAGGTGAAATAATTGTCACAGAAAAATGTTACTCGTCGATGTTGTTACAGAGTAACCTAATGTCACACTGTTCAAATTGCTTAAAAGTATATTTGGCTACTATACCTTGCAAATATTGCACTTATGCCATGTATTGTTCAGAACAGTGCAGGGATATCGAATGGAAGAAATGTCATGATGTGGAATGTGCTATTTTTTCTATTATGGTTACTGAACAATTTTTCCCTAATGATTTTCTTAGCTTGAGGATTCTTGTGTGTGCTATAAAAGAAGCTGGTAATATACAAGAATTGAGGACCATGTTGGAGGAAGCTAATAAATCTAATGGTATTTAAGATTCATTCCTTTCATCGTTATATAATAGCTGAGTATATATAATACTGTTTCAGTTCCAAGAACTATGGGTTTTTCACCGGATGGGAAATTTCACAGTGGAAAATATATCAGTCTGTACAGTTTGATGAGGAATACTAAGAAAAGATCATTTGCTGATCTTTTTACAGCATCTGTACATGTTTGTTTTACTTTATATCTTTTAGCACAGCATACTAAAATTTTTGGTAGTAAATTACTAGGCAATTTCAAAGTTTTGGCAGAAAATGACAATGTTACCTTCCTAGGTAGTCTCATTCTGAGACATCAACAAATAATCTCGACTAATGCTCATACGGTATGTCATCAACTGCATATTTTAAAATATGTATATTATTTCATTATATACAATTTATTTATTTCCATATTTCTTATAGATCTATTAATCGTTTCTTTTTGTTTTGTTATTTACTTATAATTCTACATTGTCAGTTTGTTTAATGTTTCTTTATAATTATTCATAATTATTTTCAGTTCTATGAAGAGCGAAACTCATCTTCCGAAGAACTTGGTAATGCTATTTTGTCTTTTTGTAGTCTATTTAATCACAGTTGCAGTCCAAATATCATCAGGGTTTCAAAATCTCACGATATTGTTTTGTATACTTTGTATCCCATTCAAAAGGGCAAACAGGTACTAAATTGTCAAAATCATTTATTACAGTAAAATTTACTTTTTTATCACGATTAACATAAAATTATTTTATTACAGATTCTAGATAATTATGGATCTTACTTTGCTATGGAACCGAAAATTGTAAGGCAAGATATGCTACTAAAGGGTTACCACTTTATCTGCAAATGCATACCTTGCCAAGAGGATTGGCCCATATATTCTAATTTAAAATCGTTCGAAGTAAGTTACTACAAGTTATTAATACAATCAAACAGCCGCATTTCAATAATAAACATTTTATTTTACAGACTCTGGCCATACCAATGAATGACAAAAATATGATACGAAGCGTATTAATGAAAGTTAACATGTACCGTGCTATGATAAAGAAAGGTGATGTCCTGAATAACCCTTATATCATTAAAGATCTGATAACAATGATACGGATAATGTATGACCGTATGCCGATTGCTTGTTACGAGATGATTAATGTAGTGGAAATTTTGAAACAAGTGTACGCCTTACATGGCAATACATTCATCTTGCCAACACAGAGTCAAGACAAGTAAACGCATATTCTTTTACAGTGATATTCTTTGATTGTAAAATTTTTTATTTTATCTTTTTTAATGATAAGCTTGTTAATTGATATTTGTAAAGAATTTCGGTTAATCAGCAAATCGATGTGTAAAGAGTTTGAGTTTATTAACGCATGTTTAAAAACTTTTAATTAATTCGGAAGAAGCTCCAAAGTCCTGGTTCTTTATTCTGCGGTATAACAGATTAATTGCTTAGCCTTTGTGGCTTTTGATGGAAGAAGTTTCAGTATCTGTATTCGACTGTAATATATCTATGTACTAAACTTTGTTCACTTTTCTCCTGCAAACACTCAACAATCTATCATATAATTTTGCATGCTCGTAAAAATCTCATATAAAGATCATCTGTGTTTTCTAATCTTGGTTATTGGGTGCTTGAATAAGTTTTTGTCATTGTTTTGTGAAATAAAAGCCCTGTGTTTCATGAGAAACAGGAAGGATAGTTTATTCAAAGTGCCCATCGTTAGCTAGAACCTTTTCCCATTTTTCGCGTAATAAGTAGATTCCGCGATAAAATTTCGACTTTTTTGAAGCGATCCAATACCTAAGCCATTTTTTATATCTTTATACAAAGTGAAGCGCAGCTTAGCAAGACCATGCTGCATGTACCGAAACAAGTAATAATCAGAAGGAGCCAGGTCTGGGGAATGCAGTGTAAGGTAACACATCCCAGTCGAGTGCTTCCAACGTATCCTTGACTGGTTTCGCAACACATGGTCAAGCATTATCGTGTAGGAAAATCACCTTGTCTTGTCTTTTGGCATATTCTGGACATTTGTCTTTCAATGTTCGGTTCACATTCATTAATTATTCTCGGTAACGTTCACTATTAATAGTCTTACACGGTTGCAGCAGCTCATGATGCACCACGCCTTGTCGATCCCACTAAATACACAACGTAACCTTCCGTTCATGAATATTACATTTTAGTGTTGATGATGACTGGCCGGGCTTGTTACATGCTTTTAATCGTTTCGGATTGTCATAGTGAATCTATTTTTCATCCCCAGTAACGATTCAATGGGAAAATAACCTCCTGTTCTGTCCTTGAAGCAACATGATTCGCAACATTCGTATATGATTAAACGCCTTTCAAGGTCTCTTTCTTTCAATTCACGTGGTAACCAGTTTCCGAATTCTTGAATCATTGCTTCTCCCATTGTTTTTAAACGTTTGCTAACAATCCATGGTTCAACATTTAATGCCTTTGGCAATTCAGCGTTTGACATGGATCTTCATCAAGTGATGCTTCCAGTTGTTCATCCTCAAATTTTTTCGGTGCACCTTCGTGTTCTTTATCATTTTCATCGAAATCAATATTTCTAAAGCGTTGAAATCACTCTACAACTTCTTTCGGATGGAGCATGCTCCCTATATGCTTCCACACATACATGCCACAAACGATAACTTTCAACTGCACTTTTCTTAAAAACAAATAAAATAATGCAGTAATAAAACTTACCGCAAATGTTCGTTTGTTGGCACAAAAGTCGACATTTTCAATGCAATGACAAAAATGGTCTTTACACGTCCTCCAAACACTTCGAATACCTCACTAATATCGCATCACTGCCGCCAAATGTCATATGCTAAATACGAAAGCTTGCTTATAGTACTTTCGTACACATGAGTTGCTACTGGGAATACTATGCATGTAGTATTCGTTACATTTCTTGGAAAACGGCGGAAACTTATTCAAACATTTGTACTATTATTTAACATTTAATATTATCTTTGTAAAGAAGTAGAGTGAACAAGAAAGAACCGTGCACGTTTTGCTGTTACCATCAGGACGGACATAGTTAGCACATATTTTCTCAGCAGGCGCGTCAGAAAAAGCGTCCCGGGATATTCGGTTCAATGATCGCTCTCAAGTCGGTATTCATAGTCAGGTTTTATATTTAAGACCGTCTTAAGTTCACCTTCAGATACCCCGTAGCCAATGAAATAATTTGTACAGCATCTAAAGATAAATTTAAGACGATCTTAAGTATATGATCCGACTATGAATAGCGGCTTCAGACTTCTTTCTGCTAAACCGTCTAAGAATATCCCGAACAAATCTTTTATAAATATTTAAAAATTAGTGAAGCAAATGAAATAATCAAATGTCTTATTAATGATTCAACATGGTGAGTTTTCCATTCTGGAAAATAGAAATCTAATTAAGTGAAAAAGAAAATATTGCAACAATTATAACGCATTTGAATGGAGATGCGTATTTGTTTGATTTTAACGATGTGATCAGTCTAGAATAATTAAACATCGTGTATCACGCGTTTGTCCAGATACGTTTACGAGTATTGACATCAGTGTGGAAATTTGTAATTTGTAAGTTATATATTTTATGTTTACAATGTAGTAGGGATTCCTTAGAAATAGATAGATAAGATAAGATACTTGTGTTGTGTATGTAGATATTTCATTAAATATTAAATTTTAATCTATCTATTTAGGATATGTTGAACGATATAAATTTATAAATTCTAACATTCTACAGTGTGTTACGCTGTATAATTTACATTTATTCCTACCAAAAAACGTTTCTTTTTCAATTTCTAGATCTACTTATGAGTATTGGCAATATATTTTAAAAGGGAAAAATGGACTTTATAAAGAAAGTAGGAGATACACTTACAGAGTCAGAAAAATGGTTTGATGTTATGAATAACTTTCAGAAACTTAAAACTGATCAAGACCGTGTAATGTTTGTTCTCAACATATTGGGGGAGTACAATTTGATTCCTATTCCAGATAATAATCTAAAAAATGCAGAAAAATCTGAAAAACTGCGAGAACAAGGAAATGCTATTTTTGTTGCTTGTACTTCTAAGAGCTCATTATGTTATAAAGCACAGCAGTTATATACAGAAAGTATATCCCTAGCACCTTATCCCTCCAAGCAGCTTACTCTTGCTTATGCCAATAGATCTGCTGTTTTATTTGAATTAGGTTTCTATTCTGAATGTGTTAAGGATATTGATAGAGCATTGGCCTTAGATTATCCTGATGATCAGAGGGCAAAACTGTATATACGTAAAATGCAATGTTCAGTCGCGTTGGGTAATTCAAATGTGAAAAATATAATCAAAGAAACAGAGTATTGGATAAATAAAATTACATCAAATGCCAACAAGTTAAAATTACAAACTAAGCTAAATGGATTATGCCAGAAAATTGAGCAGAAAAATGATCAGTATAATTCTACAAAATCAGAAAGGAAAATAGGAAAAGAACTTCCTCTTCCTGTTATCAAGTCCTATAGTAATGAAATTCTTTGTGCATCAGATGCTATAACTTTAAAATATGATGAACACAATGGCAGACATGTTGTTGCTACTCGTAATATTGATGCAGGTGAAATAATCGTTATAGAAAAACCTTACTCTACGTTGTTACGGAATAACCTAATGTCACACTGTTCAAATTGCTTAAGAGTATGTTTGGCTACTATACCCTGCAAATACTGCACTTATGCCATGTATTGCTCAGAACAGTGCAGGGATATTGAATGGGAGAAATATCATGATGTGGAATGTGCTATCTTTTCTGTTATGGTTGCTGAAAAATTTCTCTCTCTTGACCTTTTTAGTTTGAGAATTCTTATGTGTGCTATAAAAGAAGCTGGCGATATACAAGGGTTAAGAACTATGTTGGAAAGAGCTGATGGATCTGATGGTATTTAAGATCCATCCCTTTCATCATTGTATAATAGCAGAATATATATGATAGTACTGTTTCAGATCCAAGAACTATGGGTTTTTCACCGGATGGAAAGTTTCATAGTGAAAAATATATCAGTTTGTATGGTTTGATGACGAATAGTGAGGAAAGATCATTTTTTGATCTTTTTGGGAGATTTGTAGATACTTGTTTTGTTTTATATCTTTTAGCACAGTATACGAAAATTTTTGGTACTAAATTACCAGGCAATTTCAAAACTTTGGCAAACAATGACAATGCTACTTTCCTAGGTGGTCTCATTCTGAGACATCAACTAATAATCTCGACTAATGCTCATACGGTATGTCATCTGCTAAATATTTTGATATGTACTATTTTATTGTATATAGTTTATTTATTTTCATGTTTTTATAGATTTATTAACCGTGTTAATTTGATGTTTTTTTACAATTATTCATAATTATTTTCAGATCTATGAAGAGCAATATTTATGCGCTGAAGAACGTGGTAATGCTATTTTGCCTTTTTGTAGTCTATTTAATCACAGTTGCAATCCAAATGTCTTCAGGGTTTCAAGATCTCAGCATACTGTTTTGTATACTTTGTATCCGATTCGAAAGGGCGAGCAGGTACTAAATTGTCGAGATCACTTATTACAGTAAAACTTACTTTTTTATGATGATTAACATCTAATTATTTTATTACAGCTTCTAGATAATTATGGATCTCACTTTGCTATGGAATCAAAAATTGTAAGACAAAATATGCTACTTAAACATTATCACTTTACCTGTAAATGTATACCTTGCCAAGAAAATTGGCCCGTGCTTTCTGACTTCAAATCATTTGAAGTAAGTTGCTACGAGTGATTGATACAATCAAACAGCCGTATTTCGATGATAAATAAATATTTTGTTTTACAGACTTTAGCTATACCAGCGAGCGACAAGAATGTGATACGAAACGCATTAAAAAAACTGGACACGTATATTGATATGGCAAGGAAGGCCGATGTCCTGGGTAAGCCTTATATCATTGAAGATTTGTTAACGATGATACGAGTGATGTATGATCGTGTGCCGATTGCTTGCCAGGAGATGGGTAATGTAGTGGAAACTTTAAAACGAGTGTTCGCCTTACACGGTAATACATTCATCTTACCACAGAATTAGGACAAGTAAACGCATGTTCCTTTACAATAATATTCTTTGATCGGTAAAATTTGTTGTTTTGTTATCGTCTTGCTAATGATAAGCGTATTGATATTTGTAAAGAGTTTTAATTAATTAGCATATCGATACGTAAAGAATTTAAGTTTATTAACGCACCGATATCTATAAAGAGTGTCAGTGAATTCGAGTTTGAAATTAATGTTTTATTTATTTATTTGTTATTTTTAACAAGAAGCTCCGAAGTCCTGGTTTCTTACCGTGGTCATTTTAATTGGGTGACACTTACGATCGATTGAATAAATTTATAACTCGAACTTTATCTTTTACTCTAATAATTGATGTTACAGTAAAACTAATGTGAGGCGTAGCCCGCCTTTTTACTAATTTGTTATATTGCAATAAATAAAATTTATCAGGGATATTTTATGTAAGCTGCTTATTAATTGATCGCAAGTGTAACTTTATGAACGTCTTGAATCTTTTCACCTTTTAAAAATTTTACTATTATTTTCTTGTTTTTCGTAATATTGTATTATTCAAGATGACCACGATGAGAAAACAGGAACCTTAAATACACAAAATAGAGAAAGAGAGTTTGATAAAATATTTTTACGAAATATATTAAAAATATTTAGAGATAACATTATATTATGACATTATTATGTTGATATAGATATATAATATATTATTTGACAGATTATAAGGTTGTCTTGGGCAATATTGTGTGTTAAATTTACACGTCCTGCTTTTCCTGTATCCTGTATAATCCACTGCGCGTATCCACCCTTTCATGCGTCGTCGTATACACGATGCGCAAGAAAGTATATAGAACTATGTTAATTCGCAGATAAAATTGAGGTAGTCGAATCGTTAATATAGGAAATATTATTGTTTATAGATAATCTTTAACTGTATAATGCACTCAATTATGTGCCCTCTTCGAGTTGCAGTTGATAACGTTTTATCTCTGTTATATTATCAACAACTGTAAAAGAATTGGCAAAAGAACCATCATATCAGTCACTTGATAAGCCGTTCCGTGATTTCTGTGATTTTCGTGATTTTCTTCAATCTCTTGATTTTCTTGAGTTTCAACTGTCATCTCTTTAAGACACTTATCCGTCTTATCACATGTATATGAAATTCGCCACTCCACGCCTGTGTGAACCGGGCTGTGTTTCTTGAAGTACCATTCCAATACGTCCGCCGTAGTGACGCCTGTGAAAATTCGGCAGTGTCATGATAAACATTGTTTTCATCATCTGGTAGATTGTCGCGAAGCTAAGTGCACTTGCAAGGCAAATGTCAGGCGACGCGCATTAGAATACATGAACGTACCGAGGGAGGTTGCCTTGAGGCCCTCGAGCATATGGAAGCCATCCCCGCCCTTCGCTATGAAGTCATTCACGAGGACCTTGTAGGTAGCATTTCTCTGGAGCTCGCTGTACCTCGGTATTGAGCAATTGGCGCATTGAACTTGAACGGAAACCACTCTAGAGTTCTGCGGTCGAGTTTCGTCATACTCCACCTGCAGAAAACGCAAGCGCATCTTCGATGAGACATACAGCTCGTACAGCTTCAGCAGACATACTGTACAGCTTCGGGTACAGTAGCTATTGTTTGTCAATAGATTAAAATTCACGCATGATAACGGAGATTAATCTTGTAGTCGAAGATAATTATATAGATTACCTGCAGTCCTCCGTATTGCAGAAAAGCGCCAAATAAGTTGCCGGTGGACGTCCGATTATTCAAATTATAGACACTCCATTCGAGCATCGAAAGTATCTGTTCTCCTGTCATGGAAATCAGCTGAATCACATTGCCGAAGGGCAAAACACCTATGATGTCACCTCGAGTGACCTGTAACGTGACGTGACAGCCCATGCTTGATGTGTTTGGAGAGACTATTCTTAGCACGCTGATTGCCATTGGGGTCATTGATTTCACTGCATCTCATTAATGTATGCATAAAGTGTGAATAACTGCGTGTAAGATAAAATATCGTAGTCGATAGAAAGTCAAGAAAGCTGGCTCCGGCAAATATACGCATCAGGGAAAGTATATGTCTACTTCGGTTGCTCGAACTTTCATTAATTTTTGGGACAATTCGCGGGAATCAACGTGTCGAAGAAAAGGCAAGAAACATGCATTTTAATTACCGTATTTTCTCTCGCTCTGGTGATGGACGTTCTGATGCTGCCGCTGTTCTGGACCGCGATGGCAGCATCCGTCCATCCATCCTTGGCCAAGTACAGGCTGGCGTACTGTGAACGGAGAAGACGAAACAAAAATGAGCAGTCAGCCTTGAATTGAGAATATTCCGCGAATATTAACGATAAGATTCGATCAATTCGAATTGATTGGAGATCTTACATAGTCAATTAAAGCGTCGCAGATCAGATTTCCCAAATTGCATTCCTTTCGTCTGCAATTCTTACTGTCTCCGTCGAGGAGCACTCGCGTTTTTCCGACTTCCTTGGTCGTCAAATCGTCGATGGGCTTCCTCATCTCTTTTATCTTCGCCTGGACGTCTTCTGCCTGCGATAAGAATCACAGAGAATATATGTTGCACAATACGCTTTTTGAACATGCAAATGTATCAACAATTTGGTACTTTTACTCGTAATTACTATCTCTAAATTTTAATTATCTATATATTTTTTTATATACACTATTCTATCAACGGGTAATTTTGCACTCAACCAATTTTTTCACACGGCTTCCAAAACCTACCTGTTCCACACTGGAGTCCACCAGGATCGGGTTACCCTCGATGTTAGTCACCTCTCCGCTGGCGTTGAAGCTCACGGAGAAGTTACCCAGGTATTTGGTGTAGGCGTACGCCTGAACGACGTAGACTTTCCTGCCGCTCTTCTGTATTATCGCCGTAGGGTAGTAACCCTCCGGTACTTCCGAGTCCGGCGGCGTACCCTTGTACAAGAAGGTGTTTGTATGACCGCCGATTACCAGGTCGATGTCTTCGACCTCCTTGGCGATCTTCTTATCGGTCTCGTAGCCGGAGTGACCCAGAGCGATAAGAATGTCGACACCCTGACCCTTGAGCTTTTCAGCCTCCTCCCGGATGGATTCAACCTCGTCCTTGAAGATCACCTGCTCGGTGGTCGACAGGATCTTCGTCTCGGGCGTCAGGTAACCGATGACACCGATCTTTCGGTCGCCCACCACGAGGACCGTGCTGTTTTCAAGTTTCGTATTACGCAGATTCGGCTGCAGGGTGAGGTTGAGATTCGACGTCACGACGGGAAACGTCACGTTATTTAGGAACGGTATCAGCCCCTCGACACCGTCATCGAACTCGTGGTTACCCAAACTCTGGATTTGTTAAATCGAAATTTAATTGGGTGAGACGGAGACGACACGCGGACTTTGCATCAAAGTTGCCGCACGCTTTGACAGACCTTTATTTATTAAATTTTTTATTATAATATTAAATTTTTATTAAATTTTATTTATTTTACTCGAGTTATTTGTATTCACTTCACTTTCTCAATTCATCGATTCAAGCGCCAGCCTTCTAGACTCTCCCGCTTGAACGTTTCATCGAATTAAATCTAAAATCGTCGGTGACTCGCAGAGTCTGGCAAATCTTTCCCTCTTCGTCTGTCTTGCGAATGTTTTTCGTGTAAACTGATTCTAATCGATACTTACGATGGCGTCCGGCTTCAGGAGATTCAGAAACACCGCCGGTGCCACCCATTTGTACACGTTATACCAAACGGTCCCTTGATAAGTGTCGCCGGCATTCAAGAAGAGCGTCGGCCCTTGCGCCCTCGCTTGACGGACCAAAGTCGCGATCCTGGCGAAACCCCCGTAACACTTTCCCGCTTTGGAGTTCTCCGGCGTACACGCGGTCGACAGTTTCGACGTTTCCTCGAATCTGAAAATGTATAATTTACGACGTCGAAAAGAAGCGGGGAATGTTCCCCGGGATAATCTGCACGATCTGACGAAAGATACATCTCGGCCATCCTCATCGTGTTCTTCTTGCGGTGAGAGAGAGAGAGAGAGAGAGAGAGAGAGAGAGAGAGAGAGAGAGAGAGAGAGAGAGAGAGAGAGAGAGAGAGAGAGAGAGCAAATTTACCTCGCGTGCATGTCGTTCGTGTGAACGATCCTAATGGTGAAGTCATCGTCCTTCTTCAGAAGGGGACTCGCGAGGATCCCGCTGACGAAGAGCAGTAGCGCGACAACGTGGCACTTGTATCCCATCGACATGTTTGTCCGTTACTCACGTTACAACGCAGGTGTATTTTCTTCTTATGAGCACCCCTTATTTCTTATCTCTGTTTGTCGCGCTGATAAGACACCGTTTTGTCTACACGCGGCGACTCAAACTATCTCATTTTCTCCAAGATTAACGAGCTACTTGTTGCACTGGATGATTCGACGTCTGCAAGGACACGTAAGGATACGTTTCACCTGATATGCCTTCACTTATCGCGTGGTATACGTGTGTGCGTGATACTCGCATGCGGCGTCCACAGTCGTGAGCTTTGCCGTTTCTGCGCGTTGTTTGAGCGCGGATCGGAGCGCGTTATCAAGAATACATTTCTGCTTGCGCGTGCCTATTCGACGCGTAACATTCATAAAGCACGAGGATCTAAATCCACTGCGGCTACTACGCCTCGTTGCGAAACGCGCGCGCGGGCTCGCCAAGATACGCTCGTAAAATCGCGCTCCAAGATCGCGCTTTGAGCAACTTATCAATCCGACCAGATGCTTGGCTGCGTGCCCGACTAATTCGCGGGCGGAACGGAACGGCGACGCTGCTTCGGCATTGAGGCGTCCTTCCGCGCCCTTCCGACCGCCCGGACGAGTCGCCGTCGGCGGGGACTTCCGGGTTCCTAGATTTCGCAAGAAGCGTCGCGAGATAGCTTTCTCATTACACGGCAGATGCAACACCTCCTTCGATACCCACGATATGCGCTATAAATGCCGGCGACTCGGTGCCAAAGATTGAGTAACACGCACGCACGCACGCACGCACGCACGCACGCACGCACGCACGCACGCACGCACGCACGCACACACACACACACACGCACACCTCGTACAGCGATTTGCGTAAAGCAAATATGCAAACTGCTCCGCACCCGCGAGTGACATTCCGTGCACGTGTGGAGCGTTACAACGTGAGGTTTGTGACTTTCACGCGTGGGTTTCACGAAACTTGAAATATTGCGTTTCCCCGCTTTACACGCTCCGCCGTCGATAACGATAAATTTCGTTTCCGGCCGTCGTCGAATTCCGGTGATTTCTCGTGTTCGCGTTCACCACGCGAATACCTCGCTATCTTCCTCTTCATTCTTTTCTGTCTCCCCCTAATTTCCGTTTGATACCGCGTTATGGAACGTCGCGGATGCTCGGAAGCGTTTCTTCTTGTCCCTACGGAAGAAGAAGCTTCGTTCGACTGACGCCCGGCGGAAATTTGTCCTAATCCTCTCTCTCTCTCTCTCTCTCTCTCTCGGAGCGGCGCGAAACGAAGGAAGAGAAAGAAGCGACGCACCGAGTCAACTCGACTATCATCACTCGACTGCGAAGGGTGCTGATAACTACTGGCATAATTACGGAACACACGCGTACTAATTGCTCTTCCGTGTTATCGTGACAGCGGCGGCGGCGGCGGCGGCGGCAGCAATGACAACGGTCGGAGGCGAAGCTGGCAATGGCAATGCTTTGGAGCGAGTTGCAATTTATCTGCGAGCAACAGGCGCGAGCCGATTTTGTCGAGCGACCGGCGTCGACTGAATATGATAGACGTCGACGGGTGCCGACGAGCAGACCCCACCGGATTCCTTTTTCCTCTCTGTTGGGATTTCCGCAGCTCTGGAGCAGCACGCCTCGCCGGGAATGCTTAAGTTGTCGAGCCTCATCCGCGCGATTTGAGCATTTTCTGAGCGAGACTGGTCGGGCGAGAGCGCGGCGAGGAGGAGCGAGGGGAAGAGCGGAGAGAGAATCCGAGTGTAATGGGGGAGCCGAATTTAATTAATGCAGCATTAGATGCTGCGGCTTATTTGGAATTGCTTATCGTAAATATCCATCACGCGCTCATCGCTACGTTCTGGCCCGCGATGATAACGCGCCTGATGAAGCAATCGAAAGTCCTCGGCGGAGGCGCTCAGGAGGAACAGACTGCTGCCTCTCTTTTCATGGCAGAGGCTCGCTCGTCAAGCGACGATATTCGCGCGGCCGTTCCGTTGCTCGGGTAACTTCTATTGTCAAAACGGACGATGGCGTAAGCGGAATGACGAGTCGCCTTGGGATTATTATTTCTCGAGCGCGGCGATACACTATCATTCGTTCGTGAAGGCAGTTTTTAATTAAACATCGTCTGAAAAGCAACCAAGTAAGATTTGTTCTTCAGATACAGCGATGCTAATTGCTGAGAATTATCATTTCTATCTCCACTGATTATATCTCTCATAACGCACATGCGAATCGTTAACTCGGCAATCTGATCGATCGTCGCTGGATAATGTAAGCGGTTGCTTATTGATACCAAGTAGTTTATTCATATCAAGTAGCCACTTTCGATAGGCTGCTCGCTCGACTCGCTTCGGAACGGAGTAAACAAGCCTTGCACGCGAGCGATATGCATTAGCGAGTTTTATTATTCTAAAGAGTATACTAAGGATTCTTGGATGTCTTAAAGAGGTCTTTGAGAAACGCTAACAGACGTCACTGAGACGCTTCTCGAATCTAATCGTCACGGGCGTTGACTCGAAATAATATCGTTATCATTTCTGCCTACGTGCGTTGCGTCGATCTTAAATCTCAGGTTAATTACACCGACGTCTGTTTTCTTATTTTTGTTTTCGCTTAATTGCGTGTCTCGAATTTCTCAAGCGGCAGATAGCGATTAGTTGGTATTAGAGTAGTGGCTATTGTTAAGCATTTCTCATCCACTCTTATCCGGTGAAATCTATTTTCTGACACGTATAGTCACACGCGATGTTGATCGAAACCTGCGGCTATCTGAGATTAGATAACACTCGAATTGTTGGGGAAATGTTCAATAAGCGCCGTGTTTGTTTGACGATTCCCATCAGGCCCGACACTGTTTAGATTCAATGCATTATTTCCGGCTCGTCGCGTGTTCAGCAATATCACCGCACCGACAATGAGTAATGGGCTTTGGGCCCGACGGGCCACCCGCTGGCCCGGATGAGAGTCGGTATTGTATCTTCGACGGCGTTTTCAGAAGAGAAGACCCGATCGCGGCGCCTAAAGGCGCACGTAGGTGTGAAAAGGCACACCCCGACAACTGTCCGAAGCCAAAAGACCGGCAGATTTCGGGTCGTCCTGAGCGACTGAGGGTTCGAGTCCGACCACTCGGTCGTGTCAGTTTTGACATTTTTAGCTAGACAGTCGCTCGGCTGCTCAAACATCTGTGTGTCCCGGCGCTGTCGTCCGCCCTTCCTACCAAATGAAGATCTCACACCGAAGTATCTCGATCGCCTTTCACCTTCGCCGGCGAAATTATGATTTTGTCATAAACGTGCCGGAAAGTGCCGGCCATTCGGTAGCTTCTTTATTCTTGTTTATTCTTGTCCCGCGACTTGTGTGACGGTTTAACTTTCGACGCGTCGTCGGGAATTAAACCGTCGCGATCGGCGAAGTGAGACAGCGCAATCACGTGTTAATCGCTCCCACGTTATTAAGGATTTATCCTCGTCGGGATTTTTCCTCCACGAGGAAAATCGCGACTCCTCGGGCGCCGCCGCTGTGAACGAGTATTTTTTCGCCTTGGACTATGAATACATCTGTATGGATAATTATAAGAGACGAAGCACCGACGATTAATCACAGAAATATGGAGACATGTGGATTTGTCGGAACGCTTGGCCGTTATTGGCATCGTTCGTCGTCAGTTGCGTGTTTCACGCGTCGACGCGTGATAAGATCTTTTTTCTCCTCCGTTGCTAATTCTACCGATTTACATGTTGTCTCTTATGGATTACGACCGGTATCGCGGTGCAAGGCGAGGGAACTGGTTTCCCCGTGCGAAATTGCGAATCGTGTTTCGATTTGCCTTTTGCGAGGCGCGGAGTCGCTTCGTAACAAAGTTATTCAAATCGAGACGCCCAGACGACGAGAGAAGACAGGCGTGTGTCAGAGATACCGAGAATTCCAGCCATTAAATTTCCATTTTCAATCCGGATTCTAATCGACAAGCGTGTATACAAGAATCGCAGGATGCATTGCGGAGTCGGCGCAGTTGCAACGCAAACGACCGCGCTTTCGGAAAATCCAAAAATCGACAGTGCGTTTCGACGACAGACGTCGTGCATTATTGAGAAGCAATGAGCCACCGTTGACACGGCGCGACTAACTGTACGTTTTGACGTAGCATGCAAATAACAGCATAGTCCATTTACTAAAACGTTCTGTCCTCGACAGTATCGTTACGTTATCTATGCGTTAACTGCTGTGCGATTAGTTAGTTTTTTTCCAGAGCCGTGTTTCGCGTACTCGAATCGAAGACGGATCTTGACTTCGTCGACTTCATCGTTCGCAATAGTTCGCCTCGCATCTGAGACCTCCGCAGGTAATACGCACTACGTCGCCGATTTCGAGCGACAGGCAGAGATACAACCGAGAGAAGCGCCGCGCCGTTCCGTTCGCCTAGACGCAAAAATGCGAGACTCCGAAATCTCCCGTGACGAGGCAGAGGCTAATTCTCTCACGGGAGGAGAACCACCGTGTTCACTACCTAGAGCACAGTTTCGCGCGAATATTCGACCGAGTGCTCACTTAGCTCGTCTCCGAGCTAAGTCGACGGCGACGCTGAAGACGGAGAAACGGGCTTCTGCGAGGCTTATCGCAAATCGCTCGGATTTACATTTCGTCGCGGGTCCTCGCGTGATATTACTTCCGGTAACTTCGCCGCCGTGGACTTCGTCTCTTGCTTCGGCGAGAATCAGCGCCGAGGCCGCGGCGATGACGCGACTATCGGAGGATCATTTGCACCCGCTCTCCCGCCACGCGTTACACGCCACGCGCGTCTCGTGAAACACGGAGTTAATTAACCGTGCGAGCCGGTCTCCTTCGCGTCGACTCCGCGGATTTTTCGCTCGAATTGTCTGGTCTGGCGACCATCCGGCGCACCTGTGACACCTGCCTCGCTCGCGCGTCACGCGTATCCGCGGGCGTTATAATTAGTGGGAGTAAAGGTGCAAGAAGGACCGATCGTCGCAGTCGCAGGATTTACGCCTGCGTCCTGTTTTTCTTCTTTTCCTTTATGCTCGTCGCGCAGCGATCGGTCACCGAGCGAGCTTGTCTTTGTCGCTCGGCTGAATCATCGGCGCGAGAAGCTTGCAAAGAGTTTCTTTCTTGCGACAGCACACTGAAATAAATAATATCGAGATCGCGAGATAATGTAGGATTGTAATAAAGAGAGCGACGATCGATATGCATCGTCTCGTTAGAGGTGAGGATCAAAGTCGAGTCATCCTCCGTTGCGGAACGGAAGTTCTCCTTCGTGCGAGCTGCGAATACCTACGTGCTCGAAAACATGTCGCACGATGCGACTAATAATACGGTATATAAGTTCGCAATAAATTATCTTCCACTGCGAACACCGGTTGATTAACCGGGCTTTGATTAATTGGGTTATCGATGTGGCGATCGCTGGTCAGCGCGCGGAATCGAGCGGGCCGCTCGATAATTAGCGGCGCCGTCGAACAAGAATCGTGATTGATGCGCATCTCTGGATGAGCTTATCGCGAGCCAAATTCGTGCGCATCGACAACGACCGAGATCGCTTGATCTCGGCGTCGCCGAGTGCTGATTTGCTATCTTATTTTCGCGTTGCGCAATCGCCGGCAACATCTACCTTAGTCGTCTAACTAATGGACGCTCGAGAAATGCGACAGCGCGTGGCCGCAATTAGTGCTTTCCGCATCGACGAAGAATTGTACGCGCTCGTGTAACGTAACGTCGCGCAGGTGAAGCTGGTGTTTCTCAGCCGCGTCTCGCTCTTCGAGACGCGCGCGGCGCGAGCGGTCTCGTCGCCGAGCTCTTAATTACTCAGCGGAGGGATGCGAGGAATACCTTCGCGCGCTGCTCGATACTTCCCTTTATTTATCCCGATACGTCTCTTGCTTATCTCGATATTTTATCTCGTTGTTTCTTATCGCGCGTACACGCGGCAGCCTGGAGCTGGCGGCGAGCCGAGACCGCGCAAAACATAATAGTATCTTTCCCGACAGGTGCAACATGTCGCTGCTGCCGTTGTTGCTGTTGCTGTGCCAGGCCTGCTGGGGATTCACCGGGCGTGGTGTCTTTCATTCCGACAGGACCGACCTGTTCGAGCTATCCGTGATCCACTGGAATGATTTTCACGCGAGGTGAGCGAACCGATTCGTCCGTGATAAGCGGCCGCGACTTGATCGTTGCCGCTGTCTCGTGAAACTCGCGAAGTCAAGGATGGAGGCGGGATTACGCAATAATCGCGGCCTTGGCCTCCTTTCCTTCGCCCTTTGTTTGACTTTTGCGATCGCGCTGCTCGTTAGAGCGTCGAAGCGTGACTCTTGAGGGGAGAAAAACTGTCGAAGGTTCGAGCAGACAGGTCCGACCTCTGGAACCTGCAAGGAGGAGAGGCAGCAGGACTGCGTGGGAGGAATCGCGAGGATCTACACGGCGGTCAATCGGCTCATGAACGAACGGCCGAACCCGATTTTCCTCAACGCCGGCGATAACTTTCAGGGCACCCTCTGGTACAATATTCACCGTTGGAACGTCACTGCTTTGTTCATGAACAAGCTGCCGCACGACGCCATGGTAATTGAATATAAATGCCGCCACGATCGAGACGAAGCGAGACGGGCGAGCTTTAATTCTCGCGAGCGGACGGACGTGGTTTGACTCGCTCGTTCTTCCCGAGTGGAAGAGTCAGCCCATCGCGGGTCCTTTCGAGATACACAAAGTATCGGGACTGCCGAAAAGTTCGTTTCGATTTTTTGTATTCTTTTTTTTACCGGCTGCCTCTTACCAGGTCTGTAAATATGAAGCCGGAATTTGCCCATAGATGGCCCTAGTTGTCAATGTAGTTACCGTCAAACCATGTCATTGGCGCCATTTCCATTTGTTGACATCTGACAAAGATTTTCAACTCACAACAATACAAGTTTCATACAACAGCACAGTTTGTAATAGCGTTGAACATGTCGAATTTTGTGCCTGGAAGCTACGATTCGCGGACAGCATTGATTTTCTGTTACCATTTGAAGAAAACTTCTGCTGCAGAGTCGCATCGAATGCTTGTCGAAGCTCACGGTGAGCTTTGAGCTTTGAGTGGTTTAAAAAATTCAAACGTGGCGATTTTGACGTGAGAAACGAACAACGTGGAAGACCACCGAAAAAGTTTGAAGACAGCGAATTGCAAGCATTGTTGGATGAGGATGACGCTCAAACGCAACAACAACTCGCGGATCAATTAAATGTGAGAAACGAGAAGCCGTCTCCATACGTTTGAGAGCCATGGGAAAGATCCAGAAGATGGGAAAATGGGTTCCACATCATGAACTGAATGAAAGACAGCAGGAAAACCGAAAAACCACTTGCGAAATGCTGCTCGCCAGGTACAAAGTCATTTCTTCGATCGAATTGTGACTGGCGATGAAAAGTGGATGTATTTTGAGAATCCTAAGCGTAAAAGATCATGGGTGACTCCAGGCGAACCATCGACATCGATTGCAAGGCCAAATCGCTATGGACGGAAGACAATGCTTTGTGTTTGGTGGGATCAGAAGGGTGTGTTGCTATTATGAGCTGCTAAAACTTGGCGAAACCGTTAATACTGAACGCTACCGACAACAAACGATCGATTTGAATCAAGCTTTGCGTGAAAAACGACCAGAATATCAAAAAGGGCAACATAAGATGATTTTGCTTCATGATAATGCACCATCACACACAGCAAAACTGGTGAAGGAAACGATTGAGGCGTTTAGTTGGGAAATACTTTCGCATGCGGCTTACTCACCAGACTTTGCTCCGTCCGACTACTACTACTTATTTGCATCGATCGGACACGCACTTGCTGAGCAGCGCTTCACTTCTTACGAAAATGTACGAAAATGGCTCGATGACTGGTTTGCCTCAAAAGAGCAACAGTTTTTTTGCCGTGGCACCCACAAATTGTCAGACAGGTGGGAAAAATGTATAGCTAGCGATACGGGCGATACTTCGAATAAAATATTTTTTATCATTTTCGTACAATAAACGTGTATTTTTTATAGAAAAATTCCGGTTTCATATTTACATACCTGGTATAATAGAGAAGTATCAATGCTGCCAAAATGACAACAAATTGATCGACTGCTAAACGATTGCGTAACAAGTTCAATTTCTTGGTTAAAGAAGAAAAACCAAGTCGAGCTTTTCGACGGACCAATATTAGATAGAGGAGGTCGTGAATTTACCTTTGACCCAGTCTTATTTAGCCCACATCGGATCCTCTTATCTGCATCTCCCGGAATTTCAACTAGCCAACTATTCATATAGTAGATGTAGTTTCGTCGGATTCGTCTTCGTAATAAGAAATAGAGAAGAAACGCTGTCCGATGTAGCCGTAAACACAGCGCGATGACCACAAGCGCAAAGTATCACACACAATCAAGTACACAAAGTTAAAACAAAAGTAAATAAAATTCACGTAAGCACGTGGGCGATACTCAACAAGTAAAGAATCATTCGCTCGCTCTAGTCGACTTGGGGAACAAGAAAGAACGTTCGCGCGATATCCCGCGTATTTGAGACTTAAAATAGTCCGTTGTATATATATTTATGTGTATTGTTATTCTGAAGGTCGCGTGAGACCTGTCGACGAGCGTTATGCTTGATAGAAGCGGATCGAGCGATTTATTCCTCTAATTACTTAACGCTCTCAATATATAATAATGTCGTGCACGTCATTTTGTGGCGTTTATTTCAATTCAATAACACTCGTCACTTTTCCGTACGTTGAGCAGAATGCTGATTATCAAGATACGACAATTGTAGTATAATAAAGATACGACTGAACGCTAATAGCTTTAGGTATCGATGTTGCGTGTGACAAATGTAGGACGTTTTCTTTCTCAGACTCTCGGGAATCACGAGTTCGATCATAAGATCAAAGGTGTCGTTCCTTTCCTTCAGCATGTCAAAGCGCCGATTGTAGTAACGAACATTGACGCGAGCGAGGAGCCGAGCATGCAGGTCCGTAATTTCCGTCTGTAAGCATTTATGCCGGGATAAAAATGGATTTCTCTTTCTTTAGAATTTGTTCGAGAATAGCACAATCATCGTACGTAACGGCAAGAAGATCGGCATCATCGGCGTCATCCTGTCGACTACGAACGTGAGTGTAACCGCGATCGATCGTATTCCCTGACAACGTAGCGAGCGGCGCGTTCTGCCAGATTTAATTTATCCGATCGTATCTCGCCGATTTATAAACCATCCGGTTTCTGTCTCTCTCTCTCTCTCTCTCTCTCTCTCTCCCTCTCTCTCTCTCTCTCTCTCTCTCTCGCGAGACACGATCGAGGGGGCGGCAATCTTATCGATGTGCATTCTGCTCGCCCAGATGATCGCCAGCACGGAGAAACTCAAGTTCCTGGACGAGGTGGAGACGGTGAACGCCGAAGCGCAGCGGCTGAAAGAGAAAGGCATAGACATTATCATAGTTTTGAGCCACTGCGGACTGGACGTGGACAGAGTCATGGCCGCGAGGTGTCCTCTGATCGACGTGATCGTCGGTGGTCATTCGCACACGTTTCTCTACACAGGTTTCGAGAAGAGGCGTTCTTTCAAGTCGATCGTACTTAGCAAATCACGCTCGCGCGCAAATACGTACCGACGACGCGACGACGTATTCGTCATTTCGTGCGAACCGTGTCGCGCATCTGCGAATACATATACAATACCGCCGTCGTAACGTTATTTGTTGCCGAGCGCGGCGTCTTCGTTGACGCGATAATTTTCAGCGTCTCTGACTGTTGTGTCGCAGGTACACCGCCTTTTATTGACAGACCGGCGGACGAGTACCCCGTGGTCGTGACGCAGAAAGAGACGGAGAGAACGGTCCTCATTGTTCAAGCAGCTGCTTATACAAAGTACGCTCTATTCAGAGATACGAAAATCATGTCAAGAGTATCTTTCATCGCTCGCGAAGGTCAATTCCGCTATCTGGAGTCACGAGGTCGGCTTTCGAGTGATTAGTTCTTGATATACGACCGCTCAGCAATGTCGGGCAATTTTATTTCGAGCCGCCCGCGCCCGGTCCGTCCGTTGCGGACTTATTCGATACAAATGCGATTGAGCGAGCATTGATGATTCATGCGTTTCTGTCTGATCCGCTTCCGACTGAAGGTACTTGGGCAATCTAACGGTGTGGTTCGATGAGCTAGGTGAGGTCGCCGACTGGGAGGGCAACCCGATCCTCTTGGACTATTCCGTCGAGCAAGGTGAGAGCTTTCGGTATGCCGAGAAGCCCGACTTGTATCGCCGTTACCGAGGCAATTATCGTGTAACACGTGACACACCTGACGCGACACTCGAAATAATTGCACCCAGATCCGGACATTTTGGAAGCGCTGCAGCCGTGGAAGGAGGTGGTGGACGCGGAGGCTTCGAGGAAAGTCGGCAGCACGAGGGTTGAGCTGAATAATCAGTGTTACCGCGAGGAATGCAACCTGGGGAATTTCATAGCGGACGCGATGGTCGATGCGGTACGTACGACGGATCGCCTCGCGATACCTTGGCGATGCTCTTCTTCGAAATGGAGAGACTCGACTCAAGGGCGACGTTGATTTCAGTACGTGGAAGCTATCGACGACGAAAGATATTGGACGTACGCAGCGGTGTCCTGCTCGAATGCAGGTGGAATTCGCAGCGGTATCGAGCCGTCTGATATCACCTTCGGTGATCTGATGACGGTCTATCCTTTCGAGAACACGTGGGATACTCTCGAGTTGACCGGAGAAACTATCAAGAAGGTGAGTTTGGATGCCTCGTCGTATCGTGATCTCCTGCGTGATGCTCCCTTCCTCCTTTTCTCTCTTTCCGCGACGAGACCGATAGATTCGGCTGTAATTAATTTCGACGTGACACGAACCGGATTTTCTCGTTCCCACTCGCGGCGAGCTGCGGGGTAACGCAACGTCGTGAAAAGAGCGTGAGCGCCAAAGCAGCGGCGCCTTGTAGAACGACGCGTGAACGTAAACGTGCATTAACGGTGGCCGCCGTTCGGGGTCGCGACGGAGATTGAAGCTGAAGAGAATCGAGCGGCGAATTCAATTTTACATCGCCCTGCAGATCCTGGCAGCGGGAGGAAATGGTCTAATCTGGTCCGGCTTGAAAATCACTTACAAGATGGACGGTGAAGGGCGAAGCGTGGAAGACGTGAAAATCAGGTGAGAGCTTTTGAACTTTGGAATTTCTTCTCTCATCCAGCTCCTGCCGCTCCACTTGATTCGTTACGCGATAAAACTGGAGCGCAAATTGTATCCGCTTCAAGTTGGAAACGGCAACTTTGTCGAGAGTTACTGACTACTTTAATTCTCTCGAATGTATCGACAGGTGCCAGGCTTGCGAATACCCGGTATTCGGGGATGTGGTGGACAATGTGTGGTACCGACTGGTAGTGCCGTCTTATTTGGCCAATGGCGGAGATAAATATATCCTTTTCAAAAATAGCAGTCGCAATCATCAAGTCGGATCGCTCGATATAGAGCTGCTAATAAAATACGTGACGAAGATGAGTCCCATAATCGCAGGAATCGACCGACGACTGACCTTCGTGGAGTCCAAATCCTAAAAATTGTCTTTGAATTTTTGGATTAATTTTCGTGTACTGGTAAAACTGCATTTAGAAGGAGAGAGAGAGAGAGAGAGAGAGAGAGAGAGAGAGAGAGAGAGAGGAAGAGAGAGAAAAAGAGAGAGAGAGAGAGAGGAAAACACGGTCTATTTAACTCAGAATTTAGAAGACACCATCGCATTATATATCCGCTCTCTCTCTCTGACTTAAAAATATATATTAATTATATCTTAGATAAATATATATATATATATATTTGCATATATATATATATATATATATTTATGTACAAGCATGTTTACGAATATATTTATAAGTACGAGCATAAGATAAAAAATATAAAAAAGATATAAAATATAAAATATATTTGAATAATATATTTGATATAAACATATTTGATAACACGCGTTTGCGTGTTTCAAGAGTATCAAACGTGTTTTGCGAGATATGTTTTGCGAGAGCATTTACGTGTATTATGCAACCTCGTAATTCAGAGTCGTCGCTTGATTTGATTTCTCACGCAGTTTTGCTGTCCAAATTTACCGCACGAGACGCACAACAGACGCGAGGTTGCATCTGCATCGGTCGACTGACGTTCCGTATAGCGATTTCTAATAAGAAATCTATACTTACCTCCAAACGCAAACGAAGTACTTAATTTCTGTATGGTCGAATAAAACTTTCTCTCGTCGCGCAATTTTCTCCGACGTCCTTGGCCATCTCCCAAAGAATTGTCAAGAGACTCGGCAAATAAAGAGCCAGACGGGCACCTACGGGAAAGAAACGTCGACAAAGAACTTCTCTCGGGGTCTTGCGTGATAGCCATAAGAAAGCAGGAAACGTCGGCCGCTTATCTCGCGGTATCTCGAGATCGGGGCAGATGAGGCATTTAAATAATGTATCGAACAGGTGAAATAGCAGCTGTTCGTCCGTGCTTCTGCCTTCGACCAGAACGCGCGAACCACTTTGTAGCGCCGCCATGGCCGCACGCTCGTTTCTCGTGGCAGGAAGGTAGAAAAGAGGAGCCGCGCCGATATTAAAATAAACTCATTACGTACATTCACCGCGCGCGTCACACCGAATATATTTACAATATCTTTTAATACACATTGTTCTTCGCGACATACGTGTTACATGTTCACAACACACACACACACACACACACACACACGCATACCTGTTACCTTTTATACTGTATGTTATAACTGTGCAACGATATAATGTTACATAATGCACTACATTGTAATTTTTGATGCATCTGTTCCTTTGGCCATTCAAATAAATCGACTGGAATGCTTCCCGTAACGACGCGCTCTCTCGCGACGAGGCTCTTCGAGGCTCTTGCGACGACGACACCTTCCCAACAGGTGCAAGCTCGAATTCGCCGGCGTGCGTTAAGCGACGCCAAGCGACGCGGACCAAGCGCAACGCTTTCTGGCAATTAACGTTCATTACGCCGCTCGTAGCATTGATAATGTTCGCGTCGATCTGCATATCTCCGGCCATTTACATAACACGGGACGTGCGCGACCCGGAGCGTAAATACGCGGCGCTATCGATGCCGCGCCGGAAGGTGAGAAGAGCTACGATATAGCTACGGAGACGCCGAGGTTTCCGTCGAGCGATAACAACGCTCCGGTGCGATTTGCGGTGCAAAATTATGCACCGGCATCAACAACGTTATTTTAACGCCGTCGAACAATGTCGAATCTGCGATGACGGGAGCGTCCGAGCGAGCAAGATGCGAATTTCAGTGAGTTTCTCTCATGATCGCGCTGTCGTTAAAGGAGAAGAAGAAAAGACTCAGGCAATATAACGATATCCGAAGAAAGCGCTCGAAAAAAAGAAGTGGCCTCAGCTTGTTCCTCTCAGGCGTACTTCTTCCCGTTGCCTGCGATTAAAGCGAGATGTGCTCCAGAAGGCAGGAAAGATGGGGAGGGGCGGCGGGAGGGGGGCGGGCGAAGAGAGGCGAAGTGTGGAAGAAACGCAGCTGGAAATTAATAGAGCTATTTTTTCATCTCGCGCGAAATTATTCGAGAGAAGTGTTTCTCGTTTGGATGAGAGGAGAGAATACGAGTCGCGAACGGGTTCATCGGTCAATTACGAGGACCCGTTGCTGCGGACGAGGATCGCGACGCTTGTGCACGTCTCGCCGGACGTTTCGCGAACGTCGCGGTCGTGGAGCGTCGCGACGACAATGAGACTGCGGCGAGGAAGCGGTGGCACGACGTCTGGAAAGGAAGTCTGCGTGGAGAGGGACCCGGAGGCAGCTGCTCCGGAGCCAAGTCGTACGAGGGAGAGAGCGCGCGCGAGAGAGAAGAAGAGAAAGAGAGAGAGAGAGAGAGAGAGAGAGAGAAAGAGAGAAAAGAAAGAGGAGGACGCGTGAATGAAAGTTAGACAGAGAGAGGAGACACGTCGAGAAATCGCAGTGCCGTTTCGCCGTGGAGAGGAGACAATGAATTGATCGGCAGAACGCGTTAATTGATCTAGCTGATCAATTAATTCCAATCTCCGCGTGGTCCACAAATGAACCCGACAGTTTCCACTTGTTTTCTACGCTATCGCGAGGAGTCTAGGAGGAGGAGAAGAAGAAGAAGAAAGTAGGATGACGTCCCCCACGCGTCAAAAATCAAGTATATTATACGGAGATCAAAAATATGAAGCTTGACTAAAGAAAAGAAAAAAAAAAAGAAACGAGCGTCTTGTAACAGAACAGGAATCTGGCCTGGAGATTGTCGATCAGCAACCGTCATTTTCGTCGATCGACCGAAACGACGACGACGACGACGACGACGACGACGAGCGGCGAGCGTCCGAACGCGCGTGCGCGCGCGCGCGCGCGCGCGCGGAGCAGGTGCTCCGAAAATTTAAAAACGCGAGAAGAACGCGGAGACGTTCTGCAAATCCTTCGTTTGTATCCTCCTCTCAGTCTCAGTCTCGAAATCTATCGCAAAATCGACGACAGAAATGAGAAAAAGGATCGCGACGATCAGCAAACAGCGACCGGCGAGGGGTCGCGACGCGACGCGACGCTCACGGCTGAATATCGGAGGCGTTGGGTGACAGATGGGAGATTCGGCAAGATTCGGGAACTCTTCGCAAACGGCGTACGAGCGCCGTCCCTGTGCACTGTGGGTTATCATGCGAGTGCGACGAAACAGGGACGCGCGGCCGCGCGCCGTGGAGCGACGGAGAGAGGCCGAAGGCGCGCAGCAGGCCGAGAGACAGCGCGCGCGCGAGTGCGCGCCGGCGACTATCATGGAGGCAGGTCTGCCTTCTGGCAGGAGGGTCTCGACCTGCACACTCGGCGTTACCTGCCAGCGCGCGCACGGCGGCGGCGGCAGTGTCTCCGAAGTCGCGCACTCCGATGGATCGCGGAGTCCCGAGCTGCTGCGCGTGCTGAGGGTCGCGACGCGGCGAGGTCGCTTGCAACTCCCGGCTGCGACTGCGACGACCAAGAGAGAGTATCGAGCCACACACACGGCGGACATACGAGCAAACTGGCGAGACTCGCGGCCCGGCCTGAATCGTCGCGAAGTGCGCCGCGTGTATCGGCCAGCGTGTCGAGAGCCTCGCGAACGCACGCCTCGCCGTGAGCGCGGAATTTGCGAGATATTCGCGCTCAGCAGCGTACACTCTCAGGAATCGCGACGACGACGACGACGACGACGAGGACAAGGACGAGGACGACGACGAGGGTGCGGGAGGCGGAGGCGGAGAGGCGCGAGCGGCCCCCAGGAGAGCGACACGTCGCGATACGATCGATCCGTCAAAAGCCGTGCAGCAGCAGCAGCAGCAGCAGCAGCAGCAGCAGCAGCAGCGGCGGCAGCGGCAGCAGCAAGCCGGACAGCAAACTCGCGAGATCGCCTACCCGTTGGCGATGGAAGAAATGTGCTCGTGACGTCACGGAATTCCTCGGTGCTGCTGGAAGCAACCGCGAGCACTTGTCATCGTGCCTTGTTCACGCGTAGCTGGTATTGTACGATTTCTCTCGGTGTGCTCTCTCGATAGGAGAGGAGAGATAAGAGAGCGAGTAAACGAGCGAGAGTGGAAGGAGGAGAGAGGCAGAGAGAGAGAGAGAGAGAGAGAGAGAGAGGCAGGGAAATCTTTATACGTTGGAAGACGTGGAGGAAGAGGAAGGAAAGCAGAGGGAGGAGAAGCAAGGAAGATAGGCAGATAGATAGATAGATAGATAGATAGATAGATAGATAGATCGTTAGACAGACGCACGAAGAAAGAGGAGAGTCACGAAGGAGAAGAGGAGGAGAACATATACCGTGGGCGTTGAGTGATTGTTGTCGGTGCTAGTTTCCATCGGGAGTCATGAGGGACACGAGCGATATGATGGAGGACGCCTTGTCGGAGGTACGTAAGAGCGGATAAATCGGAGAATTCGCGTTCGCGTTCTCGCGGCCTCTCCGGGCTTGAACGAAGGATTGGCGTTTGCCGTTTGCATTTCCGTGTCGCCTTAACCTTTCGAACCCGCGACAGTCGCCAATTGCGTGTGAGTCGCAGCATTTAAATCGCGCCGTGCGAGGAAGGCGGCGCGAACACGCTGGTGACGTACGTTTCTCCGCGGCTTCTCCATGGATCGGGGGTCCTTCGCTCGGTCTGCGAAACTAAGCTAAGTTTCTCTTCGAAGAACGCTTCGAGGTATTCGGTGTTTTCAGCGACAATGCTGCTCGCGACGCTAGGTATCGAGCAGTCGAATGAGCGACGCTAGAGATTCAATGATGAAGCGCGAAACCGCGGATATAGAGCGATGACGGTCGCGAGAAATTTCATGAGCAGCCGGAAATTTCTACCGCCGCCGTCGCTCTCTGTAAGCCGGTGAAACGCGCTCGAGATACAATTCGGCGATATTGGCACGGGTTCTATGTTTACATTGGCTTGATCGACCGACACAATGAGAGCACACGCTTACGATACTTCCATGCAGCAGCAGCCTCGTAACGTGTCTCCGTTGCGAGATCGCGCGCGTGTATTGCCGTTGTCGTTTCAATTATTGAAAGTTGAATCGTCGTACTGACGCTCGCACGACAGCATAATACCTTTTTTCCTACCCCCAGCGGTCGATATGCCCCAGCGAAATTCCAATTCGTCCTCCATCGTTGATAGCCATCTGTATTTATACGATTGCACCGCGGATCGCGGAATGCATCGCGAGAGGCTGCAGCGCGACGCGTTCCGCTGCCGAAGCGCACCTGCTCGCCAAATCGATCGCGAAGGGGCGAATCGGTTTTTTGTATGTTCCCCTCCCCCCCGCCCTAGCCCCCCCCCCCGAGCGCAGCGCACGCTCGTTCGTTTTCGCCGCGCGATTGCGAAACCAATGTTTCATTATTTTTTTCTTGTTTTCCTTCCGTATCGTCTCTCGTCTCGTTATTCGCGCGATGTAACACGCGCGAGAGGGATCGCCGGACACGACAATCGCGCCGCCCCACGTCGCTCCCTGGCGCGTCTACCGTCTCGCTTTTCCGCTCGCTTTTCCCGTTCTCCATAATCATTACAGCGAGGCACTCGAGTTCCATGGAGACGGCGACAAACGCGTAAACTCCCCGTTTGGTGATTTAAATCTCCATTTAGAGCGGAAAGAGTTCTCTCTCTCTCCCCCCTCTCCCTCTCTCTCTCTCTCTCTCTCTCTCTCTCTCTCTCTCTCTCCCTCTTTCTCACTCTTGTTCGCAAACGCGAGTAATTCCGATTCTATCCGCGCGATACACGCGATTTATTGTGACGCGGGGAGCAAGAGGGAATTACACAGGCAGCCTTTCCCTCCGCGCTTTTCCTCCCTGTTTCTCTCTTTTCCTCTCTCGACGGACCTCTCTCTCGACAGATTCGCCCCGCGGCCGGTGTATTATTAACGGTAAAAGGGCCGCATCGATTTACGCGCGTCCGTTATTACCCGCTTTTCGCGCGAGAGACTATGAAATTACATCGATTCCCCGAGAATCGTTATCTTCATCTCGTTGTTTGCCTTGCTCTCCTTCATCGTACCCGTCGTACTCCACGGTCGATCCGCGATCCGTGATAATTGCAATTTCCTGCTTACGAATGTTAGATTCTCGGCTAGACGCCGTGGCCGTCGCACTTGCTTACATATCTATTTATCTCCCGACTTCGATCTTCTCGCGCCGCGTTATCGGCCGGCGAGAGTTTTCTCGCTTGAAATTCTATCGGGATCCGCGGCGCACGGGCCGGGCGGCGGGGGCGGCAGGGGCGGGGAGGGGCGGGGAATTAGAATTTCAAATCGAATCCCATCGCGGGCGCGGGCGGCGGGGGATGCGCCCTTTCTGCAGTTAACTGCATTCCCGACGTCCGCGCTTCCTCGGAACTCGGTGAGGAAAGAAATATCCTTCCGAGCGTGCAATCTCGCATAAAATGCGAGAGTGGCTGCTCCGCGATGTTAGTGCCGGCGTTCTGTCCGTTTCTTCGCGCGCGGTTTCGACATTTGTATTTATTGCACGAGTACAGGGGAGAGAGCCGCTGGAATTCGCCCCGACCGAACTCCGCACCTCCGGAACTTTGATCATCCTCCAACTTGGCCGCCGAACACGATTCGATTTTCCAGCCCTCTCCAGCGGCGCTCCCCCCCCCCCTCCCCGGAGTCTCGAAGACTCGTTCGAATCTAATTTGCGGCCTTCTCGGAGAAGCGCACGGAGACGGAGACACGAGAACGAGACCTCGTTCCCGCGGATTCGCCAACGCGCGAGATCGCTATTACGTTATTTACGATTACACGCAGGATGTTCCCTCGAAATTTTGCGCGAGTCATCAACGAGCGTCGGCTGGAAAAGAGAAAGGAAGCTCGTCGGAAGGCCCGACGACGACGCCGACGGTCCTCTGCGCGGGGATATACATTTGAGACTCCGTCTCAACTCTCAGAGAGGAGAGGGAGAGAGGGAGGGAGAGAATCGCAGCGATTCCAAGTCTCTCCTAGATGTCTTGTCGTAGAGCTCGAGATTCGAGAGCTCGAATGCGGCGCGAATGCGAACGCGAACGTTCGCGGCTTGCGCCCTCCCCGAAATGAGCGTTTCATCCACCGTCTCGCGACCTTAAATCTCGCGACGCGTTCGGCGTCGATTTTCCCGGCCGAAATCTCCCCCCCGTGCTCTCGCAGGACTAGCCCCCTTTCCTCTTTGGGCGCTCTTTGAATTCGAAATACCGGCCGTATTATCCGCGGCACCTCGCGGTCGCTTTAATGTCCGCCTGGTAACCAGCGCGAGGAGAGGACTGCATCGAAGTGGTCAAACGTGTCCCTTCGGTGCGACGTTACGTGCCGTACTCGTGCGCCTTCGCCTTGCATTCTCTCTCTTCGTTCTATTTATATCCCCGTGTATCTCGATAAAAACGCGGCTGCCGCTGCGGCTGAGGAGAGGCGGAGGGGAAGGGAGAGAGACAGGAGGAGAAGAGGAGAGAGCTCGTGAGCTTCGTCCTGCGGGACGCGCGGCTCGACACGCTCCTCGTCGTCCTGCGGCCGGGCTTCTGAAATCCATCGAGCGCCGATCGTCCCTGGGAAAATTTATCGCTCATCGATTTATCGGAATTTATCGCGGTCGACGGCTTCCATCTCCTCGCGCGACCATGGCGACCATGGCGATTTAATTTATGTCGTCTCGTATTCTCCTCACGTTTAATTTTCACGCGACTCTCGGCCGATCGGCTTCTCGATATCTCCGAGGTGTACTTCGATGGGACCTGGTTTTTGCAGGCGACGCGAATAGCTGCAATTCTGTGTCGTTCTGATCGTCCGCCTTATCTGCGACGGCATGTAAATCGCGTATCGCAAACCTCGTTTGCAGCTGTTCCTTTATTTTTTCGTTCCGCGCATCGTCGTGATTATATTATTTTCGACGCGATTTAATTAGGCGAGCTGCGCATGAGAGAGAGAGAGAGAGAGAGAGAGAGAGGGGGGCGTTTCACCAGAGGGAGGAAAAAGAAAATAAGCAGCAAACACTGCTGTTTACTCTTTCGCCGGCCGACACGACTCGTACGCGCTCTGCCGAGGAAAAGAGCAGCACGGACGCGAGTGAAACAGAAGTCACTCCTACATGGAAGGGCGGCGCCGAAGGACGAGCCGGCCACGAATTTGCATTTATCAATTTGCCTAATTGAGCCGCGGCGACTCGGCTTATTATTTCGTCCGAATGAAAAATGCGTCGAGACTCGGAGCGGCCAAGATCGATCACCCAGCTCGCGGTCCACTGCCAGCCTCTCCGCTCTCATTATCTTTCGGCGCTGATTAAGAGTGAAAAATCACGTCAATTGTAGCCTTAATTACGCGCGCGAAAGTTCACGAGGAGCAGAGTCGATCGAGAGACGGCGCGGGACAAACATCGGGGGGAGAGGGTTTCCGAGCTTCCGAGCAAGAGGACTCAAGAATTTAATAGAAACAGAGAATGTAGCGCAAACGCGCACGAGATCGAATGATTCGGATTTCAAGCGAGAGGCGGCTCTCGCGCGACTCTGATTGAACACATCGTCATCGCGGCTCTTCCTCAAGTCACCCCAGCGCTCGAATTTCGCGCGCGCCCGCGCGACGGTGCGAAAACGCCCCTCGAATATTTCTCACGGTGTTGCGTCGCGGTAATTGCACGATTTGCCGGAGATAAACGGGCGTGTCTGCGACCCGTTGACTAAACACTCGCGTTTTACGCGATCGATGGCCCGAATATCGCGGCCGTCACGAAGGGACGCTCCTCGTGCGTTCTCGTTTGCACGTACCAATTGCAGCCTCTCTCTCTCTCTCTCTCTCTCTCTCTCTCTCTCTCTCTCTCTCTGTCTCTCTCTCTGTCTCTCTCTCTCTCTCTCTCTCTCTCTCGTAGTCACGGGTACGCATATCCACGTGTACGTTCCACTGAAAGTCAAAATTTTATTCGAATCGCGAGATAGATAGATAGGTAAATAGAAAGAAAGAAAGAAAGAGAGAGAGAGAGAGAGAGAGAGAGAGAGAGCGCAATTTGCATACACCGTACCGTGCGCGAACCTTCGGAATCAATAACCGGCGACATGCATCACGATCTGCACCTTGCACTCGGGACAGTCCGTTCACCTTTCCGAAGCGGAGAATCGAGAAGACGAGTGGGATCTATTTTCGCCTCCTCGCCTCTCCTGGCGTATCGATTAGACGGAGAATATTTCGGCCGAACGTGGCCGATTGTCATTACCGTAAAGTAAAGTAACATCGAGGCGAAACGCCGGATTTGCATGCGTTTATTAAGCGCGCATCGGCTTTAATCAGCGGGATTAAACACGACCGGGAGAGGCACAGAGAGCAAGAGAGGGGGAGAGAGAGAGAGAGAGAGAGAGAGAGAGAGAGAGGGAGAGAAGGAACGAATCGATGAGAGGGTCTTATCAGATGCGGAGTGAAGCTCGGCACATTTCGGCGGTCGCATTACGGATCCGGCAGTGTCGACTTCCCGCCGATTATCTTCTCGCCGATCGGCGGAGAAAGCGTACCTTTAACGGCGGAAATTTACAATAACCACTCGTTTGCATGTATCGATTGCACCGGGCGATCGGGCCTCGCTCTCGATCCCGTGCCGAGCCGAGGATCGGCGTTAGCCGTTCGCTCGCTCGCGCGTCTCCGGTGCTCGTTTCGTTTCAATATATTTCCATATCGATGCAATTAGCGGCGAGAGAGTGGCCGCGAGTGTACATCGATAACGCCGTATCATAACTCCGCGCCGTTGGGGCTATGATTTGCCGCGATTGCGATAATTAGCGTGCGAGATCGAGGCCCGGATCGGGCCTCGATCATCGCGCGCTTCGCCCGCCACTTCTCTCAGAGTCGTTAGCGATCGTAATCGCGATCTCGGGCCCCGTACATGCCGGCCAAGTGCCGCGCCGTGTCGGTGCATATTAACTCGCATTAACCGATAATTTATGCATCACGTCGCCGAGCGCGAGCTGTCGTTTCGTTTTCGCCGTTTCGCCTGACTCGCACTCGCGTAAGCCGAGTTAATTTATGAATATTCACCGTGTCGTAGCGCACGCAACTTAATCATTTTGTCCGGCTCTCTGCTCTCGTAGGAATCAGCGTGACGGCTCGAAGCTTCCGCTCGTCGTCCTTGTGGAAATCTCGCGGAGGAGGAGCCGCCGCCTCCTCCTCCCCCATGAGAGCGACCGTCGTTCCTGTCGCGTCATTTCGACGCAATTTCCGTCCTAAGGTCCCCCCTCTCCGCTCTCGGCGACTCCGGCACGATCGTCTTAACCCATTCACGAACTTTCTCGGCGTTCGCTTTCACTCGTACCGAGGGAATCGCACCGGCGCGGCGCGGCGCGACCGCGCGCGAATCGCTTCGCCACGGCCTACTGCAAAAGGCCCGTCGAGCTCCTCGAGCTTCTCCCGCGGGAAGTCCTCGCCGCGAGTAGTACCCTTTGCGTCGTGCGCGCCTCAGATTTTCGTCTCGTGCGCCCGGACAAGGTCGTGCTTCTTCCAGACCACCCGGTAGACACGCTCTGCGCTTGACGGAGGGAAAAGCTGCCACGAGACAATGTCTCGTAAGTGCGCGCGCGCGCGCGCTCGCGCTATTTATCGCCGGTCACTGTGTCGCTAGGGTTACGGACGAAACGGGATTTTTACCACGTGCCTGGATGCGTCCTTTCCATCTCGGGATTCTTCGGAATTTTACAAAGAGCCAAGGTCGTTCTCGTAAAGCCGCCGCTGCCGCGCCGGTCTCCCACGTCTTCGGTCCGCAGCCTCCGAAAACTGTGCAGAGTGTGCTACGATCGGCTAAACAGTTGTTCTCTATTATGAGACACGAGCAGTGTCTCGCCTCAGCGAGAGGGGTGTCTTTCTTACTGTCGATGGAATCGTTATCGCGTTCTCTCACCGCCGGCGGGCGGCTGATTGCAAGGTGCGTGGCTGCCCGGACGAAGCGACGTGTGGAACGTCCGTTGCGAGAGCCGCTCGTATCGTCGCTATCATCAGCTCGGGCGAAGATTCAGCACATAGAAATTGCCAAAATTGCTGAAAGTCGCCTCTCAAAGGTGCCTGAAATTTCTCCGAGGGAAGAATAGGACGCCGGTTAGACGTCTTCAAGACGTCTCGTCCTGACGACGTCGTTACGTCAACACGACGAATCCGCGTGCGTCCGAGAGTGGTGAGAATTTCGGTCTCGCGCTTTCCGACGCGTGGAGCGGCTCGGCTTTGCAGCTGTTTCATTCCGACAGCGAAGGGCTGTCGTTTGTCGAGAGAGCACGGCGAGAGAAATCGTCGCGCGCGATATTTAGAGGGGCGATCGCATTATCGCGGACGGCAATTATTTCGGGGAAAGTCTTTCTCTCTCCATCGGCTCGCCGCTGCGCAACGTACGCGGCGCTTCCTTCGCGAATTACTAAATTTCGCGGCAAATTGCCGGCTTGGCAAGCTCCGGTGTCCGAGTGTCCGTTAAAGCGCGCGCGACGCCGCGCGAAAGTTATATAAACGGCGACATTAATAATGCCGCGTGCGCGGTCACTGGTCACCAGCGATAATTCACGACGTTTAACGACGAGCATTCTGCCGCTCCGGCGTCTCTCCTCGAAATTGACGCTCGCGCTCGCGGATTCCGAGACACCAGCGAGGCATTCCGCCTGGCATACGCACGGCGGAATCACGGCATTGTTAACGCACAGTCGCACTTTATCGCGCGACTGTTTATTTTGCGATCATAACGTTTCGCCGCTCGCACGTCGCCGGGTCGCGGATTTTAATTGAAATTGTGCGCGTCCGCGAATAAATTTTCACGTTCCGCGAATCACGGCGCGCGGGACCGCGCGCAATTTCCACGATCCCGCGCTGGCGCCGCGGGCGGGGGGATAATTTGCGAAAAGCCTTTTTCCGGCCGACGCTTCAATTCCGCTTTAAACGATACACAGCAGCGCTTTAAACAATAAACTGATTCCACTCCCGTCGAGCTCTCGATCCGGACTAATGGCCGCGAAGCGCGTGACAGATCGAGAATTAAAGGGAGAGGGAGAGAGAGAGAGAGAGAGATTTTTCTCGTTTAATCCGCCATTTAATCGGACTCGGCTGCTGTAACAACTTCACAGAATAGATCTTTCTTTTTCCCTCCATCCTTTTGCCCAGGACACAATGATGGATTGCGGAGGGGACGGTGGAGGTTTGGAGGACTTCGTCGACTTGGCCAACGATATCACGGATAATTCGCCCACCATACGAGGTAATTTACTTCTTATTCGCCTTTAAGCGCGGCTCTCTCGCGAAACAAATCACGGTGATTTAATCGTAGTAATCTCGGTAATTCGATACGATATCTCCAGGGCGTCGTGCGTGTAATTACAAGTTCCTACCCGGTCGATTAAATTATTTTTGCTATTTAGAATTCATCATCGATGCGCGACTCGCAGCTCAAGCTCTCTCACCGCGGTAGCTCCGCGGTATTTTTGTCTCTTACGCTGATTTATGCGGCTAATACAACGCGTATGATACGGCGGGCTTTAATGGCCGAAGCACGCATAATGCGAATTACGAACGCGACGATAATTATGTTTGCGCGTTGCGTCAGTTCTCCCTTGATTATTCCTGGCTACATTGTTGCTTAATTACATCGTAGAGCATGCACGTATATCTCCGCTACCTCGCCGCATACATATACATGTATATGTGTACATATATATGTATATATATATATATATATATATATCCTCCATCCTTCTTGGATTCTATCACGTTTCCTGCGAAACGGGACGAGTCGAGCTCGCTCGCGAATACGGCAAATTTGGCTTCCCTTTAAAGCACTGACGTAAAGTGGAAATGTTTTACGACGGTCGTAAGGGCGTACCTGCGCTACCCCCGGCTAGGATTCTCGCGCCCCAGAAAATCCTGGCTCGAGAGTCCCGTTGAAAAATGTCTCGACCGTGTTTCCTATAATAACGCCGGGAGCCGACCGCCTTTCCCTCGCTGTTCTCTACGTGAGCGTGAGAATTTTCGCGCTAATTTTTTCATTTCTCAGCGATACATCGCTGAGCTCTCTCGAGGTACGAGTGCGCGGCGTGATTAACGATCGAGCTGGGGAATCGCTGAATACATTTCCCCGACGTGGTGGAGAGGCGGTATTAATTGAGCGCGCGAATTTGTCCTTCTCGTTTCATTTCTCGCTGGATTCTCTTATCGCGGTAACACGTAACACGCGCATCAACAGAGTATAATGATGTAAGAATAATAAAGTGTAAAAAGCGCGAAAACACACACGCTCTCTTCTCCGTTTTTCTCGGTCTTTCGCGGCAGCGAGCCGAGCCCCGCTCTGCCATTTGCATTAGAGCCGTTCGATTAGCTCGACAAACGCGACGCGATTTTCGCGACGACACGCGAGCGAAGCGCGAGAGATCTTCGAAAGTCGAGCCGATTGAAAAAAACTTTTAATCGGACGCAAACGACGCGGACGTCCACGTGATAGCGCGAACGTGCAACTTTGCGCCCGTATTTATTCCCGCTCGGGCGTTGAGCGAGTGAGCTATTAAAATTTATTAGGTCGACGTCGTTAGTCACGGAATATATAAGTCGGCCGCTCTCTCGCGTATCGCTCGGCAAAATAACTTCGCGTCACCGCTTATGGTCGTTCGGCCGATCCTCCTGAAATATGAATTCTCTATGCTAATGCCGGGCATTCTGCTGTGTACGTACAGCGCTACAGGAATTTCTATTCACCGACGAGAATTACGACCTCCCTCGGCGGAGCAATTTCAGACGGTATCGTCGAATAATATAAAATCCTAACGCGCGCGGGCGCGCGCGAGAGAGAGAGAGAGAGAGAGAGGGACTCGTAAAAGCGGATGTAAACAAATTTACGGTCGTCACGATGACGACGAGCAATCGTCCGATAAACATTAATTCGCTATATGCATAATTTCGCGCGATAACACGCTACATTATCGCCGGCGATGAACGACAAGCGTTTCGCGTGCGGCACCGCGTTATCGTGAGTGACGCTTAAAGGTGTACTCGCGCGGCGAAATAACTCCCTCATTTTCGTCGGGGGAAATCGATTGTTTATCTGTACGTATGACAAAGTGCGCGTTTCACGCGGAAATTTCACAGTTTATTTCACAGAACGGACATTCTTCCTTGTATTTTTCGCACCTTCGCCGAGTGTTATTCTTTTTAATATAAACTCTCTTATCCACAATGCGACGTCGCGCAGCGCAAAACCTCATTGGTATTCTGTGTTTAGTTTTTCTTTTTTTTTTTATAGAAACGATCGTTCGTTTGTCAGGCGCCTTTCAGTCCCTTTAAATCGTCGCTTAACCTAACTCAACCCAATACCGTCTCGCTAGGTACCGTAGAAACAGGACATTTAAATGCGGGTACCCCTGTGGGAACGTCCGGCAGAAAGAGTCGCATTAGCGTCTCTGGGGTAGGAGGGAAAAGAGGAGGCAAGAGAGGGAGAGAGAGAGAGAAAGAGAGATGGTCGAAAAAAGAAGAATCAACGAACTCGCTCCCGACTGGTCCAGACTTTTCTATTACCGTCGAGAGGAAAGAATAAGAGCGCGCGCGCGCGCGACACGACTCCTAACGTACGTCTGGCTCGTCTGAAAAACGTTGATCGAACGATTGAGTACACACACTCGCGATGTCGAAATAAAAGAGCGCGCGGCAATAGCGTGGATACTGAGCGTAACTCTCCGCATTAGATCGAGAATCGTGAGATCGTACTTCGAATGAAATGGATATATCGCGCCGGCCGATAAGTCAGATTCGGACATCGAAATTTTGGCCTTGTTTCTCTCAACAAAATCTCGCCAGTCACGTTCCCGGTATAAATTTTCTTGCCTCGCTGATCGGCGATTCGGGGCCCGGCGGGCTGTTGGAAGAATTCGCTAACTCTATCGGCGAGGCAAACAATTCGGCGTAACTTCTCAAACGCACTAACTTCGTTATCCGCGGTCAAAACACGTAATTACCCCAGCGGCTTATTCAATTACCATTTACATAGTCGTAAGTAATTATCGTCTATCGTGCCCCTCACTCGAGCTCCGGCCTCGAAGGTATAATTTAATCGATCGCCACCTACCGATCGAAATCGCTCCCGTTCCCAGGAACAGGTATATCGAAGTTACCCTCGTCGGAGCGACCTTTTTGCTCGCGCAAGGGTGTGCGAACGGCGAGTGGAGCACACGTACACGACACTGATACGTTCTACCATCGCGCGACGCGACGTCATACAGCACACACACACACACACACACACATATACACGCGCGCGCGCGCGACCGAGGGAGATGAGAAAGAGGAGAGACTCGTGCGAAATTCGGCGATTCGCAGGACACAGGATATGACGGGGTGGGTTTCGGGTGCGCGACAGGTAGTTCCCGTGGGACGTTTATGAGGCAGGATTCCCACAGGACCGCAAAAGCGGGGCCGCCGGGGGCGCGCGGACTCATCGGATCGCGCTCGTTCTGGTCCAGTTGTTACAATAACACGCGGCCTCTCTCGCTCTCTTTCTCCCGCAGTCATTGTCGTTGATTCGCCGCCACGGCGACTTCGTCGTCGTCGTCGTCGTCGTCGGCGTTGTCGTGCCTTTATCGCGACGGAGGCGCATCTGCGATGTCTCGTCCTTTTCGGGAGGAATCTCAATGCTCAACATCCGGCGGGACTTAATGAGGACCCCCTCCCCCTTCCCCCCCTTCCTGCCGGCGTCGCGGGGTGAATCGCCCCCTCCGACGTTCCCAGAACGGACTTCTGTGTGTAACCGTCTTATCTATCTCGCCGGCATGCTCTCGATACGCACGGATACGGTGCACTTTATGCGAGCCGACGATGAAGATTGAAGATTACAAGGAAACGAGGTCGGACGTAACGAAGCGACGTAATTTGAGAGAGCGACGCAATCTCCGTTATTACGTCGATAACAGTCCGCTATTAGTCTTAAATATCAATTCCGCCTCATGTACGTGGATTATCCTAAGTCATGGCTTTCCGCTGCTATTTACGAACACTCTCGTCCTTCCGAGGGAGATCGATCTGTCCTGCTCCTCCTCATCCGGCGAGGTAGCATCCTCCCTCCGCTGAGGGAAGGGTCCGTGTCTCGTAATGCGTCCGAGTCCCGATCCCCCGCATTGGCAGATAATCTCTTGCCGTTTGCAACATTGCGCAGATGCCGCCGAACGGCTGCTGACGCTGTTAGGCGTGGATGACGGCGACAACGAGGACCTCGTTTCCTCGTCCGAGGATGAGGGTGTCGAAGTGGACATCGACGAGCTCGAGGACGACGACGAGGAGACGGGGAGCGCGAAGCTGCTGCATCACCTCGCCGTCTCTCTCGCTCAGGAGCTCAAGTACTCCAGCAGCCGGTCGATCCCGTCCACTTCCGGCAGAGCGGCGCATCAAGCCCGGGCCGGCGGCGTGGAGATGCTGCAGGGTGCGAGCTACCTCGAGCGCGGCTGCCTCCAGGACCAAGCGCAGCCGAAAGCGACCGCGGCTGCTCATCATCAGGGCGACTTCTTCGGCCGCAGCGAGCAACTGCTCGCGGACGAGCGGACCACCGTCATCCGCAGCAAGTTCCTCAACTTTGACGACTTCTGCGAAGAGCACCAAGAGCCGCAGCACAGCCGGTCCTTCGAGCCGAAGGACACTGCGAGTCACAGTTTCCCCGACTACATGTGTCTCGATCAGCGCCTGAGAACCGAGGATCAGGCCGCAGCGCAGCCTGGCAAGTACTTCGGTCATCAGCAGCAGCAGCAACAGCAACAGCAGCAGGACGGCGACTCCTGGGCGGCTGGGTGGGACGCGTGCGCCAACGAGGCGCTCCGATACCTCGTCGAGGACGAGGGCCTGCCGCTTCATCATCCCACGGTCGTCGCCATGAAGAATCACCTGGACCTGCAGAGGGAGCGGGCGTTCACGCAGCACACCGGCTACACGGAGGCCAAGGCACAGGATATGAACTTGGCTTTGGATTGACTCGGCCGATGAAGTTCCAGGCTCAAGGTAGTGGTTACTGCAGGTCGCTTCTCTCACACGGCGCGTCGTCGTCGTCGTCGTCGCCGTCGTCGTCGTCGTCGTCGTCGTCGAGGAACTCTCTCCGTTGAGCTAGAGGTCGTGAGGGAAGATGTGTTCTCCGGAGTCACGCGGAAGTCTCGAGTAAATTCGTTTTATTATTTATACAAATTTATCTTCCTTTCTCTCTCTCTCTCTCTCTCTCTCTCTCTCTGTCTCTCGCTATCACTTTATTTCTTTTTTACTCGCACACACGCAACAGGACACGCAACAGAATGGTGTGTCGTGAAATCGTTCGCGCAGGATTCTCTTCGGTTTCTTACTCTTCTTCCGAGGAAGAATCCCAAGCTTCTCGGGAGTCGCAATTTATTCGACGTCGCGACGTCGAACAATTCGCGATCGATCCGCTTTCCTCGATTTTGCTACTTGTTTCTTACGTTACGCCGAAATATGAGCGATCGGATATGGCTCGGTGTACACCAACGTTCCTCGAGATGTTGATGACTCGCGTTGGATGTACGGATTTCGGGGCGTCGGTGTCGAGGTAAATGTAATCGCGCACATGGTGTCCGCGCCGTTTGGATACTTCGCAGTTTGGAACGCGGCCGATTGTCGAACGAGGGAGACTCGAGCCCTCGCAATTCGTCAGAAGTAAAAGACTCTTGCCGAGAAAGTGCGCTTAGGCCGCACATTGAAACCAAGTGCACGTCGATTTCATTGTTTGACAATTATCATTTCGAGCGCGTTCATACGCTGGATCGATATGCGCGCTGTGTTTTTTTTTTTTCCTTTGCGACGAGGTCGACGATCTCGTAGAGAGTTCGCGCATTAATCGAGGACTAAGATTCCTTTCGCGGTCCCCTCCCGTTTCAGAGGAGCCCTTAATTCCTCGCGCGACGCTCCTCTGCGATGATTGGGAGATGGCTTCGAGAGCCATTAAGAGAAAATATTTCCGACAATTAGAGTCATCGAACGAGGTAGGAGAATCAGAACTAGTTATAACTCATAGAACAAATTCCTAAGTTAGTTTATCGTAAGTCAGAAGGAAGACGATCGGTTAATGTAGCAAGATAAAGGAAGACGCGAGAATGTTGGAGAATGTTCGTTACGAGAGGAACGTGAGGCAAACGCTGATAATTGTCGGCAGAAAGATCCTTTCGATCATCAGAAGCGCACGCCTGGATTTGATATCTTTACTTTAGAAATACCAGATAACATAATCCTAATTGACTGAACAACGTCAACAATTCGGCGAATGAAGTTCGCGAATTTTAATTATTTACTCAGATGGGTGGGTATGTAAAAATTTTATGTTGTATCGAGAAACACACTTCGAAAGAGTTACTTTGATATTTCGATAATCGAAATTCCGAATTGCCGCGGAACGATTTTCAGTCGCATCCTACACGAAAGGAAGGAGCATTGGGTGGTTGGGCTGGGAGGGAGGGGGGTGCTACAATGTCTCGACAATAGCGAGGAAACGTTTCAGCCCCGAAAGTTGTATGCACATGATTCGGATTAGGCGAGAGACGACGACAGCTCAGCGACTAGGTAGGGACTTACTCGGCTATAGATGAATGAATTATTATTTAGGACGAACGATATCATCGTTCCTCGTATACGACGAATTGATCAGGCTTACGCGTCGTTTCGCAGCGCCGGCGTTCGATCAATCCTGTATTGATAAAGATAAAAGGAGAAGCAGAAGAAGAGGAGGAAAAGAGGAGAAAAGAAGTAAAAGCGATCCTCGCGAGTGATTCAGGATCGACGGCCGACCTCGATCGTGCGTCACTCGTCGGATCGGACACGACTGTACGTCGTGATTGATCGCGCAGAAAGGATCGGAGACACGAATCGCAAACGAATCGCCGGGCATTTTTTCAAAGTCTGTCGCTCTCTTCGCTCACACAGGAGGCGATCTCGGCGTCCTTGTTTTCGCCGCGCGCGTCCTTTCCGCGCGATCGATCGTACCGAGAGCACGCTCTGTAATCTCTGTACATATGTATGATATCGTTTTAACTTATACACACAACTATTGTTACTTTTACAATAAATCATTGTAGATAACATTGACCACACGACACAGTAAATAAACGACCGCTAAGTTAATTAAGCCCGTCGTCTCGTTTCTCGCCTTTCCACTCCTTCATCAACGTACGACGCTCGACGAGCGTGCGGGCATGCGCGTCTTTGACCCGACGCCAACAACTGTATATACTTGCGCGCATCCCTTAAGGACTTCTCCTCAGATTTTCGTTACTCTCTCGGATTACTCTTAATTGGGGCCTCAGCGACCGCTCGCACGCGGCATCTCAACATTTTGAGACTCGCGCCCGATGTTGTATGCCGCGCGCGCTGCGCTGCGCTGCGCATGGAATGTAACGTTTCTTTTTCTAATAAAAGCACAAATGGAGAACTCTCTCGATGTGGCGCAATCAACGCGAAAACAAACCGAGCGCGCGCAACGGACCGGTCGACTTGCGCACGAATCGCGCGCATTGCTGATAGCGACTTTCTTTCGCTCTGTTCTCGAGTCGTCGAGGTTTACGGCAGAGAGGCAGAGAGATAGATGAGTAAATACTGAGAAAGAGAGAGAGAGAGAGAGAGAGAGAGAGAGACGATTCTCCTCTCATCGTCATTGCGAAAGCGTCGACCGCGCATTCACGATTTTTGAACGCGTCACGTGGACGCGAGGAGCGATCGAAGGAGACACACGCAAGATTTCAGGCTTGTTTCGAAATCGGTTTGGGAAACTTTGGCTTTAATTGCGAGGTTGGTAGGCCTTAAATTAAGATACGTTCCGTAATTGATCAGCTTGATCACGCTTGGACGTTCACAGCCATGTACAGCCATTTACAAACTTGATTTTAGCTGTTAATCTTGTGATATTAGATCGGGAAATGGATAGAATTTTTATTCCTCATTATCTTGGTAATTGATCGGCTGATCAATTACGGAACGTATCCAAGTTAGTTGGCAAGAGGCCTGGCTACCCCTTTACTCAAATCAAAGTTTCCGAAAGCGATCTCGGGACAGACCTCTCAGGACGCTAACCGACGCTCCGCGGGAGAGTCGCGAGCGTTGAGAAAGTGCCGTTTGGAGGCCCTTCGCGCAGACGTAGCAACGGTCCGCGAGGCCGAGAAGAGGGCCCGTTGTGGAAGGGCCGCGCGCGTACGAACGTTGCTGGTGGATCTGGCACGCGACCAAACTCGAAAAGAATCGCGCCGTGTGCACCTTTATCGGGGTCGTTCGCCGGCAGGGAGCTCTACGCCAATGGGGCATCTGGTGTCGGTTCGTAGCACATGCCATGCATCTGCTCCGTCGAGGTACTTTTGTTGTCTTCGACGTTCGTCCGGCGAAAATAAGCCGGGGGCAGCCCGGACTGCTGTTACCAGGAGAATCTATGTGCTTTCTTACCATCCCTCCTCCTCGCGCGATCCTCCGAACGATCGCCGACCTCCGCCCCGACCGTCTCGAGATCACTCTCGTGATCGCTGGCCGGTCGCGAAGAGCCGCGAAGGACTCGGCTCCTGGGAGGAGACGAGGTGGATAGGTGTCTCGAGGAAACGGCGAAAGTAGTCTGACCGAGGATTGTACCGATGGGCGTTTGATCGAGCGATGACGTACGCCAAGTGAAATCAAACGACAGATTGGCAAGAACTGCAGATCGTATGCGATTCACTCGCGTGAAAGCGACTCGGATCCTTGGAGTCGCGATTACACACAATGCACATTATTACTTTCGTTTCGTTCCGACGAAAGTCAGCGAATATGTCTGTTCGTCAAGGAATCATCTCTCTCCGGTCGATTGAGACACGTCGGATGAGTGACAATCGTTACGACACGATCCCATGGCGAAGCACCGATGGTTTCACGTCCTCCCTTTCGTCCTCCCCGCCGCCCGGTCGAACATCCTGCCGCTCGCGCTACGAAGCCCCTGTGGTTTTTTGACTTTTTTTTTACACCACACGAAATCGTCTCGGTTTTTTCGCCGCGCTGGGCCAGCGCGGGGCGACACGGGGGGGAGGGGGGAGGGGGAGGGGGAGGGGGAGGGAGGGGGTGCACATGGGCCCGCGAAGGGGAGAGAACAGCTGTCCCGGGTGGTAACCGTCAGGTGGTATCCCGCGCTCGTCAGCTGCGGGGGTGAGAATACGAAAAAAGGGTTGAGGACGTTGCGCCCGGCTACACGTAGCATTCCGCGGGCCACGTTGATCGGAAAATCGACGCGCTATCCCGATATCCGTGTGACCTCGTTAGGTAACGCGACGCCGCGCCGGCTCGTGAAATTCGCGCAAAGTGAATTCCTCAAAGGCCCGGCATCTCATACCGGCCGACCGAAGCGAAGAGAGCGAGCCTCTCCAAACATCCTTTTTCCGATTTCCTCTCCGTGCAGCTCTCCCCCTTCCCCCCTCCCCCCCGCCCCTCTCTCTCTCTCTCTCTCTCTCGGTTGCGCGCTGAGAGCTCGTGTGGCGTAATTGCTCGACACGGCGTCGAGTACGACTCCGTGCTACGTTGTTCGCTGCACTTTTGCGGACGCTAAATTAAAAACTCGTGATCTCGCGCGCGCGGTTCTCAGAACTGAATTTCTTCTTAACACGTTTCGTGCTAGGTCAATTTTATGTAACGTTGCGATTTGAAATCTGGTGATGGGCCATCGATGATGACCCACCCACGCCGCACGGAACGTTTCAACTTTTTGCGGCTTCACGCGGCGAACTCGTTGCGCGCGTTGTGCTGAGAACGCAATCACGGTAACTCGATTATTTAACTCGACTGGTTAAACAGACGAGACACTGTTTATCACATTTTAATATAAACTTAATGGGTAGTAATGCGCCAAGCCAGTCGAGCACGATTTAAGCGTTTAATCGTATCCGACCTTTTATTTCTACTTTTATTTATTCAGGTGAAAAGTTCCTTTTCTTCCTCCTCTCCCTCTCTCTTTTTCTCGGTAATAATAAATCGTTTCTTCTCTCTTTCTCTCTTGGTCCCGTCGTCTTTTTCTCTTGGCCGCGCTGCTATCTTGCCTTAACGGCTGTTTTGATCTTGATAAAGCGACGGTAATTCGCGAGGAGAAGCACAAACGAGGCGGAAGAATTATTTATTATCAGCCGGTAAGAGATAACTTCTTCTCATCGAAGACACCTGCGAGTTTCGTTTATGGCGGCGACTCGCGTGAGGTGAGTTATGCGTGCAAACGGTCCGTTACAAGCGGCAGATAACGAAGAGATTTTAAACGAAATACCACACGCGTGTTGCACGCACGCACGCACGCACGCACGCACGCACGCACGCACGCACGCACTCGTGTACGCACGCGAGCTGTTTTCCCGTCCGTGAAACTTGATTTGCCGTTTTAATAATGATCAACAACAAGACTGCGTTCTCGGATCCTCGTCATTGATGACTCAAACGATTTTACGAGAGAGAGAGAGAGAGAGAGAGAGAGAGGAAAGAGACGCGTCACCCTACCCTTTTCCCACTTCGATCATCGTGTTGTTTGTTTCTAAGCGGTGCGCGTCGCAGAGACGCGTAGATGCGTTTTCGCGGCTATGAATGTCGCGACGAATTAATCTCACATAGGCTCGCGTATGCTCGGCGCTGTGTTTTTATCGGCGCCTAGGAATCGCTTCTTTCTCCCGAGACACAATCGTTAATTTGCGCACGCGCGCAGGAATCCTTGCACTCTTAGAGTCGCATTATCGTCGGGATCGTGTCGAGATCCATGAGCCCTCGATTTAGAGGCGAAAGGTGTTCAGCACGAGCCTCACGTCGCGCCGCGATCGTTTCTTCCGGGCAGCTGCAGCTATTTTTCGAAAATAAAGGTGGGCCCCGCGCCACCGTCTGTTCGCGGCCCGCCACGTGTAACGCTCCGTCTCTCTCCCTCTTTCCTTTTCCTATTTCGTCCTGTCGTTTTTTCTCCGACTTTAATCAACCGTCCTCGTTATATTCCTTCCAGATCGAAAAAGAGAGAGAGAGAGAGAGAGAGAGAGAGAAAAAGAGAAAAGGGAGAGAGAGAGAGAGAGAGAGAGAGAGAGAGAGAGAGAGAGAGAGAGAGAGAGAGAGAGAGAAAGAGAGAGAGACAAAAAAGAACACGCGCGCTCATTAGCCGCGCGTATTAGACGCGCGATTCCACGATCGCGTAAAATTAACGGAGCGGACACGCGATTGTCGCTGAGGGCGTTGCACGACGGGACTCGATCTCCTCCGCACGGTTAGTAGATTCTGCGTCAGCAGATGTATACTTCCGGCAGCTGTGAGAGTGGTGTGTGCGCGTGTGCGTATACGTGTCGTGCGTTCTTTATGGCTGCACGCGCCCTCGACGCACGCGGCGAGACAATACGCGCCGATTGGCCATTAAGCTCCGCATCTGGCGGATTTCGGCGAAGGGATCGACGGATTTTCCGTGGTGTGCTGTGGTGCGCTCGATCCGATCGCGAGATCCTGCGACTCTACGCGACTCGCGTATCCTCCTCCTCCTCCTCCTCCTCCTCCTTCTCTTGCGGTTTTTCGTTCCTTTTTCCGCTCATCGCGACGCTGCTCGCTCGCTCGCTCGCTCGCTCGCTCGACTCGATCTCGCAATATTGCCGAGCGCGAGACGCGTTTCGCGTCGCAGTTTCATCTGAAGAAATCTGCACGATTTTTTCATGGGCCGCGCTCCGGACGACGACGACGACGACGACGACATCGTGCAGTCGGGCTTCTCTCTCGCGAACGCGGCCGCGCGCGGCAGATGGATGCGCAAAACAACGGCCGTTCATTATACGCAAGGAAAGGCGGAACTTTTTTTAATATCTTCCATCTTCTTGATGCACGGCATGCTGCGACCAGCTGTGCGGCGCACGAACCTTTTTCCGCCGCTTCAGCTCCCGAGACATTTTTTTGCGAAGCTCGCCTCCTCCCGCTCGTCGCCCCGCGGCCGGGAACTCTTGGAGCGGCCGTAAATAAATTTTACACAGTGCACACCGTATTAAATCGCGAGGCTCGTTGAATCGCGAGCGGCGCACAATTAATTTTCGCTGCTTCCTCCCGGCCGAGCGCCTCGTCGCGTCGTCGCTCCTCCGGCTCGCTCCTCCGGCTCGCTCCTCCGGCTTCGGCCTATAAAATGGCGAT